GAAAGCAGGTCCAGCAGTGAGGAGTTTATGAAGCACAGATCGCAAGGAAGCTTGGGTGACAGCAGCTGCCAAGACTGGAGGGAGGAAAGAGGAAGTGCACGCACACACACACACACACACACACACACACACACACACACACACACACACACACACATACACACACGTGGGTGAGCAGAGACACACAACAGGTGAATTCATGAACACACACAGTTAAGTGAGAAAACACAGTTGAGACAGGAATCAAATTGGTGGAAATATGAATCATTTCATGTAGGTGTCATTTCATCAGTGATCGACTGGAAGAACTTGGAGGTTAAACAAGAAGCACACACACACACGTATGTCAGGTTAACACAGACAGAACAGCAAGAAAAATCACCATAAATGACAGCTGCGTGCCCAGGTTATGAACAGCAGAACAGTCACCCATTAGATAAGGGATGGAAAGACATTTTTTTTTGCCATAAACAGCATGAAGTCATGACATCATGTCCAGGCTAGCCTCTGTTAGCTAACTAACTCATTCAGCATTTCCTTCACCGGCCTTTATGAAAAACATGAAGCATGATCCATATTGAGACAAATCACCATCCACTACAGCAGCTGCTGTAATATAAACCTGTGTCATTTAAACACCTCCCATGAAGAAACTCTGTGTGGCAACATGAGTACTTGTGTCATCATGACTTGATTTTGTCCACATCTATCAGAATTCACCAACTCTAAAGTCATTTTTTTTTCAGTGTTCCAGTTGTAATCTCAGCTGATTTGCTCCTCACGACATACTGTTGTTCTAAGACCGTATGTTATGTTATCAGCGCGATTACAAATGTCAGTAGGATTTTAAATGAGGTTTTCTTCTGGAGCAGAAAACAGAAGTTCTGGTTTCACTAAAGCTCTCTATTGGTGCAAATATAAGATTAACTCGTTTCTTCAAACACCTGTTTTTGGAAAAAGACTTGATGTTAAGATGTTATAAACCGACTTTCACTCTAGTCCATTTGTTTAAACAGAACAGACTCCTCATCCTTGAAGCATTTTCTCTTGTAGAAGTGAAACATGAAATAATACTATTTAAGCAAAATGTAAATCCCATGTGTATGTAGTTTGTCAGCCACATACTTGCGCACTGTCAAGGCTTCACATTCCAGCAGAAAAACAAGTGTGAAACTTTATCAATCCACAAGCACTGTACTGAACGCTGCCACCTTAGCTACAATGCTAATGTTGTGAGCAGTCGACTGCAACATTTCAGTCACTGTTTTTGTAACAAATCTGGAAGCTGGATTGCCATACTGACAATTTACCAAACAAATATCTTTTTATTCTGGTTTCGATATGAGGCCAGTTTGTTATTGTACAGTCCCGGACATTCAGAAACACAGGTAATAAGCTTTTTGTCCATCTTTCAGTTCAAGCAGCTCAGGCCAAGGTTCAACAAATTTGAACTTTCTGTGCACCTACGGACATCTGCACAAGACCATCGAAACTCGCCACATACACAACAATAGAGAAGACAATAGCAAAAATGATGATGTGAATACGCCTTCTTTCTCCTGTCAGGCTCTTTGATATGATCATTAGGATTTTCTCTGACAGCTTTAATCAGACTCTTTTTGTCTTTTGAGCCCCTCATTATCGATGGCAGCAGTAATTCTTGGCTACTTGACGGATGATTCAGTCCACAACCATTAGACTCATGGCAGTAAAACACGTCACACGAGCCTTCAGAAATAGATGTATGTTAAAAAGGATCTAGTAAACACTTTAGTCTAAAAGACAAACTGTAAATGGACTTGAAGACACTCTTTGGCCTAGCAACAATAAAGCTACAAACAACCTCAAGAACTCTCCATTAAAAAAGAATATCTGAGCTTGTGAACACAACTCGTTGATTAATATGATATAACCCCCAGTGTGAAGTAAAACCATTAAATAATAGCGGCGTTAATGCAATTCAGTAGCCACTCCTGTGCTGTTTTACTTACTCGCACGCAGCACCAAAAAGTTGCATTAAAGCCACTATGAGTAGGAAATGATGGGGACCCCAGTGACATTATCCAAAAAGAAACCATGGCAGACGGCAGTATGATTGGAAGTGGAAGAATGTCATGCTCATGTTGTCTTTTGTGCCCTCACCCTCATTGAGCTTAGCCATGTCCATACTGCCATTATTCATCTGCAGAGTTGCCTGCAGGGCTGGGAGGAGCTGATGTAGGAGGGCTGGGTCCTGCAGCAGTGCTGGTGAAGGGGACTGGACAGACTGGAGCAACTGCCCCGTAGAGGAGGAAGAGGAAGAGGACATGGTGGAGGGGGTGGAACCTAAAGCACCGGGAGCAGAATTCAGGCTCTGAGAAGAAGAGGAAGAGGAGGAATGGCCGGCGTTTGATGCTGTTGACTGGTCCCCTGATGTGGTCTCTGAAGAAAAGCAGACCAGAAGGACACAGTTTTATTCGACACAATATTTATTCTGAGCGCATATGTTTGAAGAACCTTTTCTGGATCTCAGATGTTTATCCAAAAAGCAATCAGCAGAAGCTAAACAATGTGAGAGGCTATGTAAAAACGTTTAGAGTTGGTTTTATAGTTGAGCCACACTTACTTGATGTGGCTTTGTCCTGCAAGGCCTCTTGTCTGTAGTCCATATCCCTGGGGAAACTGTTCGCCGCCATCTTGACTGAGTCTTTCTGTCGTTGTTCCCTGAAGCAGATTAAACAGAACGCAAAAGTGATAATGTGCAGGCTGCAATTAAACTCTCACTGTCTAGTTAGGACAGGTGCGCTATGTGATCCTGGAATATATGAGAATGCTAAGCATGAGAATGAGGATCTCAATTAGTGTTTCAGTGCATATATGTAGTCATTTCATTTAAGTAGGCTTGCCTCTCCAACAGATCCTTGGGCTTCTCCCACTGGGAGACCTCAGTTCTACAGTTGTAGTAGTACTTCTTGCCAGAGGAGCTAATGTGTTCTGTCCAGTCATCTGCTGGGTCCTGGTGCTGAGAGAGAGAGAGAGAGAGAGAGAGAGAGAGAGAGAGAGAGAGCGAGAGCGTGAGATGTTATAAAGGTTAAGAGACAGTATGACAAGTTAAGAAGTACCACTGCAAAAGATGTAAAGTGAATGTAGACTTTGCATTCGCTGTGGTGGATTACACAGCTCAAGCAATTTTCACAACAAATTTTCATACTAATGTATATGGAAGTGACTGGAAACTTCAATAATGGATACGGGTTTTTCAGTCGGCTTGGGAGCCAGTACATTTAATATTAATGATCATGTATATACTGACAGCTCCCGTCATTCCAACAATTCCAGGAAGGTAGCTTGCCCCATTATTTTTCTCGTCATCTACAATTGCACTGATCTCTCTTGAGATGATCAGCAGTGATCAGTGATCTTGAAAAATTACAGACTTGATCAAGTTAAATATGGACAACAGTAATAGCAGATTATAGCACCAAAAAGGGATGTGATTTGACATTCACTACTGCTACAAAAAGGTTTTTAATTGTGTGAATTGCAGTTTAACGATTTTGCATTAACTCCTGCCAGAAGTAGAACATAATTTATGACCCAACACAAAAGCAATTGTGGTTCTCATTATTGTAATTAAAATAATAGTATCATAGTAGACTCTTGCTCAAATTTTACAAACCAAAATAGTTTTGAATCCTCTTCAATTCACTCTTTGTTGTTAACACTTGCTGGTTAAGTCTGTTGCACATCAGTAATGTTACATATGGTCTGGTGAGTCTATAGAATAGCATATAGATGTACAGAAGGTGCTGAAGGCGGCTGTGAGTCAGTTAACAAAAACAGATACTTGCAACGCACAACTCCAACCTTTTTGGGATTAAACAAGAACAGTTTGAGACAATTGCAGGCCCACAAACAGTGGACAATTATTTTTGCAGCAGCTAATGGCTAATCAAACTATTCTGGGCTTTTGAGCCTCAACGTATAGCAGAGATGGATAGGAAAGCATAATTATTAGTAGACTCATATTGGCAAAACATAAAACAAACTTGAACACTTCATCTCTCCAAAGACGAACTATAAAGTAGCTGTGTCTCTGAGTCTCTTCCTGTGCTCATCTGTGGATTTATTTTCCTCTCATCTCTCACACTGGATGCACAAAAGTGACCACAGGAGGAAAACACGCTATTTGGCTACACATTTCCAATCAAACCCAGCTGTGTATGCACAAGTTTATATTAATTAACATTTTTGTTTTGTTAATCTGTCATGACATACCACTCTTCACTGTCTACTCATTTCAGAATGGTAACAGCAAATAAGAGTATAAATCCACACCATCTGTTTACTATAACACGTTAACGCCTGATGACCTGTATATGTTATGCTGATAAATCAGTTAATCAATGTCAAACCAGACAATGTTATATTATATCAAAGATATTAGCGTCTCCTTCAGCAGTGCAAATGGCTAATATTTTTGCAGAAAAGTCTAAAATCCAATCAGATCATCTACTCTATAGAGGGAGTCTGTTATGTTTCAATCATGCATTGTTGTTGAGTTGTTGAGTTGTTGAGTTGTTGAGAGAGAGAGAGAGAGAGAGAGAGAGAGAGAGATGGCCCTACACAATGTCCCGCATACCATGTTCCACAGCAGCGTGACGCCAATTTGTACAGGAAATGCTGAGGGTATATCATCAGATAATGTTGGACAGCACCTTACCCTGTCTGCAGGTTTGTTCTGAGCTGCATGTGAGTCGGAGCCATGGTGGGAGCTGTTGTTGTGGGAGTTCTCCTGAGGAGAGCCGCTGGTCCCTGAAATAAAGCCATTTATCAAGTAACTGAAAATACAAGTTGCACAGAGGAATAAAATCTCATTGACAACCACAACTGCAAAATAATAAATGCTTTTCATTGCCTTTTATTGCTCTAGGTTTGCATTGTTTACATCTGAGCAGCAATAGGTATACTGTAATCTGATGGCAGTGACATAACAAAACAATCTAAAACTTTATGACAAAACAAGTCCCAACAGTATGTCAGAGATCAACACAAAAAAGGATGCCTTGGAAATGAACCTTGGATAGCAGTGACATTTGTCAGAAGACCTTCTATATGTTGGTCAGAATTGATGACTTCTCTAAGCTGAGGCTAAGCCACAAGCACCTGATATTTTAGATGCTGTCTTTTCCTTTTAACAGTCCTTTAAAATAAAACTTAAAATTGCAGGCATGTATAAGACCACCAGATCCAGGCTTACCATTTTTTCCTCTAATTGTGTGAGAGGTTTTTGCCTTGCCATGCCCAGTACTGTCTCCATGTCTGCTGACAGGACTTTCGTCTGAGCGTCGCAGCATCTTGTAAGGGGGTGTGGGATCCGATGAGCCATCGCGCACCTTGTCGTAACGGTGAAGGCTGCTGGACTGGCTCTTTGGCTGAGATTTATGGGTCTACAAAGGATGGCAGATAGACTTGTGGGGATGTGTACATATATACACTGATTTCATTTCTTCACATACCATCACACACCAGTCAACACCATCATTTATTTTTCTAGAAAATATAGTGCATTAAGAAGGCCTCATCAAAGAAGTGCTACACCATTGAGACTAACAGCACAGACAAACAAAACTAATATGCTCTAAAATCATAGGGCTGAAGTGGCTGAACTTAACATCCTCTGTGTCATGGAGCAAGAGATGTTTTGATTTTAACTAGATTAGGTATTTTAACATTCTGCTACCATAAGAAACATAAAAAGTAGCTGGTTGTCTCCAGCGTCTTGACAGGCAATAGCAAGCTTTACATTTCTGTGAGGCCAGTCTTTTTTAAATATTAATAGTTGGTTAACTTCTAAACTCAAGAGTTGGAATATCATTACACATAAGGAGTGGCCGTGGCTGGATAGCTGCTGTCTTTTACTTATTTTGTTTAAATACATAGCATCAGTGTGGAATATGACTGCAATTTCAGAGCTCAATTGTCAGATTTTGTGATAGCCATTTAGATTAATGTACATAAAATCTTTATCACAGTATTATTAAGTGACAATATTACCAGGAACTGTTTTTGTAGCTCAAACATGCCAATATAAAGATGTCAGTTTATTATTTTAAGGGAAAAACACTAGACACCTGGAAAAGCTATGTTAGTGGAGAGTATTGACAGGTTCCGTTAACGAACTGATCATGTCATACCTGATAGGATTGTGAATCCCTTCTGTCGTTGCACCTGTGGAGACGCACAGAACAAACGTTATTATTAGACAGTTTGAACCTTCACGTTTAACATACGTTAGTTTTCTTACCTTAGCAACGTACTGGTATACACTTAACGTTAGTTAGCTCATTAGCTGCCGTTAGCTAAGTTAGCTTGATTTGCCATCTTAGCAACAGCTGTTTGTTCTTCTTGTCACTACTAAAGAATAACTATTATTTTTTTAAATGTATCCTATATAATCTACCCTGTATGAACAAGGTCTGTCGGTTAGCTAACGTTGCGTTAACGTTGGGCAATTTAGTTTCAGGATATATCCGGAACCCACAGCTAATTGCACCCAAATTGTTAGCTGGTAGCACTAATTGCTAACGGCTACAAGAAGCCATGAATAACCAAACTACAGATAAATAAATGAGGTAAAATCTACGCCTTATTTTTTTCAAATGTTAAGATCTGTGCTTGATTTACCCATCGCTGACTCTTGTTGGTTTCCTTGCATACATCACCATCAAGGCCGTGGTGATGTGTGTATGTGTGTGAGGGGGAACCGTGGCCTCCTGTCTGTCTGCTCTCACAGTTCTCTTTTCTTCAGCTTCCTGATGTCTGGACCCAGTCTGCCCTACCACACAGATACCTACAAACCGTGTACCGAGCACCAGCACTGCATAGCGGGTGGTCTTTATTAAAAACCACCCTCAGTGCATCACCTGGCATGTAGTTATGGTATGCGCTTGGCTCAGCCGATGTAGCTCAGTAGAAAGCAGCAGAGGCAGGAGGAAACGGAGAAGAAGGACTCGTCGGTAATGTTTAGCAAGAAAAAAGAACTTCCGCGCTCACCCTTTCAAATTAAAAGAATATATTGGCATTACTGTACGGAGTAAAGAAATGTACCACAAAGAAGAGAAATAGTGCAAAGGAGAATAAATATATTACGAAATTGGAAGGAATGACTGCTACAATTGTGTCAGGTGGGGGCCTGAATCGTAGGTATACAGAATATTGCAGAATAGAGCTACCATTGTTGGAGAATATTTAATAATACTTATAGTACTTATGTCAAGACATTTCTGATTGCAAAACGTCCTTGTCCGCAGATATCGAATTGTTTTTGTATCATTAAGATATTTTATTCTAAATGACCACAATTCCCGCTAAAACTAGATTATCTTGAAAAAGGGGGATATCTATGCTGAAAGTTAGACAATAGTGTGCCAAAACGTATATTTTCTTTACCTTTGTTGTATTAAAAGTAAAACAATATCCCCTTTTCATGGCAAAGTATGAGCGGAAAGGAAAGTGTGGTCAATGTATGTTTGCGCCCCCCCCCCCCCCCCCCGCCCCCCCCCCCCCCCCCCCTCCCTCGCACCCCCCGCCCCCCCCCCCCCCCCCCCTCGCGCCCCCCCCCCCCCCCCCCCCCCCCCCCCCCCCCCCCCCCCCCCCCCCCCTCCCCCCCCCCCCCCCCCCCCTTCCCCCCCCCCCCCCCCACCATCACTATTGCATCTCAGCGCTGGGGCTGTTATTTTGAAGTACGTAGCTTTATTTCCGGTATTAGCCTAGCTGTCTCTGGATAACGTGACGCAGCTGAAAACGAAGCTAGTTGGTGCTGCGGGCTCCTCCTCCGACTTCACATCTCGTTGGCTGGCCTTTTTCTGGGACACACCCACGGTCTGCCCGCTAGTCTGCTGCGCCCATACATCAATGGCACGAACATTTTACCCTCCATGAGCAGTATGGGTCCGAGCATGAAGTATAATTCTTCTGCAGTTATTCACGTGGTCTAATGAAACATGCCATTTTACGAGATATTGCCTAATTTCATTGTCCTACTTGCTAATTGCAATTGACGATTGTGAGCTCGTTCTTCATTAAAGAAAGCCTAAACACTGTTAACGACCACTAACGTCTAATATTGCCTATTTCTCCTTGGAGTGTTTGGGATGTGGTGTGTGGAGAATGACACAGTACAGCATACACTCTGGTTCTCTGGTTCAGTATACAAAAGAATAACAGACTAACCTTTATGCACTTAATCCACAGCACATGGTAGCACATTTTGCTCTCTAAATGACAGCTCTCAGTCAACCACAGAGAGGTCAGAGGTCAGAATGATACTGAAAAGCTCATCTACTGGGTTATTGCTTTCCAAATCCAATAAACAGGGGCAGGCCTAACTGGATATCTATTGTGACAGGCATTTGCATCACCTCCTGTGATTGTTGAGGTTGGTGCACTCCCCTTAACTAAAGCCTTGATCTTACTACCTTAAAACCCAAAACACCCACGTAGTCTATTGGTCCTTTAAATAGAACAAAGAAAAGGGCAGCGAAAGGATGCAACTGCTGACATTGCATTCGATTAAATCAGTGTGAATAATTGTCTGCAGTGACAGTCATATGTGGAAAGTGAACTGCTATTGGCTAACATTATGACCCATGCTCTTTGATTGCTGTATTGATTACCTGCTGGCTTGATTTAGGTCAGACCTGACACATATCGACTGAATAAGAGACAGTCTCTTTTACCATCCGGCCAGTTGAACACTAAATAACTTCTCTCTACAAGTGGATGTTCAAATGCAGCTCTTACTATTTAGATATTTAGCAATATGGTCTGCCTGAACTGGGCCTAATGGAATGGACTGTCTCTGGTGAGTGCAATTTAAGTTTTGTGTGGTTCACTGTTTTTCCAGAATTTACTATTTATTATTTATAATTTATTCTTATTCCATCAGCTCCTGAAACATTAAAATAATATCAGTGAAACACTAATATCAGTGTGGATGATGTCCTCCAGCCATGCTAATGTAGGGATACCAGACTATATTTGTTTACAGACCTAGATTCAATTATCTAACAAGTGTATTTTTTGTTTAACTGTTTCAGCTTTCAAAAGCTAATTAGCATGTTTTCATATCATGACTACATTATCTTAAACTGAACAAAAACATAATATGTGAGTAGTTAAAATAAATTATTTCTGAGACATCAGTATTTATCCTGTAGTATGATTTATGTTTTCATCTTTCGTTTGATGTAATTATACTGGCCAATCAAGTAGACTGTTATATGTCATACAGAAAATGAACTCTGAATTTTATTGATTAAACACTGACTGATTTCATAATTTACTGACATGACCAGACCCAGTGGAACAGTATATTAGTGTAATGTTGAAATATCTCACACCAGCATTAGGGGGCAGTAATATCTCACATACTATTTAAAAAACACACTAATCATTTCTCTTTCACTGTGTGACACCCTAGTCTGCCTCTCAACTGATAATACAAAGGAAATCTGAAGCATGAATATTCACATTCCTTAAGTATGAATTCATTTAAGTTCTTCTTTTTTCAGAGCGAGGAGGATGCTGAGCCGAACAGAACACAGAGGTACAGTATGTCGAAGGGATCACAGGTTAAACATATACATATAGTCAGTATGAGCCCTAATCCTGCCTTTATGGATAAAATGTCTTTATAACTGCAAAATAAAGTAAGATGACTGTAACGGTGAATCTTTTAAAGGCTTCCCTATGGGAGGTTTTTCATCACACCCTCACTTTAACCTCTGACCTCTGTCTTTGGGATCTTGACCTCACCTCATAACTTTCAAAACACGTTCTGTAACTCAGATACAGATGCAGCAGGTGAACTGCTCACTGATGTGGTATATGTGTGCATTTTTACGTGTGGGTGTGTCCTGTTCCTCCTCTTCCTCCTCCTCCTCCTCCTCCTCCTCCTCCTCTTCCTCCTCCTCTAGGCGTGTGCAGGCTGCTATCATCAGTGATGTCTGGAACAGAGTCTCATACAGACAGAGAGGAGGACTACAGGTTCCTCCACAGCATGTTGATGGAGAAGAAGCTTCACTTGCTCTTCAAGGTGAAGACACACTTACGCAATGCAATGATTTGCGATTGTTTACCTCCACTAACTTCAATTACATCCTTGTCCCACTTTTCTAACTAAAAGTCCTGCATTCAAATTATTACCTAAGTAAGAGCAGCGTATCCAAAGTAACAGGACAATATTATTGTATAGCATCATACAGGGCCAGATAGTGTTACACTGATTGGATTATTATACATGTGGCACTTCAGTGTTGCAGCTGGTGAATATGAAACTAATATTAACAACTTAATTTTTGTTCACTGTTTTACTGTAATGTGTATACTGCCGATCAAATTAATCTATGACAATGAATCATATTTCATGAGATTATGATACGGTTTGGTTCCTATGGTTACAAGTAACTAGTACAATACTTGGCTGTGAAGTGCAGTAATGTAGAAATATAAAAAACTCAATTAAAGAACAAGTACTTCAGTTTGTCAGATCATAAATAAATGAAGTTAAGTAAATGCAAACTCTCGACCATTGTTAAAAACAAGGAAACTGGTCACGTAAATGTAGTTTTAATTAAACTGATTTACTGCAATATGTGTTAACATTTATTCTGACATTTTATAGGGTTGTGCTCGAGCCCTGGTAGCATAACAGATCTTTAAAATAAATTATATTTAATTATCATAAACTAAAACAGTTAATCCAGTTTGGTATTTCTTCCTGTTTTTCTCCTGATTAGCAGTAGTAGCAGTAGTAGCAGTGTTTGGATTAGCACTAGCAGCAGAAGTTGCAGTAACTGCTTTTTTTTTTACTGCAGACCTTTATTATGATACTTTACTGACATGACAGATCCACGAGCGACTGAAGCGTTTTGAGAAGCGAAGCCCCATCCCCGTCCAAGAACACGCAGCAAGTCTGGCCTCAGATGTAAGTGACTCTCTCCAAACATCTTTTGCAGATAGACACACCGCAGAGGATGACAGTTTGACAGCAGAGGGAACAGGGATGATTTTTCACTGTTTAAACTGTTTCCTCTGTTATACAGATGACTTTCCTGTCACACAGAAGCACGAGCAGATCATACATTCCTTCTCATGTGTACTGAATTATGAAATGTTATCTCAAAACTCTGTCACCTCAGATATCATCACTTGAAAGGCAGTGTATTAAAGCAGATATCAGTATGTATCTGTTTGCCAGGAGTTAGGTCACCAAGGACAGTACTGAGCAAAAGGCTGCTAAAACCATTTTGTGTGTAGTATAAAGTTTCAGGCTGGAGGAATACAATTAATTTCAGACTTAAGATAAAGTGACAGAGAGTACTGCCACTATAGCTGTGACTCCAAATGATACAAATAGTGTCTATTCTCCGCAGATGTGATTCATATTCCTCCTCATTCCTGTCTACTTGTTTACCTTACTCATTCTCCTAACTCCTGTGTTCCATTTAAATCATCTACCGCCTTCATTTCCTGATTTTCTCTCTGTTGTTCCTGGACAAAGTGCAAAACAAGGATGTTCATTTTACACTTTTCCCTTACTCTGTGCTTCCATCTCCCCTCCATCAGCAAACCACATTCCCCTTCCATTATCTACCTTCTTCCTCCCTTCTTTCTTTATTCTTTCTCTTTCCTCTTCATTTACTTTCCTTTATCTTCTCCCTATACCCTATGTACTGTAATTCCTGCCATGTTTCCATAATGTCTATCTACCCCTATCCTCTCCCACATACTTCTCTCCATCTCCTTCCCTTCACTCCCCTTGCTTCAGATTCGCTTCGACAGCCACTCTCTGCCTGGCTTAAATCATCAGGACCTACTGGAAGGGCCAAACCATGGGTCTGTTTCCCCTCAGAGAGGCTTCTGTTTGCTCACAGTGGAAACTAATGACCTTCATGCATTGTGTCTCTGGAGTGTGCCGCGACATCTTGAAGCAGTAGAAGTCATTACAGTAATATGCTTGACAAGACGGGCGACTGCACACAGTCACTCGCCGCCTCTCCACTTGCTGCTGACGGTCAAGGCTGCTCTGTTTTAGCTGTCGCCGCAGCTGTCGTGTAGCCTTGAACATTCGGGAACATTTTTTTTTTTTTTTCCAACAGTGACTAAAAGACACGAAACCAGAAAAGGCACACAGACAAATAGTTAACATAAAGCAAAGAAATGCAAGTTTGAGGTGAACGGGGCCATGTGAAAGTGCAGGCCATAAGAAATAATAACAGTACCGATGATGATGTGTCACTGAAGTCTGAATCAGATATAAGATAAATTTTACTAACCATTTTTTGTCTCTCTGCTTCTTTCTCTGTCTCTCTTGGCTAGTGCAGTGTAGACTAGAAAAAACCTCACTCGGGCCATGATATAAATGTATACCTCTAATTATAAAAAAATATATCCTGCCTCTCTTTCTCCTTTTCTCTGCCTCCAGTTGGCCGAGGAGCTGATGTATCAAGGCTGGAGAGATGAAGTCAAAGAACTGGTTGCCCTCTTTTCCAAACCACACTTTAAGGTGAAGAGTATTGAAGAGTATGTGTATTGACCTAAAACTTCCCCAGCTACATCCTTTGTCCAGTCAGATCACAACACTTCTACAAAGGGAAGAAACTACTAAAAGAAATAGTTCAACACCCTGAGAGGGAAGCTTGTTTGCTTTCTTGGCTGAGAGTTAGCAGAGTACAATAAATGGACAATAAATATGAAGCTACAGCCAGTAGCCTGTTAGCTTAGCTTAGCAGCAAAGCTAAGAATAGAGAGAAGCAGCTAGCCTGGCTTGTCATGAGTCTCCCAACTTGATATTTTTACATGTTGTTTTTTGTACTGATGAAATAAATGAGATATCGCTTAAGGGAGCTGTTCTCCCCTGTAGCCAGTCTTTGTATTGAGGGAAACCATTAAATATGAAGCTAGAGCCAGGAGACAGTTAACTTAGCTTAGTTTAGCCAGAAGACTGAAAATAGTCTAAATGTAGAAAAAAAATAAATAAATATCTGGCTGTCAGCACCTCTAAAAGTCACCATTAACACATCATGTCTCTGTTGTTTCCGGACAAGCCATGCTAGCTGCCTCTATTTTCAGTTCGCTCTCTTGCTGAGTGTTAGCTGAGAAGATGAATTGTATTTGTCCACTGGATATGAAACTATAGGAGACAGTTAACCTAGCTTAGCACAGATATGACAGTGACATCAAGCTTCTCACTTTACTCTCAGCAAGAGAGCGATTAAATGTATTTCCTAACATGTTGAACTATTCCCTGAAGTGACTTCTTCATCTCTGTAACACTACCACACATACACACACACACACACACACACACACACACACACACACACACACACATGAACAATCCCTAAACTGTAGTTTTCCATCACTGAAGCATGTCCTATAATTTCCATTCACATGGACCATCTATGAAGCAAGAATGTAATCCAGTCAGAAGATGTTGTTTTGCTGCCTTCTACTCCAGTGCCCAATCTGAAAGGATCATTAACAATGAAATAAAACCACTTATGAACAGTGTAGTTACATGTTCAGTCATTTTTCTTAACACTAAGATAACATTAGAACTGTAATCTGAGAGCCTAATTTCCATGCAGTCATGCTTCATCTCACCTATTCTGAAGCTGTTCAGCAGTTCAACTGAACACTGGAGCTTACTCACACATCAAAAGGCTTACAGCATTTTGTTTCCTACAGTCGCCTCTTATATTGGTCACACAAAGTGACAAATTAATCCAACTGTAAATTTGATTTAATTTGATTTCACCTCATCATTTTGCTCGCTGAGAGGTGCTGACATCTATTAACCACACTGGCATGGCAGCTAATCTACTCCCTAGTCATGTTTATTAGTGTTCACTCATGTAGAGGCCCAGACTACTCAAATGCATGTTTCCTTATTTCAGATCTGCTGACAGTCATATTTCAGACACACACACACAGTGTATGGTTTTCCAGCGAGCTGCAGAATTTGTGGCTATATTCTTAATGAGGAGCTGAAGCCAGACGAGAACTAACAGGTTTGTTTAAACAGTCTTAATGACCTGTTTGTTCTTGGCCCCAACGCAGGAGCTCACACATACTTATGAGAGACACTGGGTTTAATATTCTGTAAATGAATGTTTGTTTTTTGAAAACCTGTCTCTGAAAGTGGCCAGAGACACATTGCTCACGCGTTGGCAGCTTCTGAGCAGAGCAACTGTTGATGGACACAGGGATAACAAGTAGACTAACTGACAGATGGATTGGCTGATTGTTAAAATTAAGTTGATGAACAGATGTTTCCCCTCCTCTCATTCTTTCTTATTACAGTAAATTCCCTTTTTTTGGAAGTGTACTTTGTGCGGGCTCACAGTAAGAGATTAACGTTTATCCAGAATATTGTTTTTCTGCAAACAAACCTGGGGTTTTCACACTGCCAACATGAACAAAAAATGAACTTATATGAACTCTCTGGGCTCTGATAGTGACTCATAGATCAATTCACAGTCTCGCACTGGAAAAGGAGCTTTTTTTTTTTTCGAAGACATTTGTGATGCTTGAGCTGAACCAGTACAACTGCAAACAGAGTGACAGCGAGTGACGTGGGGGGTTGCTCTCAGGTGGCCCACAGGCTGGCAGTGCATTCCAAACTAAATCAAATTTGGCATGTTGGCACCGGCAAAGCTGAAGGTTTGCAACCAAGAGGAAAGTGCTGTATTTGGATGCAGGCACTGTAGTGAGTGCAGGCGGGCCAGACAAACTTGTTGGAATTTTTGCACAGCCTCATTTACTACCAAGTCACCTTTAATGAGTCCACAGGGATTGGTAACGTTTTTGTTTGAGTACATACCATTTATCTATCTCTAACTGAACCAGTTTAAAATTGTTGTTCTAAACTTGTGTTGGTAACGCTGCAGTGACACTGGTTCTACAGCATGCCTTCACTTAGACTGGATGATATGAAATGTACAGCAGTGATTACACTGGCATTTGCTCACTATGCTGAGTTCGACAGCAGCTTGACAGCCAGCTTTCAGCCACTTTCCATTTTGTTTGGAGTACACTGCTGACTGTCCTCACCCAGTGCTATTTTTTCCCTGCAAAATGAGATGCATTTAAAGAGAATAGTCCCAGAACCGCATCCACTCCCAGCACCTACTGCACAATTCAAAGTGACACACCTGAATCCAGAGCAGTCACCGTTTTTGTGTTTCCCTCACAGGGTCTCCTGTCTGTCCACGACGCTGTAGCTCAGAGAGACTTTGAACCTACTCTGCCGCCAGTACCTGATGATGTCCTGGAGGAGGACGAGGATTCAGTCAAAATTGTCAGTCTGGTCAAAACCAAAGAACCCCTGGTCAGTAAACATTAAATTAAAAATTTAATCTATCTTACATGAAATGTTTGACATTTTGGGGAAATCCACTTACATTTTCTTGCTCAGAGGTTAGGCGGTTAGGTAGTAGTGGCGGTAGTGCAGCTTAGCTTTGCATAAAGATCGGAAATAGGGGAAACAGATGTAGAGATACTGTATACTGTCACATACTGGCAGATTTTCTTTGTATCTTTTGACAGAGCCAGGCTAGCTGTTTCCCCCTCTTTCCGGTCTTTATGCTAATCTAAGCTAACTGCCTGATGGCTAGCCGCATATTTATGTTAGAATACACACATCTCTCAGCAAGAGAGCAAATACACATATGTCCCAAATACAACCTCTTGGTTGAAAATAAAGAAGCTTGAAGACTGCATCATACACTAAAATGTTATGTTGTTAATCCTTTAAAAGTTAATCATGTTAATGGTCCAGAAATAACAGTTTGCCCTGACCGTAAATATGAAAAAATTGTTCACTCTACCCATAAGCGTTCTTATAATGGCTCTGAAAGGACAGCTGTACGCAGCTACATATATGAGCCTGTTTCTAATTTGGTCTACCTGGCCTCACAATGAACATGAAACAAACTCAAGTATTTAAGTTGCGACAACCATGTAACAGGGTAAATGCACCTAAAAATGTGTAATTTGTACGGCCACAATAACTGACATACACAAGCAGTTCAAAGGAATAAACATATCAAAGCTGAATTTATCTCTGTGGACTGAATTTATGACATGTTTTCGACTAGAAAGCCCACTAAAGCCGTGTATGCCAAGGCGTAGCAGAGCGAAAGCTCTTGCAATGACAGGAAACATAAGGAAAGGCTCCTGCAGCCGCCTGGATCACCTTTGCCTCTGGGCTGCTGCTCGCTTTCTTCAACTAGGAATTTACAGAGTCAATTCTTCCACATCTTTGTTGCCATATATCTGCTGTGACGCACAACATAGTTTCTGCATTATTGTGTGTAAGTGTGTGTGTGTTTGCAGCATGTGCAGTGTATGCACTGTAAAATATATGCCTCTTAATGGAGCTCTTTAAAGCAGTATTTTGAAATTGAAGGGATTGGGATCATTTCTTTTCTGTTTCTGATGTAAATCAACTTGTTTCAAGGTCTTTAATCATGGCCCATTTTCTTTATACTACTGGAATGAGCTGCCTAATTCCACCTTGGTCCAAGCCATTGTCACTTATTTCTGGAAATTTCCTGGATCAAGTGAAACTGGACTGAAAGCTAATGAAACTATAAAGAGCGCATACCTCCGCCAAGGCTGCAAAATCCTCTAAATTTGTTATTTTAACAGTAAAAAAAAAAGTTCAATTTTTTTTTTATTTAAGATCACCATAAAATACGTATAGTGATGGACAGCTGTGGGGTACCTGTGCCAGATTTTGTCCATTCAAGCAGGCCCAGTGTTTCATTATAAAATACCAATAATATTAAAAAAAAATGTCCTCACATGCAAGTCAAAATTCCTTAAAAAAAAAAGAAAACTCCTGGATCCACATTTAAAAAAAACCAAGCATTTGTTTCTTAATCTGTGTGTTTTTACCAAATTTCATTGAAACCTGTTGACAGGTTTTTGAGATATCCCACTAACTAAAAGACAAAAACAAACACTGCCAAAGAATAAACTCAACTGGTGGAGATGAGCTAATATTTTTTTATGAAAAATAGGATTTTGGGGTAAAGTATGAGAATAATTAACTCAATGACGGACATTTTCTGCAGTGTGTGTATTCTCGTGTGTTAGTGGCTGTCCTTTCAAAAGTGAATGCGCTTAGGACCAATAATAAAGAACATACTTTTGTATTGATCCCAAAACTAGATTGGAAGGGGACTGACCTTTTTCTGACTCGCTCTCTTTGATCGATCCAGCATGTTCCTGTTTTCCAGACAACAGGGTTACACCCGAGCGTGAGCTGATTGTAGTCAGCTACATAAGATGCTCTTTCCATTGCGATTTGCTCCATATCAGTAACATCTGTTGAAAATAATGTTGATTTGGATAACCTTTTCCCAGCGCTTTGTGTGTTACATGAAGGCAGCTGGCTAAATGGTCCCCTCTCGATACAAATAACCTTCACTGGAATGAAGTGACTCTAAATAAGAAGCTTGTCTGGGCTGTAATAAAATCAACATGTTGTTTTCACTCTCCATCACTTGACCTCTTTGCCTCTGTGCATCTCCTCGTCTGTTTCTCCATCATTCTTTCATTAACTTATCACCATCCGCAAGGGGGCAACAATTAAGAGGGATAAAACCACTGGCGCTATTGTAGTGGCGAGGATCATGCGAGGAGGTGCGGCTGATAAAAGTGGTAAGCTGATAATCTCTCAGTCATCACAGTTATATCCAATCCTGTACCTTTGTGTTCTAGTAATATTATGACGGTCCGCAGTACATGTATGTTACAGAGAAGAACATGTGGTTCAGTTTTCCGTGTGTATTTCCAACACTCTGAAGGACTGATCCATGAAGGAGATGAGCTGAAAGAGGTGAATGGAATCTCATTGGAGCACAGGAAGCCAAAAGAAATCCTCCCTCTACTGGTTAGTTTCATCTGTTTGCCTCAGCCGTCTTCTCATTGGATGTTTCTGTTTCGTTCTGTCCTCTTGCTCTCATGCTTTTCTCTTTTATTTTTCAGCGGTGTAACTTAAAGGCTAAGGCTGGCTTTGTTTTATCTATATTTTTTTTTGTTATTGTCAAACAATCTCATGAAAAGACAATAAAAACAACAAACTGTCAATCCATCTCTCAATACCTTTCAACTGCTCTACCATGTCTGTGGCTCTCAGCTCCAGCCCCAGATGTTCCTACTGAGGATGTAAATCTTTAAAAATAAATAGTTAGATTTTTTAAAAAAAGGTTCAGTAATTTCCTAAGACAGCTGGGCACTGTAGTTTTTTTTAGCAAACATTCAAACAGGAGTATTTGTTTGGGGCTATTTCCTAATGCCGATTAATCCACATCTGGTTTGCTGTTGACTATTCACAGCAGCAAGACAGCGTATTTGGAAATAAGTCAAATTAAACTGTTGTCCCCATGTTCACGGTAATGCAGGAACTTGTTATCCAGTTCAGTGGTGTGGCTCACTGACAACACTGGAGCTCTTTGACACAGAGGAATAAGCTGTGTAAGGCCTTAGTTACAAAGGTAATCCTTTCTTACTGGAATCAGTTAATTGTTGGTCTCTGTTATTTTCATTGGCTTTGTTGATTGTGAGAAAAACATAGACCATCTGCTATCCTCTCCTTCAGAGGAAGATGAAGCTACAGACAGGAGACAGTTAACTTAGCTTAACAATAAGAAAATTGAAATTATTTTTATGGCATTTTTTTTTGGCTTTATTGGACAGCTGATTTAATGAACGAGATGAGCACACTACCTTGTGACCTTTAAAGGAGCTATAGATGGATTTTTTTCATTTGGACAGGCGAGCTGTTTCCCATATTTCAGGTCTTAATGCTTAGCTAAGCTACGCTAACTGGCTAGCTTAGCTAGTTGTAGCTTCATATTTAGCGTACAGACATGAGAGTGGTATGAAACTTCTCACCTAACTCTACGAAGGACGGATATATGGCTACTTCCTGAAGTACTAAATGATTCATCTTTGATGTCACTGTTCTTGCACAGGCCTGTTCTCAGGGTGACATTACATTCAAGATCATTCCTGCCTCCTCAAAGGAAGAAATGTCTTCAAATAAGAAGAAGGTACAGTAAATATTAACTAAACGTATTCGTATGTGTGCTTTTTATGTTAGCATGCAGTCCGGCTGCATGGGGAAAGCTGCCCACCTGTTTTCAGTAAGACGAGATGAAATCAGTGGTATCTTGTGTATTTGGTTATGTTTTGTGTTTTTGCCACGGCGCTGTCACTACAGCAGTGCGGTTGTCAAGAAGTAAATTCAGATCAGACAGTCAAGGACAAGCTTTTTATCATTTAAAGACTCGATGTATCATTTTATACGCATCCCATCTGTTGAGCCGTATCCACTCAGTTCAACATTAACAATAAATCTATACACCTTATGTAGAAAATTTCAGGTTCCACAAGCCTCTTTGTTTAGAAAGATGGAGTGTATGTCCAAGCTGGAACCTGTTAGAGCGAGCATTATGCAATGGATTAAGACAAATTATTGTCAGTGATTGTGGTCATTTCTCAAAAGTGACACCAACATATGTGAAGACACACCAGACAAAGATGCACTTTGGCAGGATACAGAAGTTCTATGAAGCTGCAGTAGAAAAAGAGAAACATGGATAAATAAATAAAGTAGAAAGTTGCATTTCCCTTTGTCACCAGTCTGATGGATTAACATATTGAACGATTCTCTTTCCTAAGCTCTTTGTACGGGCTCTTTTTGACTACGATCCAAACGAGGACCCCACTGTCCCTTGCAAGGATGCAACAGTTTCCTTTAAAAGGGGCGACGTCCTTCAAATTGTCAGCATGGAGGATGACACCTGGTGGCAGGCTTGTCACCTTGCAGACAGCAGCAATCGGGCAGGGCTCATCCCCTCACAGCAGCTACACGAGAGGTGGTCTTTTTTATGCTTTTGATAACAAAAACCCTATCATACAATACCTTCAAGTCATTTTTAATAAAATCCTGTTACGATTCAGCCTTTGTTTTTATCTGGTTTCCTACAGGAGAGTTGCACTACAGCGACCCAAAGCCCTGTTCAAGCCTCAGCGAGTTAAACCACCAGGTGCTGAGCCAACGTTTGTCCATAAACTCACCACACCTGAAAAGAATAAAAACCTTTTAACACTTTCCAATAAACACATTATAGCTCCTTCAGTGCTAAGCTGAGGGGTGACAGGTCGTGGTCAAGGTCAGGGGTGAGTTCTGCCGCCCTCCTGTAATACTCACAACTTTTGTTTTCTCCACATGCTCCACAGATGAGGGGGAAGGTATTGTCTGTTTAAATTTGCTTTTGAAAACTTACCATCAGAATGATTGACATAATATAATACACATGTATATTTTAGGTTTTGGTTTTGGTTTTCTAAAGATTTAAAGAGTTGTGTTATCCAAAGATAATAATCACGTAATTCTCCCCACATCATATTTCCTAAATGGAGAGGATTCTGTGAAATGTTCCTTTGTTGTAACCAAGCAGGTTTAAAGTATTTGGCCAGTGTGATTCAGTGTGATTTAGTTTTTCACTAGCAATCACTTTATAAGAGTAAGGTAGTTATTAATATTTCTAAAATTGTGGATATCATGTCTAAATAAAACTATTATTAGAATTTCCAAAGCAAAATATTAGGACATTTGGGTCAGCACATATGTTAATACTTTGAGTATGAAATTTCAGAGTAATGCACATGTCATCCCTCTGTGGTTTGAATCCACAATTTCCTCACTCTTTCCTTTTCTCTCTTCCTGTTTTTCCAGTCATGGAGGATGTAGACTATGGAGCTATAACAGGGATCCACATTGGTGAGATGTTTGACTTGTTCCACTCATATCCCACTGATACTGGAAAATGGACCAGTATGATACAAGGCGATGCAACTCATGGCAATCCACAGCTCACAACAATACACATATATATTGAATATGTATTGAAAAACAGATGGAGAAAAATCAGCAAGAAAGGAGACCCCAGTTATATTTACCCCACAGACCAGTTCATGTGATGATGTAGTTTTGTGGTTTGGAGATTTAGGGGGAAGGACTAGAACAGCAAATGTGGTTTTAGCTTTCCCATTTATCCCATTTGTCTTGATCTCATGGATTGGATATGATGTGCTTGTGTGTATTTGCCTGTGTGCATTTGAGCAGTGCAGGATGTTCGTATGGGGGTGTGCACTTATGGCTGATTGTAAAAAGGCTCCTTACGTCTATACAAGGCATGGTAATTACAGATGTTGCATTATATCAGTTCTAAGAGTCATGTGCATTTAATAATGTGCATTTCATCTTATCTCAGGCCAGGTTCCACCTGAGGACGTGGTTCAGACTCTGTGTTTCCTCTTGGTCTGGCATGTAAAGCCTTATTGATGCCGCACTACTACATGCGTGTGATCAGAGAGAGTATAGTGACATGGTAGAGTATTACTGACACACAAGTGAAGACATGGTAAAACCAAGCTAATAGCTTGTACTCACGTGTCCTTAGTGTACAGATTTTAGACTGTGGTTATCTGTCTGTTCTTTAAAGAATAGCTTGACATTTTGGGGGATGTGTATTTGCTTTCAGCATTCAGTTCAATGTTGCCAAGCACTTTTAATGGAAAGTAGCTAAAGTCTGCTTGAAAAGTCGCTAAGTGACGTCATGCGCCAATGTCAGCTGCTGTGCGGACTGAATGCACTGCAGCACCTCTCAGAGACAGGTGTGACTCTCGCTCGCACAGAAATACTGGTGACTCTCTGTAAGGTTTGTCGAAAAAGTTGCTACACATCTTTTGCTAGTAGCTTTTCTGATAAAAAAAGTCATTAAACTGGTCTGAAAGGTTGTTAAATGTATAGCGTCAAAGCGCTAGCGCTAAATTAGCAACACTGAGTCAGTTGGCTTAGATTAGCATAGCAAGACTGGAGGCAGACAGGAAGAGGCTAACACCCCGTAAATCCCGTAGCTGGATCCCCCTGCCCCCCATTCTTGATGCCTAACCGCTCAGTTATTTCTTGTTGTGTCAAATTTGTCAAAAGAAATCACACGGAGAGTTTTTTTCTCTCTCGTTTCTTCCTGTATAACATTTTTGATGACTCATCTTGAACTTAGGAGTGTATACTTACACTTATAAACTAGCTAGCTAACCCTGCCCACCAGCTTGGGGGTCGCTGTAGCCAGAGTAGTAGAGAGATTTTCTGGTAGTAGATAGCAAAATTAGTGTCATAGCACGAGGTGTGTTTAGGTATGAGTTGGCAAAAATCTTTTTTGAAGAATATTGTTGAGGTCTAAGTTAGTGCATTCAAATTTGAAGGATTTAATTACAATCCCTGTCATAACTACATCCAGCCCATATTTTGTCTTTCACGATGTCAATTTACAGAAGCTAAAGACGCTTTAACTTCTGTTTCACTTTGACTTGAACGCACAGGTAACAGGGTGGTATCAATGTTTTTGTCCCACTCTCAGCGAAAAAGAGAATAAAAGTATTTCCTCAAATTTTGAACTATTCCTTTAAATGGTTCCAGTGTACTTACGAAAGACTATGGTGCTTCATACTCAGAGTTAATGTCCACTCCTTTGCACTGCAGGTTAAGGCTCAAATCATATAATCTTGAGGTGTGGGGTTGACGCCCAGTATGTAACCACTCTGTCTTATCTCCCCTCGCACCCTTACCTCAGACTGTCTAGTAAGCAGAAATATCTTGTTGCATCTTTTAGGCTGAGAGCATTTTCAGTAACAGATGAGACTCCCACTGCCAGAATTAATTCAGATTGTACTTGTACTTCAGATGTTTTCTTCTAGATTTTATTTCACTATAGGAAATGAGATTTCTCATTTTCTGTATAACATTGGTTTTATACAGTATGTATCACCCCTTTACATTCATGAGTGAAATCATCAGTTTAAATACCATGTAAACAAAAGTTGGAAATCTCTGCCCGTAGTGCCATGTTTCTTAGAATGAAGCCCGGAGAGGAAATGGACAGATATGCTTACAAAGTGAAATTACAGCTGACGTCAAAGAAAGCCTGGCACCATCACTTAGCTGTAGTTAACATCATGAAAGAGAGCGAGACTGCCAAGCCAGGCCAGACCACAGCTGCATGGCAGACACTGGATGTCAGACGGCCTACAAGCCACACATGACAGACTGAGTTGTTGTTTCTTGACTGAGATTGGTGCTGTTCAGGAAAGCGCTTGACTCCAGACTTTGGGTGGCAGTGTTGATGGTTTCTTAAATGGTGATGTACTCGTCTATTCCGCCTCCTATTCCTATTGGAGCTCTCCCTTCTGTCATGTTTTAATCAATTGGGGTATCTGATGCTTTTTGATAATGTCTAATAATTCTCGTGTTTGAACTTTTATTCAAGTGACGTCCAAGTGGTGCCCCAGGTGGAGCATTGTTAAATGGATGGTGAATCATGGGAGTAAATTAAGTCCTTAAAAAAGCAAGCCTATTAAGTTATCTCAAAACTGTGAGAAAAATAAAACAAAACAAAACATAGATCAAATAGACCATCATGGGGATAAACATGGCCTTGATTTAGCACTCCTCTTCCTGCTGTCTGTCTCGCTTGGGTTGGCTTAAAGCTGCATTGATCAATGTGGATCAATTATGTGTAATGTGAAAGAGGTCACTTATAGCAATCAACCCACAGTGAATTGTCACCAGACCTTTAAGTTCCCCTGTCTGAACCCTTTTAGCCTTTCTTTTGGTCTTTGTTTTGGTTTCATGGCCCACGACGGCTCACTCTCACTGCTCTCATCAACCTCATTTCCAGCCACAGCAGGTAACTGCTAGCAGTTATCTGTCCGGCATCAAATGATAGACAGACAAAATTAGCAACTATCTGATGAACTTAGCAGAGCGTTTAACAGCTAACAAGCCATATTTTAATGGAATTATATTCATCAGGTGTGTTCATCAGAAATGTGACTCCAAATGAATCATAATGTTGCTCTGTATCTGCTGGATATGTAAATGCTAACACACTCACCATATCAACATTATAAGCCAATAATATGCCAGGTGTTGTGTTGTGCTGCGTTCAAGTGGACAAAAAAAAAGAAAGAAAAAGAAATCAATTAATGCAGGTTTTAGGGCTGTCACAATGGAGATATCCTCCTGCTAGGTTTTTAGTAATACACCTGACAGGTGGGTTGGTATACTTACTAACACACAGCAAAACACACACACACACATACGTACAACACACACTGATACACTCACAAAGTCTAAGGCCTCTCTATCCCTTTCCCAGCTGGTTTAAGAAGGAGTTTCCGACTTGGCAGAAAGAGCAGCCGGGCCAGAGAGGCAGCTCGGTCCCGGAGGTGGAGTGCAGGGGTACATGGCTCACTCCGTCCCCCGACCTACATAGAGGTGATCCCCTATCGCAGAGACTCCAAAGACAGACAGCGTCTGGTCGTTTTGGTTGGTACGTATGAGCTCAACATAAAGCCACATCAACAGGCAGGTTCCCATGTTGTGTGGAAAGTTTGTTTTCAAAGCACAATGCCGAATAAAAATAGGTTCCTATGCTGCGAATTAGTCTAACATCGCTATATACAAAACTTACACATGGTAGTTACTGTGGTAATATACACACAGTGGTCAGTTGTGTTCTGTTTTATATTACCCTGCTGCCTGTTTTTTTTTTTTTTTTTTGTCCATGCAAAAAATCCCAAATAACGTGATTCCATTCACTAAAAGGACAGTATTATTGAAGCTGTTGTTGATCAAAAGAAAAAGTAACGCATTGATGAAGATTTATGTTCCGACTCTTGAGTGCAAGAACGATCCTTTCCCATCAGAACCACGTAAACACTGTCAGAAAACTCCAAGTCAGAATATATTGTGTTCTCTTAAGTTACCTAGTGGCCCACCCCAGATTCACTTCTCTGCCAATCCTGCAGGCCTGCTCTATGTATTTCTGAGCTATATCCCTCCCCAGGGAATTTCACATTGAGCCCCGCTGAGGGTCTTTTTAATGTCATATTACGATACAACTGTAGGTCATCTGTGACTGAGGGGAACAGAAGAAAGACGAGAAGAGGAGAGATGGAAGAAGAGAAAAAAAAATAAAAGTGGAAGGCAGAGAGAAACACGATGAACTGAAGAGGTGCAAAAACAAAACCAGATAGAGAAGAGATAAATGATAGATGAATGGAGAAAAAGGGATGAGCGGATTGTGAATAAGATCCTGCATAATGTCAGCCAAGTGCTCCATCATCAAACTGGAACAGTTAAGACAGCTTGGATTTAGATTTAGACCTCTTTAATTGAGTTGGATCTTCCCCCGACTCTGGATTACGTTTTACTGTCTGCTGTGAAGGCCCTTCATTGACCGGAGGTCATCATTAAGAATATATAGCTTATTGGCAATGAGAGTTATAGACAGGAAAACCAAAACCTGGATCGCTAAAACAGGACCAGCTGGATAATGTTTGATCAGGTTGGAAATATATCCTTTTTTGTTTGCATTGCATACGCACTTAGAGTGAAACAATAGACAGTTATGCCCCAGGAAAGCTGGTGAAAGTGACTGTCAGCCACTTTAAGCCCTGCAGATTGTGTAACGCTTGAAAAAAAAAAAAAAAAAAAGGTCAGAAGAAAGTATCCACAGAGACTGGTGATGCTCCTCTCCAGTTCTTTGGAGCAGCTGTGAAACACATTAGCAGTGTAAGAGTGGAGAGTCTATAAACCTGATATTTTGTAATGTATCGAGCTCATGCAACGCAGTGATGGAAAAGGCAGGTATGTCAGGAATCCTACTTTCAGACAGCGCTCCATTAGAGTCTGATGCAATCTGGAGCTGGAGAAACCTGCAGGAGAAGAAAATCCCAGATGCTGCAGTATGTGTGTGTACGCATGTGTGTGTGTATGTGTGTGTGTGTGCGCTTCATCCTGTGCATCCTACACTATAATGACACTGATACTGTGTGGCTCTACAGATGTCACCTTTAGATGTGATGCTATGGATTTTCCAGAGGGGTATAGGAGCGTTTAACCGTTCGATAGAGACACAGACAGAGAAAGAGCGAGGCTGGTTTTCAGACTGAAATCAGTATGAAATCAGAGCTCTGTCTGTCTGACTCTCTCCTTCTCTGATGATAAAGACAGATGTGTCACCAGATCACTAAGCCTATTTAATGCTGGACTTGTCGTGAGGAAAACATTAGTACACAGTGATATTGGGAATGAATACCCACATACAGAACACAGTGTTTTGATCTTTGCCTTCAGGGCCCAGCGGTGTTGGCGTCAATGAGCTGAAGAGGAGGCTCCTGATCTCCGATCCCGACCGCTATGGCGTCACTGTACCGCGTAAGACGGACATCTTCAAGTTTCATAACTGACACCTTTACCTCCTGCACATTAAATGTTTTCTCACCTTTTTGAAGCCAGTTTCCAAAACCAAGTTTCAGCCTCTTGTCGCCTGTGCTCTTTCAGACACCACACGTGAGAAGAGGAGGCAGGAGAACGAAGGGATGGATTATCATTTCGTATCAATTCACATGTTTGAAGAGGACATTCTCAATCATAGGTAGTGCAAACGCAGGTGTCGCTCTTGAGGTTTCCTTTCCCATGGTGTTAAAAATAGCCTCTCTTGTGTTTCGCTCACTCACTCTTCCTCCCCCTTTTTAACGGGAGTGATGTCCACCATTTAGGCTGCTGTCTCATTACCATTTTCTGTATTCTGTGTCTGTCCTGTTTCTTTCTGCCTCTAGGTTTATAGAGTATGGGAGATTCAGAGGTCATTACTATGGAACAAGTCTAGACTCTGTGCACAGAGTGATGGCTGAGGGCAAGGTCTGCATCCTGGATGTACATCCTAGTGTAAGTATAGTGCCATCAAAAACAAACGAAAGGCTTTTTGAGCTAAAATAATGCACATGTCCTTGGTGAAACTCACTGGTGCTTCATACTAACCCAAAAAACAATTGCCTTTGCAGTAATGAAAATTTAGAGTTTTTCCACATATGACCTGTTGATGTTTTTAATAAGTTTCCAGAGTTGCAGAGTTTAGTTCCTGGCAGTGATACTTCCTGTTTGGCCTCCACTGAACACAATTGTCAGTGTTGACGTGGTGGGAAGTGAGTGAGGGATCACATGCCACTGCGTTATTATGGCGTCTGTACTGATGAGGGATGGGATAGTGTGAACCCCCACGAGTTACGAGCTGCTGATCAAGGGCTTGTCAATTAAGAAGGGGCCGGTGACTCCATGTGTATCAGAAGAAGCACACAGCTGTCTACACTCTCCCCCGGTCGACAGTTGGGAGCTAGCAGTTACAAATACTGTGGTACATGAAGGCAGTCCAAAATAGAGACAAAGGGAGATATAAGAGGCGAAATAAAAATAAAGATTAAAATTAGATTTAAAGTGGAGGCTGGTGACATGCTGCATGTTACTGTCTGTACACCATTTATAGAGTCTGGAAAGTAATCCCACATGATTCAGACCAAGAATGCTGTCATCAACAGTGCTGCCATCCGCTGCACAAAATCATATCCAGTTGCAGCATTTAAGGTGATTCAACATTTACCACATTTGAAATAATGCTAGTAGCTTCACAGCATACAAGGATGTCAAGATGGAATAGTTTTGATTTTCAGTGTTTTCATGCCAAAGGGCCGATCTTCTGAAATCTTGGTCTATTCTTTTAATGTGTCTAAACTGTTTAGATTTATAAATGCTGCCTTCATTTAATCCCCTCCCTTCTTGTTTTTGTCATTACAGAAAATAAAGCATGTGTACACATCCGAATTCAAACCGTACGTGGTGTTTGTGAAACCCCCGCGTATCGAGGAGCTGCGTCTCACCAGGCGGAGAGCTAAATTCATCTCGGATGAAGAGGACACAAACCCAGTCAGGATCTTTTCAGTAAGAGGAACCACAACATAAACACACAACACACGTTCCACCGGGCAACATGTGAGAAGTCAGGTGCTCGGTCCATGTCTTGTAACATGCAGGGCGGTGTGAGGTCAAACACCTTGGCCTTAGTACAGCTACCCAACCCACACACACACACACACACACACCTCAACTCGCTTACTCATGCACACACCTTGCCTTACACATGGCTGACCCTGTGGTTTGCATTTAAGAGACATTTAAGAGACAGGGGGAGTTACAATGCTTGGTGGGTGGCTTCTTGTTCCACAACGTACGAATAGGTGAGTTCATTTTATCCAGAAGATGAAGGGATACGTGTCGTTCGTATACGCACCAGTCTGACAGAATGACTGAAAGAAGAGCAAGGTGTGTTTAATGGTACATGTGTTTCGGGCTGGACAAAAAGATGCTGGGTCACTTTCATAATCCCCCATCTGGCTCCTCAGCCAGTGTTTGCTGCCCACGTTGCCCTTATTAAACCCACAGGGTCACACACCTGTGTCGCAGCGTGGCTGGACTTCGCCCACTACACAAGCAGCACAGCCATATTGCACAGGGCTGTGCTTTCAGCTTGTACCGCAGCTGTTGTGAAAAGGCTTCTTATCCTTTACTCTCAGCGTGTAACGATCTGTTACGCCTCGTAACAGTAGAGCTGAATGGTCGTGGGGATCCTTCCGTATCCCTGTTATGTTACAGTATGTGCAGATTATTGTGAAACAACGCTTCTTGGAGAATGTTTTGTCACCATATGGCCAAGCTTTAGCTGTTCTGTTCCATCAGCAGCGTTTGTCGTATTGACAATGATATCATCATAAATCATTAGTTGCTTTTACTGCAGGTTCTTTTCTTCTTTTGCTTGAAAGGTAATTAAAGGACACAAATCAAACCAGCTGAGAGCTGAATAGGAGCTCATATATTGCATCCTGTGTTTACAGAGGTGCTCTCTTTTTACAGGAGGAGGATTTTGAGGACATGATTGAATTGGCTGAAACCATGGAGAACCACTACGGTCACCTGTTTGACAAAGTGATTGTTAACGGGGACGTGGCTCTGGCGTTCAGGGAGTTGAAGGCCGAGCTCGAGAAGACTGAGGAGGCAGAAGTCCAGTGGATTCCTGCAGAGTGGATTCGCACCTCACCAACAGCAGCACGGAGAAGTTTCAGTCATTTGACCGGCTGGATTTGAACTTTAAGCTCTTGAGACACACAGGAAACTATAATTGGCTAAGTTTCTCCTGGTAATGAAAGCATTTGTCTTATGAATGACTTTTGACAGAACTGTGCTTTGATGAGGAATATGTCAACCAGATGTTTTCTTTTTTCATAGGACACACAAAAACAATTTATTTATTAATTGTAAGATATGTAAGAAGTCAACACCTTCAACCTCTGACACTGAATTTCTGTCATATTTTAAATATTGTTCCATTTGTAAACAAGTGCTGTGATTACCTCAGTTTTCCACAGTGTCCCTCAGTGTGTATCTAATTAAGCAAACAGAATCCATCTCTCTCTCTCTCTCTCTCGTTCTCCCTCCGTCTGTCTCAGAGCCAGTTTTTCTGTTGGCATTTGGCTGAAATAACGTCGGCTCGCAGGACGAAGAAGAGAAGAAAAAAAGAAAAAAGAAAAAGGAAACTCTCCAGAGCTTGTGGCTGAGTGTAATCCTTCCCTGCCAAGTCGCAAACATCAGCATGTAATTATTCTGACAGCTGCTGCACTTCAATTAACTGTAATGTACACCAGAGAAATATTATTAGTAGCAGTCGGGGGAGACATTTTGCCAGCGATATGCTGTAGAAAATAGGGACACAAACAAGAAAACAGTCGATCAAAAACATAGACAAAGCAGAGTGAAAACCTTTTTTCTGGGTGTAAGTTGTAGACTTGTGTATATATTGTTTACATTTCATAGATGAGGACTATAAAAGCTGCTAGTTACAATCACTATAATCAGCATTATAGTATCTTGGCTGTTGAAGACTTTCAGGGCTTGAAATTGTGTATTTTCAAGCACCCAATGTTGACAGTCAACTTCATTAAAGAATATTAATCCTGAAAAGGTCTTTTTTTTTTTATACGAAAGACAATTAAACATAATTGGCAGCGACTTTCAATTAGGAACACTCCATTAAGAAATACCCATATCTGAGCATCACAGCTGCTTGTCGGGTGCAGATTCTACTGTTCACGTGAGCTGCTTCTTCTAATTCTTTTTAATGGCTGCATTCCTCTACATTCACGGTGTTTCCTCTCTCTTTTTGGTTGCTGTGCTCAATTGGGTGTGAAGGAGTGTTAATGTGTCTATCATGTTGTGTTTGGGAGGAAGAGGGAGCAGCATGATGTGGAGAGACTGTAATGGCTTTCAAGGGACTCGGGCCTTCGCAGTCGCACAGAGAGAAAGTTATGAGCGCACAAAGCTAACTGTAAAAACGAGCCTAAGCTTGACATAGTGGATTAGGCTGCAGGGATAAAGAGCACACCATCACGCCTCAGGTATTTATTTTACCTTGGCAGGCTTATTGTCAGTGTCAAACACAACTAAGTACACAAGGAGGACAGTGCCACAAATGGGGCACTGGATTGGAGATGCACTCATTGGCGTGTCTGCATGTTTCCTGGTCACCAAAACCTCCAGACCAGTCTGTCAGGTCAACAGTCGCACTTCTGCCAGGCCTGAAGCCCGACCTCAGCCAAAGCGTGGCAGTATAATTTCATCACACCACTGAGAATCTGCAGGCACCCTGTGAGATCATAACGATGCCATTAAAGACACCCGAGTGATCCAATGAAAACTCACCGTTTTATGTTCACTGCAGCTCCCACTTCAAACATTGCACAGAGGTATGATGTCAATTGGTCTCGGATAATTTGGCTAAATCGTGCCACTGTCCATTGAAAGTATGTAAAAAATAAATGGTAAACAATATCTTCAACTTTGCATGAGATATTCATAACTTTTAAACAACCAACACACTAAACCACATGCTTAAAGTATATGGGAGTTAATTACACAAACCTACAGCAAAGAAAGAAGGGGAAAAGGTCTTTAGTTCATCACAGAGTACTTTAAATTGAAAGTGTCTACGGATTTCTATTTGCCTTGGCTATATTCACACATTAAGGCAAAGATATGCAACTTTGAAAAAAAGAATGACACAATCTTCCTATTGCAAAATTAAATTGAATTCATAAACAATAAATACACCTTTGCTCAGCTGAATACATTCAGGGACTTTGACTTTCTGGTCATATCAGACCAATTAAGGCTGTAGCAACAAAGTGGCTAATGTTAGCAAACTTAACACATTCATGGCTAACTAACATTATGACAGATGACTTTTCAATAATAAGATGTAACTAAACACTAAAACTCACCAGGAGATGTTTCACTTTTTCTTTTTTCTTTTTTTTACTGCAGCACAACAAGCTGTAAATGCAATTCTGACATATTAACTTACAAAGTTGTTATAGTGAGCCTGTTAGCAAACATTTGCTTATTTTTATGTCCAGATGACATCAGCATTCATTTGGAGTCGTGTTGCTGACCACATGACAAATGTATTCTCTCTCCTTTTAACTTTGGTTTTGCTTTCCACCAACTCCTGAGGCAGATATCTGGTTCTTTAGTTGCTAAGTGCTAACATATGTTCACCAGCTAGTCATTAACTTTGCCTGCTTTTTCTTTGGTGCTGGTTAGGTTGTATACTCTAGGTTTATCATTTCTTTTTCTTTTCATTAAATACAGCTCCTAGCTACGGTAGAAATTATTATTGAACCAAAACATTACAATTGCAGGCTGTTAAACCAAAACAATAAACTGAAAGAAGCTAAAACTCTTCACAGATCTGAGGAAAGAGTGACAGTGATAATTTTCTGTGGGTTTGTCAATATGAGTAACATGTTACATATAGTAATTTGATCTGTTGTTAATATGGAAATATTGATTAGTGCAGCTTTAAAGCAATCTTGGGCATTATGCTGTAAATACCTCGTTTGGCCGTAGTGGCCACTGTTCAGCAAAAGTTGCAAAAGTCTTGGCACACAGAGCAGCAACAGCATGAAAAGCATTATTAATAATCCTTCATTATTAATCTGCTGAGTTAGAATTACCAAATTACAATTAATGCAATGTCTAAATTTGGCTTTAGTTTCTTCTTCAGTTTCTTCACTCCAATACACTTTGCTATGTGTTTGGGCTTTCGGATAGGTCTGGAGTTTGTGAACCTGCAGTCGCACACACACAAGTGCCAAACTATCCAAACAAAAACAGATATATCTCCTTCCACTGCATTTTTTCAAGGTCTCCTGGCTGCCCAGTGTAGGTGTGTTCCCAGCTAATATCAACAGTCTAGTCGGTGAACACATCACAGAGGGACAGGAGTAAATGGCGCATGATAGCATGTAGCATTCTCCGACCGCTGCTGAGGAATGTGAGCGAGGAATTTACTGCACCTAACGGGGATGCTTCTGGTCCATGTGTTTTTCAGCTTGGAAACCATTGAAACTGAGCCTCCCCTCTGATACTGCTGAATTATGAACAGGGAGGAGAGTTATGAAGTCCTCTAATATGTTTAATGATTGAACAAGTGCTGCCTGGATTGTAGCCACAACCGTCATAAGTTTAAAGTGTGGGCAGGAAAAGCGCATTTTATCACAAACGTTTGCTTAAAGAATATTAAGTTATGATTGTGCATGGTAAAGTCATTTCTGTATTTGCAAACAGTCTTACATAAGAGTGTTTTGATGTCAAGAGGAAAAACATGCTGCTGAAGTTGAACCATAGAGTCTTCAAGCACTAGGCTCAGTGCCAACATGTTGTCATCTAGTTACACTAATGACAATGCTGAGCGTCTGTCAGACTTAGTTTTCATAATTGTTCACAGTCCCTGTTATATGAGCGTTATCGCTGGATTACCACGGCTCACATTGCACGCAGAGTAAAAGATGCACAATTCTGACACACCAGTGCACATGCTAACACACTCCTGTGAGTTACACATGCAACACTGGCTGAGGATTATATAGGCAAAGATCAGTTTCATTTTCCACTTTCTTCATAATGAGCCAATTTGTACTCAGCAGGAATCACTGAATGACACGAGGCACAGTTTGGTGGTTTTTGCTGGTTATTGGCAACCGTGTAATTACACCCATAAATTTCCAGAATCCCCCGGTAAAACATGTATTATTATCTGCTGACACGATTTTTGGTAAAACCACAAGCTCCACGAGAATCATATGCCTCATGTAGGAAATATGAGAGCATGTCGAACTGGTGAACGCAGGCTGCAGTCACACCAGACAGAATCTCTCTTGTAAATCTAATCACCGCATTTTCTGATATTCTTACATGTGGAATATTTTTCATACTGTGAGGTGCTACCACTGCTGCTGCTGCTCTGCAAGCTTTTCCTCACAGAGCTCAAAGTGATTGGACGGCGGGAGAGCCAATGGGCGGCGAAGCAGCAGGTTATTTGAACTCTCCTCACACAGCTCAACTAAACCAGACAACATCCTCTGACTTTTCAAACATTATTCTCCGTCATCATCTCTCTTCTCAGCCACAGCCCCCGTGGGCACAGAAAGAAGCACAAAGGACACCTTTTAACCTTCCTTTTTTCTTTTTTTTTTTTTTTTTAAATTACTTTTACATCAAGTGTATCAAGGATGGGAACCTACGGCTTCTTTTTACATGTGGAGGTCTACTGATGCACCTGTTGATTGAGGGAAATTCTGCGTGTTTGAGAATGAACAAAGTTGCTGTGATGAAGTCTGACACTCTGCTTCATTTGGAGGACGACATGAGAGCAGAGGAGAGGAGCAGGTTGAGCTGTGTAGACTTACCTCAGACCAGTTTAACAGACGGACAGAACACAGACCTGCTGCAATGCCAGGACACCACTGACACCGGATCTACTATCAAGTACAGGAGATATGGGTACGGCCCTATTTATCTGTATTATTACCTGTACAGTAAAAACAGGTGGTCATAGGCTACTGTATTTTGTGTTGAGGTTATCTTAAAGCAGCTATATGTATATATTAAAATGCAGTATAAAGATAAAGATAATTTCCCAGCTTTCCATTATGTGTTGCTAAAATGTTGTTTTTACTATGACTTGACTAACATAGTTGAGCAAGGTTTATAATTCAATTGCATGATATTGTGTAACCATAATGTTTCTGATTAGAAGAGTTAGCAAGCTTGCTGCTGTTTGATGCATCAGTGTCATAGTGTAAAAAGAGAGAGGGGATTGTGGGCGGATTTAGTGAATCTATTAGGTGATTCCTGACTCCTTCAGGTCTCGTCTGGGTGGGGTCAAAGTTCGCCACAAGAGACAGGTGCTGCAGGACATGGCCCGACCCCTGAAACATTGGCTGTACAAACACCGAGACAACCCTTACCCCACCAAGACTGAGAAGGTCCTGCTGGCGCTGGGCTCACACATGACATTAGTGCAGGTGAGACGAGCTTGTGCCTTCAGGGATGTGTTGATGTTGAATTTTGTGAGCCAGCGTCCTGTAACGAGGTGCATCTGCGCAGGTTTCCAACTGGTTTGCAAATGCCCGAAGGAGGCTGAAAAACACAGTGAGACAGCCGGACCTGAGCTGGGCCCTGAGGATCAAACTTTATAATAAATACATCCAAGGAAACGCTGAAAGGTTGAGCGTATGCAGCGATGACACCGACTCTGATGGTGAGGGTCACTTTTGCTTCTTTTAGATGGAATTGTCCTTCAAGTAATTTCCTTAGACAAGACTTGGATCTGAAACTTGGTCCAATGAGTATTCATCATAGTTTGTAACATCTTATATATTCATATGGATCCTTTAAATCTGAAATAAGTTGTTTTGTTTCCTTCGATGCAGACGAAGATTGTCCCTTACAGACTCCTATCAGCCAGTCAAACTTTGGCAGGTCATCTTCCCACAAGAGCGTGCTGGAGAAGCAGGGAGGTGTCCTTGCCGTAGCTGACTCTGCCAACAGTGACGACAGCACGTCACCTCCATCCAAATACAAGAGCAGTTTACTGAATCGGTATCTGAACGACACCCTGCGGCACATGATGGCCGCAAAGGGTGAAGGCGTCACGTCGTCCCGCAAGAGGAGGAGTCACTCTGAGTCGTTCAGCTCCAACGAGTGTGATCGAGATGTTGTCTCTCCGGCATCGTCCTACGAAACAGAGACCAACTTCGTCTACCACATGGGTGAGAGATCACACCTTTAACTCTATAGTGGGAAACAGTTTAACACATGGTGCACTCTCAATATGTAGGAGAACATAACAATCTAAACACTTCATGTAACATGTTATGGCAACAACACAGACGGTAAATTAGGATGAAAAGAAATGATAGTATCCCCTGTCCAAAGAAATCATTAAAGCATCTTCCTTGTTAATTGCAGATTTATGTTGAATCTGAGGTAAAATGACAGTTTAACTACCCTGCTTCCCCTCGGTTCATTTTTAACACACCACGGTGTACAGTAAAATAAGAAGAGAATGAACAGAAACTTCCACATGGCTCCTCAGAGCTCCCTGACATTAATAAATCTCTGGCATTCCTCCCAAAGTCAGAAGCTCAGCAAGATTAGATTATAAAGTTACAACGAAACTGGGATGGAGTTTGACACCTGGGTGCCCTCTCAGACCTATAGGGAGCCCAGCACACTGACAACCCTCAAATCCGCGAAGGTACAGGAGCCAAAGCCTCTACAAACATTTCTAATAAAGACTCATGCAGACGCTGAAATCCCTCATTTTAAAATTGGATGGGGCTCGTGCTGGCTGCCGCTGCACACCGCAAATATCATTTCCATATACTAGAATGTGCCATTTGTTCCGCCTCAGCTTCTTGCCATGGTGGAAATGTCCAGTCCAGTCTCAAGGACAATTACAGAATGTCTGAGACTTTATTCTTCCCAGGGTGAGAAGTGGAAACCTCAGCCAAAATGTAGAAAATGGGGCGGCCTGTCATTAAAGCACTGAAGACGTCTCGTAGAGTGAGTGTCAGAGCTGCCACTCACCTGTGAGACAACGCAGAGCGAGATCACTAACATCCATTTGGCTCCTCCGTCAGGATTTGAGGGTGTAGCTTTGTTTCCTTGACTCATGTTCTCTTTGGCGGTCTGCTTCTCCCAAGTGTTACTTTCCTACTCAAAATCAATCTGAACTCACATTACATTATAAGAGTTGTGAAAAGATTTTTGAAACCGTTCCTTAGCAAATCTCATGGTTTCACTCTGAAATTAAACAAGGCATTCTTTAAGTTCCTTTTTAACTAGGGTCCTGGCAATAAAGCCTAGTCCCAGTCTAAAGCAAGTTATTTAATGGGTATTTTTGTAGTCTGTGACAAGGCTTAATTTGTATCCGCGTTTAATGTGAAATTGGCCCACTAACAGTTAACTTGAATAAATGGAGGGTCATTTTTAATCTAAACAGGGTAGTGTATTTACAGGAATGGTGAACCAGTGAAATGCAATACTTTATAAAGGATATCGCCTTTCTTAAACTATTAAACAAATACTGTATAATTTTACAAACATTTTAATTAGTGTTTATATGAATTTAACAGTGTTAATAGAATTCTCATTCGTTTTAAAGGGAGGCACTTTGAGAAAGTATCTGTATGCTAAATATGAAGCTGGCACCAGCAGTCAGTTAGCCTATTAGCACAAAGCCTGAAAACGAAGGGAAACTTGTATCGGTTTGTCCAAAGGAAATAAAATCCACCTATCAGAACCTCTAAACCTCGCTACTTTACATTTTTTATCTGTTTTTAATCTGTATCTGTACGAAAACCAAAGTGGTGACTGTCTTTTTAACTTGGTTTTTAAACCATGTCTTGATACAAAAACTGGAATGTGAAAACGGTCTTACAGAGAGACTCTGGACAAGCTAGGCTAGTTGTTTCCCTCTACAGTTTTTCCCATGTTCGTGCTGAGCTAATATAACAGTCTGCTGCGTTAGCTTTATATTCGCTATAGGAGCTGTATCACTTTTCTGATCTAAGCATACAGTATTTCCCAAAATGTTGAACAATTCCCTCAAACATTTCATTACTCTTTAACTTCAAATCATATTTCTTTTGGAGTGATCTTGCTCAGCGCTGTTGAAATGTTTGTGCAAACTTTTAATTAATCCCTGCTGGTCGTGTTAAAGGTGTTTGCAACCCTGTGCGGCTCCTCTGTGGAGGTGAAGTGGAAAGTCAACCTGCCAGATTCATTACAGGCACTAACACCATAAACACGTTTATACTCCGCCCGCGAGACAGCTAAGGCACTAAACCTCAGTGATGGGCTAACAAGTGACGCCACGACACGGTGTCTTACAAGGACACTTTAACATATACTTTTCCATCAGACTTCCGACTTTGATATATTTAGTTATTTTACTATTTATGGTACAGGGATGTATGTTTACACTATACGATATGGTACTCACATCAAGTTCAGTATTTCCATTAAAAAGGCTAGAGAGCCATAAATGTGACTAGAATCGTGTTTTATTGGACACAGAGTGGTGAAAACATATCTGGACAAATGCCTCACTGCGTTTTCCACCCATTTTGTTTCAAATGAAAACACGCATGCTGAGAGGGGAGTCTCTTGTTCACGAATAGATATCCGCATTGAGGAAATAAGGTGTTACATTATTTTTTTTGAGCGCTCAGTTGTTTTCCTGTGTGGATCTCAATGACACACCTGTGAGAATGACTGAAAGTCATTGACTTTGGGGCAGGAGGGGATTTATACTCATATTGTGGGAGAACACCCGACACTTAAATCAGCTCATGTAGACATTATTTCATTGTGAGTTGGATACATGAGACAGGATTTATTGTAGTAATAGAAAGCTAAATCTCACAATATACACAAAATACTTTTCATACAAATTCAAACTTAATGACTTTCTTGCTGAGAGTTCAACAAGAAGATTTATACCTCTTTCTGTCCATTTAGTATTAAGCTGGAGCCAGGAGACCATTAGCTTAGCGTAACACAAAGACTGGCGGGGAATCAGCTAGTCTGAAGGTAGAAATATCCATCTACCGGCACCTCTAAATCTCACTAATTAATATGTTATATCTTGTTTGCTTAGTCTGTACAAAAACCAAAGTATGAAAACAGCAAGTTGCAGTTTTACAGCGGGTTAAGACTGTAAAATGACTGTAAAACCACAATTTGTTGGTTTTACACTTTAGTTTTTGTAGGAATTAAACTTAAAATTTTGATTAGTGAGATTCAGGGGTGCTGTTAGGCAGAGACCTTCAGACAGACACACGCTAGCTGTTTCCCATTTCCAGTCTTTTTTGCTTCCCCTGAGCTAACCTGCTTCAACCTGTAGCATCATATTTGCCGTACAAACAATAAGTTTGTTTCTCAAAATGTTCCTTATTTGCAAATAAAAAAGTTAGCTGTAAGCTCTAACATGGAATTACAGTATCCTACACCACTGCAGCACAATGTTATATCAAAAAAGCAGTGAGCAACTTCATCACCCCTTGTAAAAAAAAATTTTTGTAACTGATCCCTGTTGTAAAATTGAAACTCACCAGAGGTAAAACAGTGCTTTTTCATTGTAATAAATACAACAGAGGTACAGAAGTACTTGGCAAAGTGTGTTATGGCTAAAGAGAGAAATGCTTAGGGACAGTCAGTAGCAAAAAAGCATAAAACAGCAAAATGATTTACTATCATCAAGTAGTTGCTTTTGGCTCCAGGCTGGCTGAAGAAATCAGAGACGGGATGTTTTGGGCTGTTAGCATTGAAAGACTATGTTTCACAGTGGGCCTCTAATTTCCCTGTCTATTGCTCTCTGAAGAAAAATTGGTTTTGACCAGCTTCTATCTGCTCCAAAGAGAAAAAGGCAATGCTCCAAAAATGAAATGGAAAATACTGTATGCTCTACATATAATGCACACTTATGCACAGACCACAAACAGAAATTGAGCAAGCAATATAATATTACACCAAAGTCCTATTTATCCTGCTCCTGCTTCTGAAAGAGCCAGAGATACTGGAATTTAATTTCACGTTGTTGTGAGAAACACTGTCCTTTCTGAACATCTTCCACAGATGCAACAGGTTAAGTTATTCTTTCATGAGACATCTCCTGCTGGTATTAATTAATTTTGTGCTCAGGCTTTTTGTCAAAAATGAGAAAAAGAAAAAGAAATGGCACACTCACTGACTAACTTTTACAGGTGCTAGCAGATCTTTCAAGACCTCAAAACTGAGCGTGTGTCCTCAAGACACAATGCAGATATCAGATTTTTTTCCTTCACGAAAGCTCAAGAGAAACACCACATTGCATTTGTTTTGGCCAGAGTAGCTGAACTCAGGCAGACTGGTGCGCTCCACTGAGTCAAACCTTTCTGGCACCTCAGAGAGACATACAGGAGAAGTGGTAACTGTATACTCAAATGTACTAATATTCAGAGATGCACACACACTTGCATTTGGGTTGGACAAACACACACGAAACCCATGCATATGCACAGCCTCCCATAGATACATACATAAATACTCACATATATGCTGCAAATTAAAATCAATCAATTAAAATCATTCACACATTAATATTGTGTATCACTAACATACAGTTATTTAGCCAAATCCAAACACTGATTGCCCTGTAAATATTCTGTTTGCAATTTCACTGCTATCAAGCCATAAATTGATTCATGGCATTGTTATGTGTGTTTTTCTTTTCCTTTGCAGATACAGTGGACTATACGTCAACTAAATGTGGCAGGTAAGTGTAATTATTCACCACTCAATCCACATTAAAATCAGCTTTCTGCACTTTTCAACTTGAAAAGTAACACTACCCATAATCTAACTTGGCCGTTGTTCTTGAAATTGAACCACCGCCCCTAATTCATCTGTATTATTCTGGCTTTATAACAAGAGGAGATATCCAAGCAAATGGACAATATCTGCTCTGGATTTCTGTAACTGCTTTTCAGCTGATTTTTTTTTCAGGTTAATTCGGGCAAGAGGTGAGATGATATTCCACTTCACACAGCTGTTTCTCTACATTCACAGGGACCAGCAGCAGGACCGAGGCCAGCAGAGACGGGACGACCAAGGCTGGAGGGAGATCCACGCTGCCGTGGCTCTGACCAATTTGGCCCAGGGGCAGAGCCACATGGGGGACCAGAGCGGCGTTATGGTGCCCATCGCTGCCACAGGGCAGAGCTGCACCCGAGAGCCCTTCTCCATAACGCGAACCACTATCATAGACAGGATGTGTGTTACGGGACCCTCCTCTGCTCTGAGGCAGAGCTGCACCGCAGGGCCCACTCTCACCAGCCGCATCATCCAGAAGTCTTCTCACATTGCTGAGGTCCAGACTGTCAAAGTGGCCCTGGCCAACAGTGTGTAGGCCTTCAACATGAGTGCCTGGTCTAAGCACATCGTTCCATACAGGAATACCAGATGCTTAAGTGCCTTGCGATATATGTACAGCCTTTGTTATTTTGTATTGCTAATAAACTTTGACATTTTCAATCATTTTTACATTGTAAGATAGTAACACTAACCTAACACAGTTGAATTTTTCTAATGTTTGCTATGTTCCTAATGTCCTCCTATTGCCCTCTGTTGCAGTAAGTTATATTAACTTCAATGAGACTGGATTATCATCCTATGCTTAATTTGACAGCAGCTATTTGAATAAAACCAATGTGAAATCTTTTGACCAGTCGTTCGCTTTGAATCATTGCTTTGCAGCGGCTGAAGCTGCAGTTATGTTTTACCGAACTGTATTTAGTGGTAGTTTTCATGTGTGCTCCAACTGTGGCTCTCAGTTTCATTGCATCTTTTCAAATTGCTTTTTAAAAGCTTGTAATATGGGCTGACGGGTGGCACACTGAACTGAGCAGGGAGACAGTTTTCAAGCAGAGAGCTGAGGTCAAAGCTCCTCTGATGAGCAATGATGCAGCTGAAGGAGGATTCACAGTAATAGTTGGACATAAGTTAACATCTGTTCAAACACATCAGTAAATCAGCAGGAGACATCAATGAAACACAATGGACAAGGCTGAAAACTCAGTGAACCTATTACAATTTCTTGATTCAAAGTCAAAGCAGCTATAATGAGTATTTTTTATAGTAATAATAGATCAATTGGCTATGTTTGATGGGAACCAAGTGTTTTTCATCTTGTTTTAGTTTTCCAACAGGCAGCTGTAACTGTTCTCAATGAAAACGCCCTAAAAGCCTGTAGGTAAACTTTCCGGTGACGAATGGCAGACTGACAAGGTTAGCAACAAGTTGGTGAACACGAAGCACTTAGCTGCAGCTAGATATTTCCCTCAGGACTTAGCCAGGGGAGACCAAACAAAGCTAAAAGGACAGTTAATATTGGACTCCAACTGAATGCTAAAGTTGCTCTGCGTCTTCTGAATGTCTAAATGTCAGTTAGCGGACTAGCTGGCGAACATAGAGGAGAGTTAGAAGCTAAAGAGACGGATATTTTCCTCAGGTGTTAGCTTAGTGGAGACCAAAAACAGAGATAATGAGAGTTAATTTTGGACTTTTATTTGTCCGATTGGCAGAAACAAAGCTACAAATTAATGCTGAAGTTGCTGCTGGATGTGTAAACAGGCAACCGCTTGCTCACAAGGCCCTAATATCTACTTAGTGTTGTCTTTACGGTTTGTTTTTGGATAAAAATAAGGTAAGGGGCTCATTGGAAAATGCGATTTCTGTCCCTTTTTCCCCTCAAACAGCAAACATCATTATGATAAGTGAAACACCCAACTGTTTTGTTTTTCGTGCTAAACCGTTATTTTCTTGCCAAATAAGCTCTCAGGAATTTTCTGACCTCAATACGGGGTCAACTGCCAAAAACTTAAAATACTGGAAATGTAGAGGACACGTTGAGCCGAAGAAGAATGTCTGGTACTCGCCGTCTGTAGAGATTTGTGGGGAGCGTCCTGTTCCGTCTAGGCACATCCTGACACCAAACATAAGCTTGTAATCACATATTGCCCTCTGGGACTATTTTACAAAACATGTTTAACAGGATTTTTCCACTTGTGTCCTGGTTGTGGTCTGTTTTTTGACATTTTGCGCAAAGAATGTTTTCAGTCCTGCATGTATGACAGGCTAGTCATCAATTAAGTATTATGGAAAGAGCACCTCACTCCTGTTTCCACTTTAAACCTGCTTTTGATTAGGCGGGCTTTTACACAAGACGGAAACTAAATGGCAGCTCTTAAATGGCAATTAAACAATAGTTAGCCTTGAGTGACGGCATCTTGGGGCTGTCGTTTATTTCAGTTTGAAACAATACAAATGTTACTTGACCATAACTCTAGCAAATGTCATTCAATGTTAAGGCAGATATAAGTTTAACATATTGCTGTATATGATTCAAACAGATGCATAGCAAAAACAACAGGGAAAAGTACTGGGGTAAAAGCAGGGTAAAGGGTCAATCAACACAATTTTAAATGAGAAAATTCAAACAAATAGCAACAATGCATCAAATATAGACCGGAGAAAGGAAGGAACAAAGCTCTCAGGAATGCTCTCCTACTATAATAAGTGAGAAATGCCTTCAGTAAATCCGTGGGACATTATATGGACCACAACAATACACACAACCTGCAAAAAATGTGTAGGAAAGACAAGCTCACAGGACAAGTTTGAGACCAAATGCATCCAGGCAAGATAACAGTGAGCTCAAGTCAATAAAAGAGCAGATTTTATTGCAAGAGCTATACTGCAGGACTGTAAACCTCACACTTGTACCTCTGGAAGTTATGGTCCAGATCAGCCATGCAAAGACAAAGACAGGTTAGTTCAAGGAAAATCCTACAAGACAAAAATGATTACTTGTTTTGCATATTTTCTTAGTAAGAGGAAAAAATCTTGTCAGTTCAATTGAAAGCATCTATATATTTTCCAGCAAAGATGAATAATAATTGGGCTACGGGTAAAAATAAACTGGTGTCAGCAGCTGGCGTCTGTTGTGAGATGTCTTCTTTGGGAACATTCACAGGCTTCTAGTGCATAATGAGACGTTAAATGGAGGCCAACAAATGCCACACAACAAGTCTCCTCCACCACTATCCTTTATCGAAGTGACGTGGTATGTGTTTAATAAAGCTTGCAAATATATTGTATGTGACTTGTAAAACAATTTGTACTTTAACTTTGCGGCTACATAGAAGTCGACGTTTACAGCTCACATAGCAGAAGCAGGACAAGCGTTTTCCTGGAAGCCAATGAGCGAAGAGACTTCCATATTGATTACAATTTATCATTTTGAATACAATTTGACAAGCTATGTACTGTATCCTACAAATTGGTTCATGTTATAGGCACTACACTATTAACCTGATGCCTTAATGTACAACAGAGTCACTGTTGCCAATAAGATAAATTCAAACCAGACATGTACATGTATGACATATGTACACTTGGCATGGTGAAGTTAATTTAAAATACTATACGTCCTTAGACAAGAGGCTATTCTTGCATGATCCTTTCATTAAGGTTATAAACAGAAAGTAGTGACATGTGACAGATGATGGTTGAAAAGGAAGTGTGCAAACAGCAAAGTCCATTCGACCGACAGAACTATTCCCAACAATAAAATTTTTTTTGTTTTAAGTACTCATCCACTTCCACCTCTCCCTCTCCTGCTCTTTCTCTCTTTCGCTCTCTGGTTCTGGTCCGTAGTCATTCCTATCAGGTTTGTGCTTTTTCATTTTGATCAGTTTCAGGGTATGGAGCAGTATCCTCCACATGCCTTGCCACTGGCCTGCTCCTGGTCCCCCAGACGGACCTTCTGGCCCTGGCCTTCACTCTCCCAGAGCCCTGGAGTCTGGAGGATCTTCTCCACAAGCTCCTCAAAGGCACACTGGACGCCATCTTTGGTCTTTGCACTGGCCTCTGTACAAAGGAAAGAGGAGCACCAAGATTTATGAGATCAGTAAAAAAGCAGCAGAGCACTTTCCAAAAATGTTACCAAAAAAAAATCAGCAGAGGTTCACGTCAGCTTTTAAAACCAAAACAGAGCAAAACATCCTCCTTTTTAAAACGGCGCGACACCAGTGACAAAGATTTTAAAAATATCCATGTGTTGATAGAAATATGAAGTATGAAATGACTTCATTTAAGAATCAGTAGACATCTAGTGGGATGAAGACATCGTGACAGTGGATTAAATCCATGACATCTTCTTGCCCAACCCTTCTCAAAACCCCTTAATTTAGCCGTTCTAAAATGGAAACTCCACAGAAATGTTAACCTAATTTCCCAGAGAGGGACAGATTGTAGATGAGAATCAGGAACACGTGTAGACATGGATTTGATAAATGAAAGCCGGCTAGATTTTAATCATAATGCAGTTCTTCTGCAGTGGCTGCATCTTTTGGTGCAGCTCTGACAGTAAGAGACTCAAAAATCCCAGTGCAGTATAAACCCAAAGTAAACACATGATTTACTTAGTGATGTCTCAACTTGTTCCAACTATGCAATTACAGTTCTGACTTTTTAGTACAGTATGGTGCATTATAATATCTTTGACTTAAATTTTACGCCTCTATTAGTTTAAATGGCCATGTCTGACCGTGTTTGATTTTACTCTAACATGGATACTTACCAATAAAAAGCATAGAGTGTTTCCTAGCGAATTTCAAGCCTTCATTTCTGTCCACCTCATGGTCATCCTGAAAAGCAAACAGACATCCTACGTCATTTTCTCGATGTGGAATACACATAGTAAAGAATCAAGTGTTTAAACATCATGTACTACACATGCAACATCCACCGCTGACACACACAGTTACAATTTTGAGTATTTTTTGTGCTGTATAGTTTTTTTATTTTATTTTTTTTAAACATTACTAATGTAAGAAATACTGTATTTATGAAGCCAAAGTTCAAACTAAAGAGACGCTTCAGTCTTAGACTTCATATGCTGTATGTTAATACCAGCAATCTGAGATCTGAAAAGGAGATGACATAATGGAGTGACCCACCTTATCAATTTTGTTCCCAACCAGCATTTTTACAATGTCGTTGCGTGTGGTGTAGGTTTCTAATTCGTTCAGCCAGTTTTCAAGCTTTGTAAAAGTGTCACGCTTTGTGACATCATACACTGTCAAAAAGGCAGAGAGAAGGAGTTAGAGAGAATCAACATATAATGTTAGTGTGATAACATCTTCAAAGAAATGTGACTGCCGTTAATGTGGTAGCTGTTGATTTACAGTTTGGGTATTTAGCTTTCACCACTTTCTAGGTCACCAAAATTACAAGCGACCAATAAACGACATTGACCGACATCATTCCTGTGATGTTATTATGATGATGATGGTATTAGTAAGAATTGTGGGGAAAATTTGTGTAGCTTTTTAAGTATAAATTTTTTACCGAGTATGACTCCTTGTGCACCGCGGTAATAGCTGGGCGTCAGGGTGCGAAACCTTTCCTGTCCAGCTGTGTCCTGCATAAGTGAAGACAGCGAAAGATTCCATGACAGCAAACTTTTAAGATCAACAGGTACAGCGGCCAAGGCCCAGTGTCCACACTCACAGACTGTGACTTTAACATGTGTTCCTTATAAGTTTGCAAGGTCTCAGGACTGTCCCACTGTGAACTGGCCATTGCCTTAGGACTCCTTAAGAGACTTTTGGGGCTCTCAGACCCTTTGCTTGAGGGAACTATCTACAATTCATATTGTTCTGATGTTAAAAACAGGGATGACCAGGGAAGTCATTCATAAAACAGGAGGCTGAAAGAGCCAACAAAATCAAATTTATATGTATTTGTGAAGTTATTTTTCTATAACGACATAATTGTATTGATTTGCTTTAAACAAATTACACCGATCAGTATTCTAACAATAAGTAAACTCTGTTGTGTTAAACTACATTATAATTTCCGCCTACACTCGCTTCAGCTCATGTAACATGTGACTTCAATAAGTGGTGTCTTAAGCATTTTGAGCCCTTGCACCATCCAACCATCCCACACACACACACACACACACACACACACACACACACACACACACACACACACACACACACACACACACACACACACACAGTTTAGGGCTTAGGTTATGGCCTCGCTGAGTATAGAGTGTTTTCACTGGATTTTGAAAACTGCCACTTTGTGCCTTACGATCCTGTTACTCTGTTTTTTTCCTGCGATTTCAGCTGAGCAATGTCGCCATCTTGTGGAAAAATCCTATACTTCAACATGTTTTTCCTGACAAATTGTAGACAATGGCATAAAGACTTCTATCTTACCCATATGGCGAGCTTTGCTTTGTTCCCATCTATTGCGAGGGTTTTTACTTTGAAGTCCACACCTGATCAGTCATGACAGAGAGGAACGAAAGCAGACTTTGAATGATCAATCTTAAATTATCTGTGATTTCCATAAGTCTATGCACAGTATGTGTGTGCTGTATACATGTGTGTGTATATGTGTGAAATACCTATTGTGGCTGACTGCTCTGGATCGAAAGTATCGTCTGTGAACCTTAGGAGGAGACTGTTAGGGACACAAAGATAACATGGAAATGAGCAGGGCATACAGTACAATAGGCTTCTGCGAGTTGCTTTTAGTCAACTGACAATCAGCTGTGTAGAGGACACAGCTGATTGTCAGCTACGTGACGATCTCAGGATAACAACAACTACATAGTTTTTATATTGACCATGACTATAGATGAACAGCATGAGTACAAGTTAAGATACCTTAGTTTGGGCAAAAACACCCAGACAAGGCTTTACAACTGTATATGTAACGTTGGGATTATTACTCATCCTAATTTCAGCTAGTTTCGTTAGAAACAGGCAGAAAAGGGACAGCAACAGTACAAGCTAGCTGTAGCAACAGCTGCTGCGCGGTGAGGACTTAACTTGCACAAGAAGAATGTCAACACTCACAACAGGCTAGCTAGTAAGCTCGCTACAAACAGCGACAAACCTGGACTTCCCGACTCCACTTTCACCAATTATCAACAGTTTCAGAGTCGTCAACACGTCGTCGTCCATGTTCCTACGAGAGGTACTTTGACTTCAACTTGGCGACGATTTAAACTTCAATTTTTACTTGTTTTCAGGGAAGCAGATAGCTAGCTGCTCCGATGACAGCCTGCTCTTCGCGCAACTTCCGGCTAACCTGCGACGCATGACGTCACCGAGGTTCACGAGCCCTCGAAATAAAAAAATAAAAAAATAAAATAGTTGTTAGGCTACACTTGTATAGCTGGTTTTGTACAGTTGTATTTGTAATAAACGTTTGTTCAAGTACGATATATTGTAAAAGATCCAAAACAATAGCCTACACAGAAGGGAAAATTTGGTCATAGGCGGAGCCTATAGTAAGAGAGCACAAGAACAGGACTCCCTGTGGACCAGGAGAGGAAGCAGGAAAAGAAAGGAGTGAAAAGCTGAAGTTAAGAGAAGAAAAAAGGAGAAAAATATGTAATGAATAACCAGGAGGAGAGGGGTTGAGAGCAGGTGAGAAGAAGACAGAAGAGGGAGTCTGGATTTGAAGAGTAATTTACAAATAAATATTTATTTGTAAATAAACTGGGTATGTCTTTGAAACCCTCCTCTGGTTTTTCTGAGTCCTGAAACAAGGTAGGTGAGTTTGGTTTGGTTGGAAGCTACAAAACATGATGTGACAAAACCTTACAACCCAGAGAGTAAAATGAGTGGGGTGGAGGTGAGGTGGGTGTCCTGGGCAGCAACCAGAAGTGAATACGAACAACAGTAATAATGTGAAAAAGGCTGAAAATTGAACAAACCCTTTCCTCAATGGCAATGAAGCTGGTGAACTGAGACAGAAAGTTGGGGCTAAGCCCCAAATGTTTACAATGTCAGGCTCCGCCCCTGAATGTGATAATAAAATATATATCATACATAATATTAAAATATAATAAATGTTAATTAATAATACATGTATAATTATGTGTTATTGATATATAACTCAAAATGTCGCTGAAGTGTTAAAACTGTACTTTGGTCTAAAAGTGTTATACTACAAGATAAAACTGTTTTGTGATGAAAATCATCTTTTAAAGTTGCATACAATGTCTAAGAAACTGAGGTCACTCTGAGTCTTTCTAGTCTGTTGAAATGAAGAAACATTTCCTACTCAGAAATATGAGTGACTGATGAGTGTTGCAATCTAAGGTAGGTGTATGTTATATATCATATTTATAAGAAACTCCTCATCTACAGATGTGGCTTGGCTAAATCTAAAATGCCACCAACTTACTGCTACTTAATATTTCAACAAAAATGTGGATTTGTGTTTAAGAGCTCTCCAGATATTTTAAACACATCTATATTCTTTTTGGCCTGGAATGGAAGTGGTTAGAAGGAAATCCACCATTGTCAATAAACAGGTATGAAAACCTTTGAATAGTCTGAAGAACCACATTATAAAGCACAACACATCTTTGTCCTGTGCCTTTTCTACACTGCAATTATCCCCACGAGACCTAAACATTATGTTACCCCAGCCATGACAGGGAATCGCCTGGGGGATAAGCAAAGAGAAACCAGTGACTGTACCAAGTGGTGTGATGGAACCAGTGAGCCATACTACACCTCCTGCTCTTCAATAGGCTTTTTGGTGGAGCTGGTCCTCAATCCTCATCTGCCTCTGTTCATTACTGAGAAGGCCGCCCCTGTTATTATGCAAATCTCAGCCCATGAAGGAGCTGAAAGGACTCTGCAGCACAATAAATACAGCTGGTTGTGAATACAGTTCCCTCTAAAGTTGGTCTAACATTTATGAGAACAGGAGCAGCTCTTGTGTATGCCCCAAAATAGTTTCTGTATTAAATGCCATCCAGGAAATACAGCTTTTAAGGTTTCAGCAGCTATGGCCAAGTGTCGCACGGACTGCCTGGAGAGACACCTGCGGATCTGCTTTGAGATGTTGGGCTGTTTTATTGGATCCCATCCCCGGTGGTTCCTGCTCGCCCCCGTGGTTCTCGCGACAGGCCTGGGGAGTGGGTTTTATTTTCTCACGGATAGGATGTCCAACAATATCGAAGAACAGTTCACACCTGTTGATGGTAAAGCCAAGATGGAGAGGAAATACATCCGAGAAACTTTTCCAGGAAATGAGTCCATCTTTTCAAGCTTAAGGCTGAGCACAAGTGGGAATTATGCAACTCTCATAGCTACAAGTGACAGGAATATCCTGACAGTGGAGTCACTACAGGACATCCTACAGTTGGACTATAGAATAAGGAGTATGGTAGTGCAGTTTGACAACAGGTCATTTGAATATGTGGACGTCTGTGCCGACATGATGGGATCCTGCACCTCTAATGATATTCTAGATATAATTAAAGACAATGCCAACAGTATCGATGCTGTCAATTTGACATTTCCGTGGTATCGGTCTGATTTTAGGAGTGTTCCTCTATATTTAAGTCTGGGGAGTGTTAAATTAAATAAGGAGAGCTCAGTTGTTGAAAGTGCTGAAGCCATACAGCTCTACTACTATTTACGAGAGGACACCAAAGCAAAAACAGATCTGTGGTTGGAAAGTTTCATCAATTTGGTCTCAAATGAATCATCAACTTCCATTCAGGTAAGCAGACCTTTAACGTGCCAGTGTTTTAAATGATCTGCCCTTCATGAGAGTGGATATCTGTTAAATTTATTAATTATCTTTAGGTGTCATACTCCACCTCCATGTCAATACAGTGGGAATTTGAGAAATCTCCAGCTTCTGTCATCTATCTATTCTCCATCACCTACAGCATCGCCATCACCTTTTCAATTATATCATGTTGGAGGTTGGTAAAACTTCTGCTTTTGTCCTGAATTTAGATTCAAGTAGAGAGACGGCAACTCCACAGTCAACTTACTAAAGCCAGTTAAAGAAACACTTAAGTTTACAAAATAAAAGTCCACAATTTAAAAAAAATTTGATTTATATGTTTTGTGTTGAGTGACTGAATCTTTATAATCTGATTCCTGCAGGTTGGATAATGTGCGGACGAAGGTGTGGGTGGCATCTTGTGGGGTGCTGTCCACAGGTCTGGCAGTCCTCAGTGGTTTTGGTGCGCTGTTGTTGCTGGGCCAACCTTTTGTCATGACAGCTGCCTCCTGTCCTTTCATGATATTAGGTAGGTTGTGTTGATTCATCCAGGTCCACTCATCAGGGTTCAAATAAAAAAGCGACATTTTAAAAATCTCTTCCTCCTCCTACTTTTTACCCTGCAGGTATTGGACTTGATGATATGTTCATCATGATCTCCTGTTGGCAGAGGACCCGTGTTCTGGACAGCGTCCCCGACCGGCTCGCTCATACCTACAGGGAAGCTGCCGTCTCCATCACCATCACCACCCTGACTGACGCTCTGGCTCTCTTCCTGGGCTACAGCTCGCCCTTTGGCTCAGTCCAGTCCTTCTGCCTCTACGCTGGCATTTCTGTTTGCTTCTGCTATTTGTACAACATCACTTTCCTGGGGGCTTGTGTGGCTTTGAACGGACACAGGGAGGCAGAGAACAAGCACTGGTTCACCTGTGCCAAAATCCCAGAAGACTTACCGCCCAGGACCTCAAAAGCCTTCAGTGTCTGCTGTGTTGGAGGGAGCTACGATTCAATGACTGAAAAGGAGGAAACTGAGTCCATAAGCCACATTTTTGAGAAGTTCTATGGCCCATTTCTGACCCACAAACTGATCAAAGCAAACGTATTTGTCATCTATGCAGCCTATCTGGCTGTCAGTATCTATGGCTGTTGGATCTTAAAGGAGGGCCTCGATATCAGGAATCTGGCTTTGGATGATTCCTACATCATCGATTACTACAATAATCAAAGGCAGCACTTTTCTGAATATAGCTGCAATGTGATGGTGGCGGTGAAACAGTCGTTTCCATACTGGGACGAGGAAGGACAAAAGCAATTGTACTCATGCATCTCAAATTTTGAAAGTTTGAACTACGTCAACAACACATTCGCTTGGTTTCTCTCCTTTCAGCAGTTTGCAAATGCAACCAATCTCAACATAAGCTCTCAAGAGGCTTTCCACACCCATCTGCCACATTTCTTAGAGCTCGCCTCTGTGTTCAGACAAGACCTCAACATGACTGCAGCCAATGAGATTCAGGCCTCTCGCTTTTTCATTCAGACACTCAACAAAACCACAGTGAAGGACATGATGGTTGGACTCAGGAAGACAGCAGAGGAATGTCCAGTAGCGCTCCTGGTGTACCACCCTGCGTTCATCTTCTTTGACCAGTATACTGTCATCATGGACAACACCATTCAAACCGTCCTGGTGGCTGTGACTGTGATGTTAGTCGTCTCACTCGTCCTGATACCCAGCGTCCTTTGCTCTGTGTGGGTGGCTTTTGCGGTTTGTTCAGTCATGGTCGGTGTGACAGGATTCATGGCGCTGTGGGGTGTAAACCTGGACTCCATCTCCATGATCAACCTCGTCATGTGCGTTGGTTTCTCTGTGGATTTCTCAGCACATATTTCTTACTCTTTTGTCTCCAGTCCCAAGAGTGATGTCAATGAGAAAGCCACGGATGCTTTGGCCCATCTAGGGTATCCTATCCTGCAAGGAGCACTGTCCACTGTGTTAGGAGTAGTGGTGCTGTCCGTGTCTGGGAGTTACATCTTTAGGACGTTCTTCAAGGTTGTGTTTCTTGTAGTTACATTTGGGCTGCTCCATGGCTTAGTCTTCATTCCAGTGTTTCTGACACTGATTGGAGCCTGTGAGAAATGTTGTTAAAGTCAATTCAAATTCTTCAAACTTTTTTTTGTGAGGAAATATAAAACAACACTGCAGCTATTATTTTGCCATTTGTATGTTATTTTGAGCATTTTTGTGAAAATAAATCTGTAGTACAACCCGACCTACTGAGCCACACATGCACGCACGCACGCACGCACACACGCACGCACGCACGCATGCACGCACACACGCACGCACGCACACACGCACCAAAAATTACAAGTTTTTCTTTGGGCTTCTTTTTATTGATTTCAGCTGCACTAACATTCATTAAGCACTGCCATCACATCGTTGAGAGATTTTTTGTCAGTCAACAGCAAAGAGCAAATTCAGCATAAAAGCAATACTATACATCTATATACAATGTTCCCATCACACCCCAGTCGTATATACAGCTAAACATGGGTAAAAGGCCGATGAACAGAGCAAATAGTGTCAAAGTGAAGGAAAAAACCCAAGAAGGTAACACCCTGATATAACGTATGCTGGTGGTATCCTTGACAAGAGCTTTACTGTCTGTTCTGAAATGCTAAAGTAAGGATTACATACACTGTTCAGTTGAAGATGAAGACATTCAACATTAACAGACAAATAACTGCAAGTTTCTACCAACAAACTGTGTTGAAGAAATGTCATATTCAGAATCAAGGATGCCTCTTTACAATTAGACTCTGAACTGTTAGAGCTTAAACTTTCTTTCTGTCTGTCTCACATCTTCCTTCCCAGACAGCAATGGACAATAACTGAAAGAAATGGTCAAATTCACTCATTTACAAGAAAAACTGATATATTTGCAGAGAGGCTTTTCAGAAGCCCAGCTCAGAGCATTTGAAATTAGGCCAACAATACTTTCAAATTAAAATCCAAGATCCAAATGCTCTATCACGACATAAATGCAGCTTGTATTTCTTGCATGCTATTTGAGGCTGAGCAGCAGGTTTTGTTCAATCTGTACACACACAGCATGAATGAAATAAATTACATGAAGAGTGCACAACTGCATTTTAAATTTGTTCACTCATCCAAAGTGCTGACGTGTTTTAGTTTCAATTTTTACACCTCCTACTTCAAAAGGAAAGAAAATATACACTTACAGTACATTCCCCAGAAGGCCTCCTTTAAAAACAAGCGACAGGGACATCAGCAGAGAAGGTAGATCTGTGTATAATCTGTTCAAACATCCCAGACACCAAGGATCCCATGGAAAGACTTCTACGTGCTAACTTGAGAATAACACAAGCTGAAGTAGCGAGTGCAGCCTGACATTGAAGATATACTTCACAAATAACAGATATGAGCACAAACACCGACAAAAATGAGCTCAGATTAAGTTAAATTCTGGTTGCCATGATTACGCAGTGACTCTTTGGGTAAATGGTATATATACTGCTCAGCATTTCCCACTGACAGAACAGGAATCTACACGGAGCTGGCTAAACAGAATTTGACCAAATTTTACAAAAGGATTGTTATCTAGATGCTGTTTTTACACTTGATGTGTATATGTACATTCAGGTATCATCTCCTAACACCAGCTGATAAAGTGCTCTGAGTAACATCCTTCCACTAAATCCATTAAACACTTAACCTTTCAACCTTCGCCACTTATAATGGACTTAGGGCACCACACATCTGCTTACCTCTGAACACAGGAAAGTCATGTTTAAGTTTCAAATAACAAAGCTACTTGTCTGGGAATATTGATGAGATTCCATGAAGGTGACAGCATGAAGATATGACATCGTCCCACATGAGCACTTGTCAATTTACTCCTCTGATTCACTGCTCAACACCTGAGTCCAATCCTCCTTCCTTAATGCCTGAGCTCTTAAAATCTGACCCCTTCTCCGTTGCTTCCCCCGAGATTGTTGCCGTCCTTTCTGGTTTCATCTCGTCTCCAGGTTCTTTCCCTCCAAGACCAGCTGGATCTCTTTGGCATCCAGTGTTTCATACATGAGCAGAGCGTCTGCCAGGTTCTTGTGCTCCTTGGCGTGAGACTTCAGCAGGACTTTGGCACGCTCATAAGACTCCTGGAGACAGCAAGAGAAAAGACTGGTTAGATATATTGCTATAGAGCTGTATACAGAGCTGAGTGTTTTTCTTTTATGTGTAGTCATTTCAACAGGTGACACAGACCTTCAGTAACAGCCTGACTTCATGCTCCACAGCAGCTTGTGTCTCTGGGCTCTGTGATGTCATGTCAGTATAGGTCATCACACCCAGCTGGGAGACAAGGAGTCAAGTCAATACATTTACAAATGTTAACTTGCAACAAAAACTGAATATAATACGATCAGCCTTTCCTTTCTAAGTCCCTGTCAGGTCTGCCTACCTTCTCACACATTCCAAATCTGGTCACCATCATCTTAGCGATCTTGGTCGCACTGTCAAAGTCGCTTGATGCTCCTGTACAGGAAGAAATGACACATATATAACCAGTTATGTTGCCCTTTTAAATTTCAGCCAGCTGAACACATTACTTCCTGATGTAATAAATACCAAGATTTTCCCTATATGCTACCCTCTTAACTAAAACATTTTAGGACTCACTGGCCCTTTGGGGAACCGTTTCCTACCGGTTGTGATGTACTCGTGGCCAAATATAATCTCCTCTGCCACACGGCCGCCCATACTAACGTCCATCTGGGCCAGTAACTGAGAGCGAGTCTCACTCCAGCGATCATTCTCTGGGAGCATGGACACCTGGGAAGAAGAAGAAGACGGAAACAAGAGGAATGTTTGCATCAGAACTGGTGTCAAAGTTGGATATGCGCAGTTAAACTATGAGGTTTCAAAAGCTCTAGGTGTCTTACATGTCCCAGACTTGGGCCCCTGGGCATGATGGTAGCCTTGTTGATTGGCATGGCGTCTTTGGTGTAGTACGCTACAATTGCGTGGCCTGATTCGTGGTACGCTGTGATGAGCTTGTTCTTCTTGTCTATTTCTGCACTCCTCCTCTCAGGGCCTTGAAGAAGAGACAAGAATGAATGAGGTGATTTCATCCAGAGAAGAACCAGAAGGGTCAAGAAAGATTAAAAAAGAAGAAAATGAGGAGAGGGATCGCTAACAAAGCTTTTCTCACCCATGAGGATTTTGTCTTTTGCAAACTCCAACTCCTTCAAAGTGACCATGTCTTTGCCATCAACTGCTGCCTTCAGGGCGGCCTGATTGACCAGATTTTCTAGGTCAGCGCCGGAGAAGCCCACTGTGCCTCGAGCAATAATACTGGCCTCAATAGCTGCACAGCAAAGCACAGCAAAATGCAAATATTCTTAAAAGATTCAGCCTCTGTAGTTCAAATACCGTGAACTACATTTGAGATAAGTCAACTATATTTTGGCTCGTTTCAGACCTGGATCCATTTTAATCTTCTTCAGGTACCAGTTGAGGATCTCTGTGCGTCCTTTCACGTCTGGTTTGGGGACAGTCACCTGCATGTCAAATCGTCCGGGGCGGATCAGGGCACTGAAAGGATCGACCAGCTTGTTAGTAAAAATGCTGATACTGTGTCAGCACATAACTCTGACACACAACCTCAAAGCTGTAGTTCATTCTTCATCATTGAAAAGAACTGCTGTGACTCTGAAGGTTGTAAACCTTGACATTTCTAAATGTGCATTGTAAGCTTTGACATTTTGCAGGAGACACAGAGGTAAACGTACTTATCCAAAGCCTCTGGGAAGTTTGTTGCTCCAATGATGATCACACCTTCATTTGGTTTAAACCTACAAAGTAATATCACATGAGGCAAGTCACTTTCTGCAACGCAGCAACTTTCCTGTCTTTTTGGATCTATTGTTTTTTGCTACATTTTCCATCACAGAAAACTTCTGCATTGTGCCACAATGCAGCACTTTATTTATTCTTGTGTTGACCAACACTGCTCTGTATGCACTTATGATTAAAGACTGGTCTTTACAATCTGTAGTCGTATAAGATATAAGATATAACACATAATCTAAAACGTAAAAATGCAACTGATCATTTTAGAGATTACCCGTCCATCTCAGCAAGCAGCTGGTTGATAGTCTGTCTGGAGTAAGGGTGCATGGGAGACTCGATCCTTTTCCCACCCACACTGTCCAGCTCATCAATGAAGATCACACAGGGAGCATTGGCTTTACCTTCCCCTGGAAAAAACATAAACATATGGACTACAATATTGAACACAATTATAATTACTGTTTTTTCAATCATGAAGCCATTATATTAGGAGTCAACTTTAACCATTCAACTGGCCTTTAAGGAAGGAAAAGGAAAAGGGAGATGACAGATGATGATTAAAAAAAAAAAAAAAAACCCACGGAAAAGGTTCCTGATGCGACTGGCTCCCACTCCAACAAACATCTCATCAAACTCTGACCCAGAGGCGTAGTAGAACGGCACATCTGCCTCTCCGGCCACCGCTCTGGCCAGCAGGGTCTTACCAGTCCCAGGAGGACCGACCAGTAGAACACCTGAAATACAGAGAGGCAAGGATGAGGAAAAAGAGTGATACAAAAACAGAGCCCTGAGTAGTATTGTGCCATCACCATGAGCTGAAAAGGTATTATACTATACCTAGTATAGTACATACACATATATATATGTGTACAAGTGGAGAAAAGATCTTCATGTAGCTTTAAACACACTGAGAGACTGTCCTACCTTTTGGCAGTTTTCCTCCCAGTGCTGTGAACTTCTGTGGGTTTTTCAGGAACTCCACCACGTCCTGCAGCTCGTTCTTAGCTTCTTCTACCCCTTTGACGTGCTCAAATGTCACGTTTTTCATCTGGACAGGATCTACTGCCGAATCCAGGCCTGATGTGGTTCGGAACCGCACTGTCCAAAATGGTTAGATTAAAGTTCGAAATCACACTGCATGGCATGGTTAATGAACACACACACACACAGCCTGTTAGTAAGCGTAGCTACTACATCTAATATAGCTACATATAATATTAGTGCTTCAATACTGCAAGTTAGAATTTGTTGTCTGCAAAAAATCTGAAAATGTTTTTTTTTCTGTTCTATCAAATTTTTTAAATAAGCATAAATTAATAAAGCAGGCAAATGCTGAGTTATTGTTATTTACATTAATATTTTAATATATTAAATTATTAACATATTGGAAGTGATTTCAAGTGACATGTAATTAAAAAAACAGAGGAGAAAAGGAGCCTTTACCCGATAGGAAGGGGGTTTTGGAGATGCCATAGAGCCCAACAAGAAGCAGCACCAGCAGGATGAGACGAGTCCTCCTGAGAGAGTCTGAACAGTGGGGAAAATTACAGGGAAACGATACATCAATATCGTTTAATTATGGTAACTTGTGCACTAAAATTGATTAGTTGTTCCACTTGCCTTGTGTGCGTTGTGTCAAGGCTTGAGCTTTCAGGAAACCTTCAGCGAAGCCCCTTTTGAAAGCATCCTGTTGTCCATCAGGTATGTTCTTGTTCTTCAACAGGCTGTCTAGACTCTCCACTTCAACCCCCTTGTCACGTGAAAGGAAACCCTGTATCATGAGGCAAGATAGCTCAGATGCTTTCACAGAGCCAGAATACTCCTTCACTTATAACACACCTTTATTAGGTACCTTTAGAAGGTACTGGACAAGCTTTGTAGGCATGAACACTAGCCAACACAGCTGCATAACTGTTAACATTAGCCAACCAAAGTAAGAAAAACATACCGTCTATTTCGGTCATGAAATTATCTGTCTTTTTCTGACACAGGCTAGGCAGAGCACCAGTTTCCAACTACTCCTCCATTTTTCTTGTGTGCAGAAAATCTAACATGCTTAAGGATCTGCCTGAGCATGTTAAGCATGTGAACGTCTCTGAAGTACCTACTTTCATAAAAGATGGTGTGAACCCCTCAGATTCCACTGGGCGGTCGAAGCCTGGTTGCAGTCGTCTGTTTTTGTTCCTTAAGGTTTTGAAGCCTCTGCTCTGGACCAACACTTGAAAAAAACAGTAAGTATAGGATGTTAAAGTAGTTTAAAAACCAACCATATTTCCACAGCATATAACTTCATTGGATTAGCATAACGATTATAAATGTACATATTGTTACAAGTAAATGTGCAGCATATATGTTAAATAGGAAACATACATAACATTGACAGTTAACTGCATGCAATGCTATGGATCAGTGACAGATTATTACATCATTTATAAATGTTTCTAATCCATAGTTACCTGGCCAGTGTTGTAACTCTGTGCACACTGACTGAAGAGGTGATGGTTGCTGCCTGGGAAAAACTTGGCCAGACATTGGCATGGGACCACATGAGAACCCTGGGAAGAGAAGAAAAGTGCTGTGCATATTACACATCCATACGAAATGAATACATAGTTAACTGAGTTTACTTCAGGTAAAAGGGGTAGCAATGACCCTTGGCTTTAAGTCACGAAGAAGCTAAACTGATCACGAGAGATGAGATGCATTAGAGGGTCCAAAGAATGGTCTGCTGAATTCCTTTATCAATGATAACTGGGAGTGTTAGGGGTTTAGAGGTTTCGAGAGATGGCTAGTCTCTGCAACACATATTGTGTTTAGTGACCAAGAGGCATCCAGCATTCACAAGTAACAGTGAGATGTAAACAGCAGTTACACCAAGCTTGATCAAAGCGAGCACCAGTTTAACTGATATGAGGTAAAGCATGGGGGATTTTTTTTCTAACCAAAATACGAATTCTCACCGTGCTTGTTGTAGAAAAAGGAGTGTGCAGAAAGGTGAGAGGTTCTCCAGGCTGTCTGACCGCCCAGTGGAAGTGGCGCCTCCTGTGTGCTCAAGCGTGGTAACACACAGTTCACAAGCTCATCCAGCTGCTGTGTTCCCAGGTCTGATAATCCAAGCTCCCGCAGGTTCCACATGGACTGCACACAAGTACATTACAGAAATGTGCGTTTTACTCCTTGCAAAGCTGTAGTCAGTGACCACTCTACAGGTCCACCTGTACAATCTAATGGAATACTACTGTTCTGCTATAAAAATTACCTTCAGTTTGTTTGACACTGCCACTGATATGTTGATCAAATTATAGATTTCAGCACTGAGGCCAAAGCAAGCGGTGGTGTTCAATTAATCACTCAATCAATCAGACTTTATGAGCATTGAACTTTTCATACAAACAATGTAACAGTGCTATGTGTTATAAAGACCTCTCAATACAATGTAGTTCATTACAGCACCATCTCTATGACCTCAGCAATAAACACATAACTGCATTTATAGATTTCAGATTTCATTATAAACTTCATAAACATAAAATTTATGGCAGAGTTGTTGTATTGAATCGTAACATACTGGGCAGGTGAACCCTAATGAAGTGGCCACTGCATGAATTTTACAACAGGTCTCTGTGACACATGTGGTGCAGGGTAAGGAAGTGTGAAAACAAACAAGTGTATCATTGCATTGTGTTTGATCTGCAACTGCAGATTTTCTCCTACTGATCCGTACCTCCGTGCATTGTAGTTCTGAGTCTGAGGCATGCTCTGTGTGCTTTCTAGACATGCTGCTGGCACTGCTGCTGCTTCCCACTGAGCTCTTCAGAGAGTGGAGGACGTTGATGAGGTGGCTGAGAGGTACAGTCACCTGTGATCGAACAGTGAGTGAAGTTACACATTTGAATATCAAATAGTGACAACTACCATATATGTCGCAATTTTCATCAAAATCCCTAGTTGTCAGGTAGCCTGACATGAAGCTACCACAGACTAACAGAAACCAACGGAAAAAGTACACCCGCTAATTGCTGTTACAAAGTCTTCATGATCTAAATGAAGCTCATGATCTTGCACTAAATAAAAGGAAAGAAGCCAGACATTTCTCATGTCTCTACAGAAAAGTTGTTTAAACAGCTGATTTCTTAGAAAATACAAGGTATCAGTAGTAAAACATGTCTCTCATTGACGCAGTTTCCCAGCTGGCAGCTAAGGACACACTGGACACTCAACTGAGCACTGTCGGTTAAACTGTCAGCTCCTCTCAACTCAACGGCCCACACACCAGGATAAACGTCTCTGTTAAATTACAGGTAGGACGTGAAGGTAAACGTGTTTCAGACCGTTAAATGGAAAGGAAAGGTCGACAACAACCTCGCTCACAAGAGAACAAGCTAAGGTTAACTTAGCTTGCTAGCAGGCTGAGCTGAACGGGGTAGAACCAAAACAATAACAATGCTAACATTAGCTTGGCCTTAAGTTTCTTGATTTCTTACCTGTGGTTGGACCGTCATCGACAAGGAAAACATCTTTAATTCTCTCGAGAAGCTAAGCAAGTTACACCACTGCCCCTGAGTGTTAAAGGCCCGTGTTTCTTTCACTTTAACTTTCTGTCGCAGGCACAGCTAGTCCAACTGCGAACTTCAGCGGTCCGCTGACAGCCGAAGATAAACCGGATATGACCTCTACAGTTGCAACAACCTTTGCATCCCTGTCGAAATCTGTTCTCCCTTTTCTGGACTGACTTAGGTTCCGTTTATTTAGTTCATTGTGAAATAACAGCAATATTACTTTGCTTACTTACAGTAGTTTAAAATCTAATAAATATGACATCGTCTTACAACTTACAACTTAGATTTTCCCGCTAACATCCCTTTACACGAGCACTGACCATCAGAAATCATCACAATAAATGTGTTTGTTCCAAGAATGTATTTATTGCATGTCAAATTTGCTTCATAATATACTGATGTTTTACAACCGTATATTTGAAAGCACTCTAACCCATTCTTCTTCATTTTCACCAAACAGTTGACAAGAAACAAGGATGATTATATATAGATATATGGATTGTCTGTACTTTGTATTTAACTTTTTTTTTTTTTTTTTTTTTTTTTTTTTTTTTTAGTTTGTTTTGCAAAAGTCTGATCTTTGATGCCATTGCACTCAAGCTATAAAATAAACATTCATCTTTACACATAAATAACCTTATTTTTTTTACCTTAAATATCTATTTGGTCTTAAAGGAAATGCTCCATAAATATTTCTACATTTCAGACCATCAATATAAAAGGCTGATGTCTTTAACTATCAGGAAAAAAACATTATTTGACAAAAAGTATGAAAATAAAATTAAATAAACAATGGAACGTACAACAAATAAAATAAAACTCTTATCACTTAAGGTTGACAGCTAATATATGATTAGGAATTTATTTCCAGTAAAAGCTGACTTTCTTATATGGGTATTATGTTTAGATTGACTTGTGGTGTGGTGATCTGTGAGACATGTCATAAATATGACCACCTAATGCTAAGCTAACTATAACAATGAAAATGTGCCTGCATTTATAATGCATTAATTCTCCCTTACTTAAAACCCTACACGGTGTCCATGAAGTCAAAATGCTACACTATACTGCAGAGTCTCCCTTTGAACGCCTGTCTAACCACTCACTCATTTAAAGCAGACTTTCCATTTCTACTGGCGTCGAATTACATTGTTTGTGTTGGTAACTTATAAAAGCCACAAAGCAACAAAACAAGCAACAACTTCATCCCAGGTTCATGTTCTTTGAGTGATGCTGAAGGCTCTCAGACAATTCAGGGGATTTTTCTATGGGGAGAAAAGGTGACACAGAGTTGTAATTGTCTGTGGTGTGGTCATAAAGAAAAAATAAAATAATCGGTGATATTAGAGAATTTTGTTTACCTTCTCTTCCTCTGTAAGTAAAGCTGGACAAGCCAATGGGCAATCAGAGGCCAAAGTGCAGTCAACACCACTGTGAGTGGAGAGAAGTCAAAAGGCCACCAGGACGGTCTCAGGATCTATAAAAACAGGACTTGCATTACTGCATTTGCATTTATTTCCTGATTAGCAACTAATTGGTCAGAAATTTGCATAAAAATCGAATTTTTGGAAAATTCTTTTAAAAGGACCTTTCGTGCTACAGGTAAGGAGTCCTCCTGCCTTGGTGAAGATGATCTTGACTGAAAATACAGAAATCCATCAATAAATATCTAATAAATATTCACAGAGATATTTTAATACAGAGGTGCCTAAATCAGCAGCTGGTGTGATGTCTCGATCACCATCAGTCTATATAAGGGGTCAGACCCCCCTGGTCTTATCGTATTACCTGTGATACGTTGAGCATCTCCAGAGTGTGCAGCCTGTGCAGCACATTGGCCATGTCGCGCTGCAGCCTCAGCAGAGCCGTAGCTATTTGCTCATTGATGTTTCCCCTGGAAGCACTGACAGGATGTCTGCTCTGTGACACACAACGGCTGGCAGCATCTGCACTGACACACCACTGAGAGCTACAGGTAACCCTTGGCGACTGACAACCTGAAACTGGAGTCAGATTGTGACAGATTAATGCTACAACATGCAACTTATCTGGCGCCGCAAAGGCTTAGGAGAGTGAACAAAGCACACATCTCTGGAGGAAGGTAAAGTAGGGATACAGAGTCAGAGTAGTCTCACCTCTCCCTCTTCTTGACAAGGAGCTGTTGTGTTGGCTTGTACTAATCCCGTCTTTAAAGTAGGGATCTCTTGTTAGTACTTGATCCTCTCCTCCATTCGGGGTAGTGTTGCTCTCAAACCAAAGATCATTTTGCTTCACTGAGGCAGCTCCTGATCCAGGTGGCTGAACCTTCGATGTAGACACCCGCTTGTAGGAGAAAAACGATAGTCAACCACAAACTGAATAGCCACTGAAAGGACAGACCACCTTAAATTGATGTCTGACTTTATAACTCTTCATGACTTTCTTTCTAGCATGTTGTTTAAGGGACACCACACCTCTTCCATGGCGAGATGCTCCATTGAGTCACAGAATTCCTCATTATCTGAGTCTGTGGATCGATGGTTCTTCTCTGGAACAGCATCAATGTGATCTGATTGGTGCAAAACACAGCACTCAAACATTTATTTATCACTATTTAGGTGTGCAACAGAGAGTGATGCTTTGTAAGTAACAGCTGTATGCTTTACCCTAAGGACTATATAGTAGGAGTTTTTTGGTTTACAGCTCATTTTACATTCCTTTTCTCAATCTTTTCTATTATGTGTTCTAACATTTGATGTTGCGACATTCTACATTTTCCACAGGCACAACTTATAACATTATTCCTGCATACTTATGATTTTACAGAATAATAATCATCATCAAACACACTCTTTTTGCATTGATATATAATCTTACCACTCAGGTGTCCATTAAAGTGCATGTACGGGTTATACTGCACACTGGGCGCTATGGAACAGGCCAGTTCCTCCTCCTCCACCTCACTGTTGAGGGAGCTGTGTGTCCCGTTGGTGAAGGAGGACATGCTGGGCTCCATGCTGCTGCTGGACCCTCTGGTGTCAGACCTCCACCTCTTGTCCTCCACCATCAGCAGCCTTGGATCAGTAGTCCAGACTGAGCCGAGGCGAGAAAACACGAGAGAGTATGACAAAGGATTACAAAAGAGGGCAGTTCTCTTTGTGTATCCATATCTCACCCTGGACGTAGTTAGAGCAAATGACTTTTTTCTTTATCTCATTGAAATACTGTTCTCATTTATATGAATATATTCAGAAAGAAACCATATCACACTCAGTGACTTTCAATGGAAACTATACACGTCTTGAATCCTTCAAATGAACTCAGGGGTGTCAGAAAACAGTGAAAATTCTATTCATAAAGACAAAAAGCAACTGTGTGCTGACTGGTCTTTAGTAACTTGTAATATACTGTTGGAGTTTATAAGCAACTAAAGGACACAATACAAATACACAAGCAGTTGCTCTCCTTTCCTTTTAACCTAAAAATAAACAGGCAAAAAAATGAGGAAATTAAGAGAAAATAGTGCATGCACACCAGTAATGCACAGAAATGAGAGTGTGTACATATAGTAAATAATTCACCTGTCCACAGAAAAACAAATCTTTCTTTCGAGTGTATTTTAGGTAACAAACAGGTCACAAATACTGTATATAAGTAACTTCCAAAAACAATTGGGCACTGTGATCTTTAACAACTGACACAGGAATAAATTGTGTATTTGTTAGCTGCCTGGCTGGTGTTGCTTTCACCTTGTGAGTCATCATGGCCAAATGTGGTCCTGGAGACACCTACTGTGGCAGGAACTACCACAGAGGCTAGTCTGAGTACTTTACAGGCAAGTAGTTGAGATCAAAATGAAGATGGGTGTGGTCAGACCCCTGGCTGCTGAGTGTCATGTTGACAGGCTCTGCGGCCGGTGTAATCCCATTGCAAGGTAGTCTTTAGTTAGGGACTATTTTTAGCTGCAGATTGATACACATTTGGTGCACTGGTGAGTATTTACAGCAGAACTGTTGACGGTAGTGCCCATGTTCATGGTAACGAAGAGACATGTCATCCAGTACAATGGTGCACATCAGTGATGCGTGTTTGGACAACAGTGGAGCACTATGACACAGAAGGATGGAAAGTATAAACACAGTATTGCATTGGTATTTTCATTTGTTTACTTTAAGAACAGACCATCTTACAATGAGATCAAACCTGGCGCGACGCCTGTCAACATGTCGAGGATCTGACCCAGTACCCATTAGTGTACTATTAAAGGATTACTCAGCACTCATGGCTCGGACCACACCCATCTTCGGACTCTGCCTTCGTTTTGAACTCAACTACACACCTGTAACGTTTTGTGACTGCATCTTGCACCGGTTGTGACACTTTTGACAAAAATCTGTCCACAGACAGACATACTGTCAAAATACTGAAAAAGTACAGAAGACAGCCTCCGTGGTAGCCGAGGTAACAGTGGGTGTGTCCAGGACTCACAGACCTAGCTGGTAAATGTAGGATATGAACTCGGTGCCCTATGGCGGTTTAGTGTGTGTAACTACTACAACACAGCACACACAACTCCACAGCAAAAACACAGCTAACTACAACTACTGATGGTACCTTTTTCCTCCTCCTCTTCATCTTCTGTATTATCTTCTTCATCCCCATTCTCCTCTTCCTCACTTCCCCTCCAATCACTACTTTCCTCTTTTCTTTCGATTTCACTATTGTCTTTACTTCCCTCTTCCTCCTCGCTACCGACACTTACGCCATGAACACTGTCTTTTTCTTGAAGGTTTTGTATATCATCCCACAGATCCCCATAGCCTGAACAGTGAGGGAAACACTCTTGATTAAGTCTTTATCAAAGAATATGTTGCACCATCTACATCTACATAAAGCAAACACACACACTTGACAGACTATTTCTAAATTCACAGGTTTGTCTCACTACTATACCACAAAGTGCAAATAATGACATAAGCCAACAAAGCGACACACTGACTAACCACTGAACAAGCCTCACAGCACATATATGACAGATTGCACAGGAAATGTTCACCCAGCACAGTTCCTGCAGTGTATTTGCATTACTCTAAATTCAGCCTAGAATGATGCCCTTGATCAGTCAAATGAAACGCTAATGAAAGCAACGCAATTAAATTAAAATAAGCGTATTCAGTCTGGGACCACAAAGAGCTATCTATCAACTCTAAAGCTACAGTGAAAACCACAAGACTTGCCTTCCATTGTTGGCTTCTTCAATGCTTTGACCAGCTCATCTAGTGATGAAAAGACATGTAAGACAGGCTTAGGCTCAGAAAAATAAATCTCTGTGACTGAGAAAGAGACATCAGCAGCAGTACGACACCCCACATGAGCAGCAGTGGCCTCCTTGGAGTGTATTCTTTTTTTCTTTTCCTTTGATATGCCTCCAAGTGCGGAGTTATTATTGGCATCTCTGATCGTGTACATTACCTGCATGTTTTGCAAAAGGCCTGGTGAAGGGCCTCCTCTCCACTTCACTTTCTTCAGCTTCCTCTTCTTCTCCGTCGACTTCAGTGTAGAAGTTGCCTAGCTTCTGCACCAGGTCGGTCACCTCATCTGAGATCGGGATGGTCTCCAAAATCTGACAGCAAATAATCAAGTTTATGCCGAAAGCGATTAGGAGAATATGGCACATGCGCTTTGCACTTGCTTTTGTATAAATAGATGTGGCAAGACTGTCAACAAATCACAGGGAATCAAGTTAATTAGATGTGATTATATATTGCAAAGGCTGTGTGAGTTTTGGTTGGACCAGTTAAAGAGATGGTAACTGGGGGAAGTGAATGTTATCAGCAGTGAAAAATGAGTAATGATATTTGCAGAAGCAGTCTCTGGTCAAACACATACAATAAATCAATTAGTTTTTATCAACAAGACTGCAAGTCCGAAGTCATGCTAGCAGCTGCTGCTGTTTATGTTGATATTTAGCAGGTATGATGTCTTAGTTTAGCATTTAGCATGCTAACATTTTCTTATTAGAGCTAAAGCACAGTGCAGCTGGGGAAGATGGGAATGTGATTGTTTTTGCAGGTATTTGGTCACAAGTAATGGACACATTACTGTGAAGAGAGATGCCCGTGTGTTTATTATTATTCATGCTCCTTCTATTCGGCCTTAGTTTTCCCTGAAAGGACTTACCAGCTGGATGTCCTCAACATAATTCTTCATGGCTTCCTCCTTTGTCATATTTCCTAAAGAGCTCCACGCATCCCTGGCAACACAAAGTCATAGTTCAACACTTGGACACTGACAAGAAAGCGATCATTGAATAACTGAAAGTATGCAGTTAGAGAGGAAGTAAGTGATGCAGAAATCTCACCCTACTTCATCTATTCTGCAGGATTTCCCATTGGATATACCAGCTGTGCTGTGCAGTAATATCTGGTTGTTATTGACATAAATTGTGGATTTGGAGGCATTAAGTGATTCTGCCTTTGAGCTGTTGTATGGATAGCATGGATATTTTTTCTGTCTGTCTCCTATGCTGCCATTAACCATAACTAACATTTAATTGTGTAATATAACAATTACATATGTATGAAGACAACACACAATAAACACTTACCATTTAGCTTTTCCACGAGTGTCCCAGAAGCCGCTCGGTCTGGGGATGTTGCAGGGCCCCAAGGTGGCCTGCTTATAGTAACTATAGAACATCAGCATCATGTCATCAGACGGCTGGAAAGGACCTGTGAAAAGGAGAAAGCTGATTAGAAAGGGTTTTACTCTTGTGTTACATCACAGTTGGTTTTATTTTCTACAAAACACACATGTGGAGGGCAGCTCCAGAATGCAATAGAATTGCAATAAAATTGTTACACTGAGACACACGTGAGCTCCAGCAGTTGTTATTAGACCGGAGAAATGACTGATTCACTTAATCAGCTCTTATCCTCACAGCAGCTTTATCAATGGAGGGTCAGCTAGTAGTGACAGCTCTGCATGTAGGTCAATCACCTAGAGTGTTTACACACCAACAACAAGCACAGACTTCACACTGTGCAGCACATAACCTAAGACTTAAGTCCAACCTCTTTCATTCATAGTCTAGGACAGAGTAGAAGAGAAAGTTATCACCTTCTTCAGGCAAACTCCGCATCACTTTAACTGCAGCGGCGAATTTCGCCTCGAGGCTGTGTTTGTCCTCCTGCGCCATGCTGAGCCCCAGTAAGGATGACATGAAGGAGTCCTCACATCTTCAACGTGGATTTGAGGCAATTAATGGACAAATCAAATGCATTTCAGAAAGTGTTCAGTAAGGGACATTTCAACATAATTTGGTCATCACTGCAGCTAGTTGCCACTTGTCTTATCTATGGAGGCAGACTGTTTAATCTAGGTGATATTAAATAATCAGCTCGCGTCGGTTCAGCGGTAACACACTACGCTGTTTATCAGAAGTGCCTCCTCTATGGTTGATTTATTAGAGACTCACCATAAAGTTCATATTCGCCGGTGCAATAATTACTTCATTAGCCCGGTGTCTGTCTGCAATATGCAGCAGAAAGCCAATCTTGACTCCAGCCAAGGATGAGCCAAACAGCCAACGTCTGAGCACTGAATATAACTGGGAAATGTAGTTTTTGTCGTTAAAACGTGGAGAGTGGTGGCTTGACAATGAAGGCTTTACTCCTCCAAGTCCCAGAAACCCCTCTCAGTGGGGATTTAAGCAGCGGTGATGTATGGGAAATGTAGTGTCATTAGGTCATTAGGTATATATCAAAATAACACTGAAGTGAAGTGCAGGCTTTATACAAATTCTCCTTTTAAAAATGTTGAGACATATCAAAACGGTATTGGGACTAATGTATGTCTCTTTTTATGGTTTTTGTTATTTCATATAGCATCAAATATTTAATGCATCCTTGTAAACATGAAATGATTTCCATCATTTTTATACGCTAGTTTTTGTTTGTGTATTTGTTTGTTTGTTTGTTCTTTAATGTATCTGGGCAGCTACCTCTGTGATGAAATTGGTCTATTATTAAGATTTAGTCTAGGCACAACTATGATTCTGATGAGTCATTAAACTATGGAATCGTTTCAATAAAAGGGCAAAAATACAGTGGAATATCTATAATTGTATCAGGTTTAGGTTACTATTCTGTTCTGTTATGTGCTGAGTGGTCAGATCATGTCAAATTTAGTCTCACCTTTATAGATGGTCATTTGTGCCCTATAAAATCTTATTTTTCGACTGACATATTTTATTTTAAAACGTTACATGTTTTATATTTTATTTGTGCGTTTTGTGTATTTTAATGGAAAAGGAGTACAAAATATTTCACATAATATGCATAAATAAAATATAAATAGGAACGGATATTACTACAATAACACTAATGTAATATTATCTACGATTTTGGGGTAGAAATGCAAATATAGTCAATAATAATAATAACTATGATAGTGATGATGTTGAGAAGACGAACAAAGTATTATTATATTGATATATTATATAGTCATATTATTATATACAATAATTATGTCGTATTAGCTACTATACTTGAGTACTAGGACCATTATATTATATAGGCCTACTTATATCACCATTAATATATACATCATCGCAATGAAATGTCATTGGTCTACTGCTCCTCTCTGTCGGCGTTTCAGCCAATCAGAGCTCTTCGTTTATCACGTAGCTGCGATTTGTCACGGGCCGTTGTGAATCGGAGGCCAGCAGCCCCACAATGCCAGGCGGGGGAGCCCCTTTCTCAGCAGCACACCACAGCATCACCGCCGCGCCTCACTGAAAAAGGACAGAGAGGAGAGAAATGCAAAGGGATGTAAGATGGCAGAGCTACAAATGCTATTAGAGGAGGAAATCCCTGCCGGTAAAAGAGCGCTCGTGGAAAGCTACCAGAACCTGTCCCGGGTTGCGGAATACTGTGAAAACAATTATGTTCAGGTAAGAGATGCCTAACGGCCGTTAGCTTTGGTGAGTTTATCTGTAATCTCCGTCGTGTCTGCGGCGCTGTAACGTTAGTAGAAGTGAGTGAAACCACAGGGACAGGAAATGCTGGTCGCAACGAAAGGGATCCACAAACCGCTAGCTACTCGGAGTGGCCTTTTCTCCCGGCGTATCAACCGCAGCTCGGTGAATGTGTCAGGCATGGTTGTATTTCGTTATTTTCTAGTTTAGGCTGGTCGGCCCCGTGTACCGGAGCCGTGCTCACAGTTAACGGCTGAGCTCTTAGCTGCTGGGGGCTTTTAGAGGGTGTGTCGTTGTTGTGACCAAGTGGTTTGTCATTGACTGCATTCTCTGATAGGTACCTGTGAGTGGACATAATATCGGCCACCATTTATATATATGTATTTTACATCATTTGTCCATTTTTACTTGACTTAAACCAAATAGGCGTCACACGTTTAGGCCACATATAGTGTTTTATTGGAAAAATTTGCGAATGGAATCTATAAAAAGACATTTTCCTCGTGTAAAATTAAAAACTAGTAAAACAATAAGTATTTAGTTAGGTATTTATGGATCCTCCAATGTCAGAAAAAGAAATAAAAACACCATTAAACGCTTAGTCACTGTAAACTCAGTATAACCGTGCCATATATAGCAAAGACACTCTACTAACTAAAATTTCCATTGGATATTCTTTCCCATTAGCCTTTAACACATGCTCCAAGCGTCATATGTTGTAGGTTGTTTCCCAGTAGACATCATTATGTAGGCCAAGACCTTAAAGAAAAGTATAAATAAAATCCTAGGTGTGTAGTCCAACCACTCATGATGCACTGATCATGTGTCTACTACAGTTCTGAAAACGTGGCTCCAGAGCACCCCCATGATGGATTATTTGCTTGTAATCAAATGCATGGTGCAGGTTAATGATAGGTGTGCCTGCTTGCTTTTGCATATCTGGACTGATTGTTAAATCAGTGTCAGGAATAGGATGAATCAGTTCTGAAAAGCGGTGGGGCACCAGGACCTCAGGTTTTACTTTTATGGTCATTTTATTAGTGTTTTTGAAATTAACTTTTTTGAAGTGAAGCCTCATTGTTGCCAGTGTCATTTCTCCACCTTCAAATTACTGTTAAAGGTGATCCAGCGACTTGATTATATAATTTTCAGAAAAATAGGGTTCATGACCTGAGGTGGATAAAATATTTTTCAAAAATGGTTGGGGATTTCAAGCCTGAAGAGTTACTTAGAGTAAACCACATCATCTGCCATGGTGAGAGTGTGTTCAGTAAACGTGGGTGTGAGTTGACACTGTAGACCATCAGTAGGCTGAATGGTCTGGTGTGAACAGCAGTGTCTGCTGACAGACGGGCACAAACCAGAAACCCCACTGTGTTCCAGCATGGTAATTTTTTGACTGTGGTGCCGAGAAAACCCACCATTATACCGTAATAACACGTCAGATCACTTTGCCATGGTTGTCATAAGAAAAGCAATGTAGGTTACACTGCTTGAATGCACTTACTAGATACTGACAAGAATACACAGCTCTGTTTTGCAGTATGTGCATCCAAATATCAATATGCAGAAAGCTGCCTGAGAGTTTTGATGTTTTACTCAAAGGTTGTGCTATTATCAAAATTTATTTAAAATGATTATGGAATGGGACAGTGGTCTTAAACTGTAGGACCCCACTGTACATCCCCCTTAGCGGCCAATTAATTTGAGGTGGGCAGTTAGAGCGAAAATGCTATGCTTGGTGGAGGTAAATTTATCTGCAGTTAGCAACAGCGGGTTAGAGTTTAATCTGCATTGCTTCAGTCTGGAGACCAGGTGGCTGATTTATTGATTTATTCACGTTCACTTGGGGATGTTTTAAATTTCAGTCATTTGAATTATTGTGAGGACACTGAATGATGTCAGGAACACCAGGTTGATAGCTTGACCCTGCTGTGCCACTAGTAGAGGATTATGTGGTCTCCTTTATAAACTTGTGGATAGAATTTAGCGAGGATAGGAATGACGCTTCCTGCACTGAAACCCAAATTTTAAAAATCTTTTTGCCGTTTGATGATGCTCACAAATCAGCAATTTGCTTCAAACTTTGATGCAGTGGAATTCATAATTAGCAGCTAAACACATATATGACTTTCTCAAATCAGATTCTAATGTGTGACCTATGGATCTTTCACATACCAGTTGATTAAGAAAAGATCTCTTGACACCCTATGGGAAATTTTGTTGTGTCACTCTGTATGAAGCAAGGGTGGAAATAAGCAAAGAGGAGATAACAGTTGTGCATTGAACAGTTGTGAACAATGTAATGCATGTTTGCATCATATTATCTCTCTCTGTAACCTAAGATGTTACGAAATCTACGAGTCACATGGTGTGGCTAATACACTGATCAGTTTTGCATCATCCAGATAAGATTTATTCCTCTCATTAATTTTGTATCTATTTAATATGTAGTTGAATGAGAGGGAGACAGTGATAAATACTTTCATGCACAATGGACCAAGAGAATTTATCTGTCGATTAAGTCATTGTCTGCTTTAAACATCTAATTATAAGCACACACTCATCTTAGGTAAAATTAAGTGTTTCAATTGACAGCATCCTGTATTATTAACAAATGCTCTGGCTCTTTCTTAATTCATTTATGTGATGTGGATGCAGGATGATTTTCATCTCCTTTACTGCTGATTTTCAGAGCCTGTACATTGTTGTGTCACTTTCTACTGCAATATTTAGAATATTGTGTTTATTTACTACAGCAGGATAGTCATGTCGAGAATATGAACATGCTTGTTCGTGCCTTCTCCTGTATAATGATTTCTTCAGGGACATTAAAAACATTAGCTAGAATCCTGCATGAATATAAACACACTTGACAGACACAACAGTGAATGTAGAGTTAGGAGGCTTTGCATGCCATTATAGTTTATGCTCAGATTATGTGCAGTGGGATACGTGTGATAAATTTCTGTATTCTGAATAAAGTCCTAAATTGAGCTTTTTGCTCCAAGTTGTCACATACTGTTGTCATAGTAAAACAATACCTGGTCGTCTTTATGTAGGATAGATCTGCATAATCCTGTGGGGAATAACAAATGCAGCTATGCACTCAACTGACAATGCACATCCTGATATGTAAATCCACACTGTGATGCCGGAGTTTTATTCTTAGATATTTAAAATGGGCCATTTGAAAAACTGACAGAGTGTCACCTGCAACATTTTTGGTGTCATGAAAGCAGAACTCAGCTTTGTTAGTAGCTTTCTTCAGACCTTTGGATACTAAAATAGCAACTCTTTGAAGTAAAGAAGAAGAATGAAAGCATGCTGTTTTTTAGGACACAGATGGGCCTTAGCTTCTATTGGTGTGTAAATGGATCTTAACATTTATGTCATAAAAAAATTGAGATCTTAAAATTAACACTTTTTTGCATGTTGTTCCAGTATGCAGTTGCATATTTAAACCACAAAGCACCAGGTTATATGTTTGACTCACACCGATACTCAGTGTCAGTTATTTTTCCTAGTTTAAGAGAAATTGACTGTTGGATGGAAGCTCATGATTCTACTTAATATTTCCCCCCATGTGCAACCCACCAAAATCCCCCACTTCAACTCACGTTGCCTCTGTGACTCATGGCTTTTTCTTTCATGACTCACGGGGTTCAGAATATTCCAGCATCAAACATTGTGTTAACTATGATATGACACTCAGAAATTGCTTTATTTTTTGTATTGTTAAGGTTGAGACTGGTACTTAACAAAAAGGAATTCCAAGTGGAGTGCTTACAAAAGGCCTTTTGTAAGCTTAATATGAAACATAATATCTCAAAGCAGAGAGTGAGTGAGTAAGAGAGAGGGAGAGATCCATGATGAACAATGTGTATTGGGGAGATGTAGTCTCCGTTATTGCCAGTGGGTTTTTCTCTGCAAGATATTTTCAGACTATTTCTAATTAGTTTTATTCTATTGGAAGTTCTAACCTCTCTTTAAACCCCTGATAACACCTTCCCTGTTGAATGCATTGCACTCTGTATTATTGTTTATGTGTATTTATGAATGCGTAACCATCTCAGCACTGTGTTGGTAGTTGAGATGCGTGAGTGACTCATGAGAGTAGGAAAATTTGACCGCAAGGTGCAAGGTGTTTCAGCAGTCTGAAAATGTCATTGGGAACACACACCAGTCAGCGTTTTCCAAGCCCAGGTATGAGGACAGGCTCCAGTCTGTGGACTAGTGCTGAATAAGCCTGTGATATTTCCTCTGCTGCCGTGTTTTACAAAAAAAACGGCCTGTCTCTACAGACATCTGCAACAGATATTGTTGCTGCAGGTTGTTTGCAAAGTAGCAGGTGGCAGGTGGCCATGTTGTAAAGTGGTGTCATGATGCAGGCCTTCTGCTACCACATGCACTTACCAAATTGTTGTCTAGTAACAGCAGGTAAATCACAGCTTTTGTCTCAAACTGCTTTTATGGGAATGCTAGTTTAGAGCTTTAACAGCAGGCACAAAATAATCATAGTGACTGAGCAGTTTAAGATGTGGCTACAGATCAGACTCAGTTGGTGTCAACCTTTTGAAGGAATAGTTCAATATTTTTGAAAAACGTGCATATGTGCTTTCTTGCAGAGAGTTAAATGAAAAGATTGATACCAGTCTCTTGTCTGTCTGTGAAGAATGAAGCTAGCTCCAGGAGATGATTAGCTTACCTTAGCATAGAGACTGGAAGCAGTTTGCAGTTAATTCTTTTTGAAATAAATTATTATATTTTTCATTCATCAAAATGTTGTTTAATCCACAGTATAAATATGAAGTAGCTACAAGATGTCATCATTCACTTTATTGAACAGTTGTGATTTCATTAGTGTGAAAACCAAACAACTTTGGGTTATTTGCCTTTTGGTAAAACAAACTTTTTACACACTTAATGAGGAATTGATTAATGGAAATAAAAAACAATACAACAATTTCTACTAAACATGGCTGTCAGTTGTAGTCCTACTCCCTGAAAACGAGCGGTTCTCTGTGTGGCTTTCTTTTATCCCTGTTTTACTTCCAAACTAAAAATACGTCCATTCAGTCCTGTTGCTATTTAAAGGTGTCCAGCTGGGTAGAAATTTGGGATCGTAGGAAATGTCTTGGCATTCCTGCTCACTGGGCACTATTCCCACCATGCACCTGTCCCATGTTGTTCATCTGAGGTATTCGGAAGTTATTGTTGTCCGATTCCAGGCTGCTTTGCATTCCACAATAGTCGTTCCCCCAGAGAATCATATCAACTCTCGTTCACTTCCCTTCAGATTTTAACAGTGCACTGCACTTTAACAGTCGAGAATGAATGGTCCTGCCAAACACTGTTCCCTGTAGAAAAACTGCCCTCTCACTCTCACTCACTCAACTGATAGGAGAGTAACAATGGGAGAGAAGAGTGCAGCATTTCCTCTTGACTTTTTTGGACCTTATACCTTACTTCCCTCTGCCAACTTCTTCATTTCTTCCACCCACACATCCTTCCACTCTTTTTTTTTTTTTTTTGATTTCTGATTTATTTTCCTCTCTGTCCCTTTTACCTCTCTCTGCCAGGCTCAAGACAAGAAGAAGGCCCTGGAGGAGACCAAGGCCTACACCACCCAGTCTCTGGCCAGTGTGGCTTACCAGATCAATGCCTTAGCTAACAATGTGCTGCAGCTGCTGGACATCCAGGCCTCGCAACTACGACGCATGGAGTCCTCAATCAACCACATCTCCCAGGTACACACGTACACCAAAATGAACACATTCTTCATTTATAAAAATGCAAAAGCAGTTTATAAAATTTATAAATCATTCACTTTCTTTACTTTATTTATCTTAAAATAACCAAACAATTTGTTGCATCAACAAATGATTCTAATTCTCAAATAACAGCAGGGGAATTTATTTACCTCAACTGCAGTACTAACCAGGCCTTTATTCAAAACAAAATTATATTAGGTACAATCCTTTATGTCTAATTCCCCCTGTTTTATAAGTATATTTTCTCATATAAGACATATCCTCTCTGATCCTGCTCCTGTTAATGAGCTTTTAATGCAAACTCAAAACATTATGATGAAAACCTTGTTGTTTACCTGTAGTCTTGATAAATCCAGCATGATATACATTTTCACAGCTCCAATCCCATCAGTATAACAGCAGAGTTGTGTCATACTCTCTGCTTGTTTCTCCTCTCTTATAGAAATACTGTTTTCATTCATAAATTATTTAGCTTGATTAGAACCCTTTCAGTCACTCACAAGGTTCACTGGCTTAGTGTCACTGATGTTAGCTTAACAGTGATTTAAAGAAAAAAGTGAAAGCCATTTGAATGAATTAGTGCATGAAATGAGTATTTCTATTAAAACTAAGAAGAGCAATAGAGTGATGTGACTCTGTTGTTGGAATCAGTGCTATGGAAATGTACATGAACCCGAAGGTATTATGAAAGCCATTATAATACAACTAATCTCACCCTTCATCAATGTTTTTGATTGTTATTTAAATACGTGAGAATCTTTGAGCTTTGATATGTATATACAGTATATATATATATAAGAAAATTGGTGGATCAACGTATGGCTGTGATAGATTGTCTCCTGTAGAAGAAACTTATTACAAAACAAATAACTGGCTGGTATTATTCTGTGTTTTAACATCAAATTGCACAATAACACATTCACACAGAATACAGACTGACAGATATGGCAGGGGGCATGGATCATGCTGGAGCTGCCAAACCTCCACAGCCCCTCTTCAGTCCCTCTTGCTTCATCAGCAGTCCTCTCTCTATCAAACGCTTCCCCTCTCTGTGCACTTCATGCGGCCACCCTGCCTGTCAGCCAATGTCCCCGTCCTCTCCCTGTGTGCTTCATTAAGCCTGTCAGGGATGAAGTGAAATCCTGACGCCAGCACTCTCGCCTGGTTAGCATTTCCAGCTCCCACTTCACTCCACAGGCTGCTGGATGGAGCGGAGTTAGTTGCAGTGTAACGATAAACAACGGGAGTCTTTTATTGATCCTTTAGAGATGGTCAGTGGTGGTTTATGTACCCCTCTTTAATATCTCCTCTTCAGATGGAATAGCACTGTAGGGCCTTAAACATTGATGTGAGCACTGGACAGTAAACTGGTGCAGAAACTGCTGAGTCAGTGTGGTCACTTAACTGTAGGTGGGATTGAAAGTATAAAGGAAGAGGCTGACATCAGCTCCACTCTGTTCAAAATAGAACTTGTTCATAGCAGCCATTTTGACTTTTCACAGCAGTAAAATGCCTTAGAACAGGAAAATTGAATTAAACCATTATAAAAATTATTCATTAAGTGCTTTATCTTCTGTTGCATGTGAAAAATTCCGTCAAGGTATGCTTGTGCTGTTTTGCATTTCATTTTCATGAAAAACATATAAAAATGGTGATGATGTGATTTTTGTTGGGGCTTGTATCAAACAAGCACGTTCCCTTACGCATGGAAAATACGATTTATGGACCAGGGCATCTCTGTAACAGCACAATGCGTCATTTATGGGATGTTGTGACATATTTTACCTTTACCTGTAATTTGGATATTGCACTTGGCCATATTGCGATTTTAATAATTTTTCGATTAATTGTTCAGCCCTACAATAAACAAACATGGCGTAATATTGCAAACTTAACAGCCCTGTAGAGTCAGCCAAGTTGATTTCATGTAAGCCTTATGTAGGGCAATCCAATTGACATGAATGTTAGAATAAAAATATAAAAAGGCACCATCATATGGAAATCCTTGTTGATGTGTCAAACTCAATATCTCAGGGTGTGAACTGGTTGGAAGCGCCTCAAATTGCTTGAATCTAGAGAAAAGTGAATTTACTTCTACGTGCATCTCATCCACCTCTCCACGGCGCAGATTCATTATCCTTGCAGTGATGTGTCCAATAAATTAAATTATAACTTGATCGATGGTGCCAAGTATTTTTCTGGTTTAGGTTGTGGAAATTGTCTTGACTTGAAAGAGTTAAATGGGATTAGGAAGAGGACGGTAGCCAAACATTGCTGCCAAATCCAAGTCCCAGCTCTGTAGGATTTGCAAGCGCATAGCAGAGTATGCTGTCACAAAATTATCCAAGAGAAGCTACTACCTAAATGCAAAACAGCGCATTCAATCAAAGCAGAGCTGTGGCAGTGTGTTTCTCCTCTTTGTGTGCATCAGCTCAATTGAATGGTTGTATGTGCATTCAGTTATAGTATCTGAAACCAAGCCAGTGCAACAGTAAACAAAGTAGTACTGCTTATTGTTGATCCTATTGCCATGGAAAGAATCGACAGACCTTCCCATGAGTCTCTTTACCCCTCTTTTCCGTTTCTTTGAGCCCTGTCTGCCAGTTTGCTTTCTGATTCATCTCTTCCCTTTTTCTCCAAAATTGTCATTCATCAACTCAATGACCCACTTGTGCCTCTTGCAGCTCAATTTCAATTGGTCAAATCCTCTCAAGTGCAGAAACCACCTCGAATTATATGTGAGTGTAAAATGAAAAAAGAATAATGACACAGTTGTGAGGTTTCATCCAAAACCCCATAATATTAGCGTCCACAGTATATATGTCTGATTTGTAGACTTGTTACCATACATTAGATCATTGATGTATGAAATCACACATCTGTTGACATGCCTTGTAATCTCACTTCAGACTACATTATATTTTCCTGCTGCCAATAACACTTGAGCAACAGCAGACATCTACAGCTTGTTCCCCTGAGCTGCAGAGAATTAGCTGAACCACAGATTTACTAGGTTGAACCTACTGTATAGATCCAACAGTGAAAACTCCAGCTGTCACTGCAGAGGTTGAGCAGTCAGCCAGATGTTTATTAGTGTAAAGAGATTACAAAAGAAAATGAGATTGAGAGAACGCAGGAAGGGCAGGCAGAGGTCTGTCGTCACCGATTAGGTAACAGTCTAGATGTTTCATAAAGATTAGCTCACTTTTTCAGCAATCTGCATGTAGTGGAAACGCTGAAATGAAGCTGAGAGGATCCGCTCATCACCTGCAGATGTGTACCATGATTGTTTCAATGTTTCCACATTGTCATGATTTATTTTCTGTTAAATGGTAATGCAGTATAAACACAAGGTGGTCACAGCATCTGTTGTTTGCTGTACAGTGTGTGTTCCTTTTAAATAATGAATGCCTAAATCTGGAGACGTTAAAGTTCATTTTCTGAGCATCTAGCTCATCACCACCTTCCTTTCTTCTTTCTATTTGATCATGACAGCCCATCAGAAGCTTCTAGTTTTACTTATGTTCTATCTCATCTCTCTGTCTCTGCCTCTCCGCCCTTCTGAGTTTGTTTGTTCTCACTTTCTCTAAACTGCACTCCACCTCTACTCGCCTATCACTGGCAGGAAATAGGCGGGTCTTTTTCTTACTTCCCAGCTGAGGCTGGGCGTGTCGCTTCAGTTTCCTCTCCTAAAAAAGAGCCTAGCATGTTGTCTATTTATTTATACATATATATATATATATATATATATATATATATATATGTACTGTTGGTCACATGAACAGACACAGAGAGAGTTGTGCACAGCAGGAGGGAGTGGCAGTTGCAGGTCAACTTCACAACACCTATCAGACTTTCAATCTCTCAGTTGTATTTTTCATCTCCAGCAGCCAGACAGAGGCGGCTGCAGCAGTGGAACTGTCAGGTCCATTGAATGATGATTGATGTGTGACCTTGTTGCTGTGTGGGTCTCACACACACATAAGAAAATGATTTACCAATATAAGTCACACACACAAAAACTGTCTTTTACGATCTAATAAGCTACAGTACATTTAGCATTAGCAACATAGGTTTATTTAAGTATATATTAAGTGTATATACATACACTTACACTCACCAGTGCTCTCTTCCCAAGTGTGACCTCATTCCACAGATGAAGTCCTCCACCCTCCCTCATTCTTCAATACTCTTCATTCAGTACTCTTCCCTCACCCCCCGCATCCATCACTTCTTCCAGTTTCATCTATCATTCATAAATTGAAGGCCGGTCCCTGCAGGCGCCTGCTGTGAGTAGGTGCTGTGAGCGATGATGACTGTAATCGCAGAAGAGATGGAGGTCATTGGTATTTTCAATTGGTCCTGGAGTGAGGGGTTAAAGGAGAGGGTTCTCAAAAGGCCCCCAGGGTGTAGGCCAATGGAGCAGAATAGTGGGTCAGTAGAAATTCAGACGGATGGACCCAGAGTGTGTGTCCAAGCAGTGGGAGGGCTTGGGATTTAAAAACCACAGAGGAGTGAACTGGATGAAATTCAGAAATGATTTTCTTTTTCATAGAACCACATGTTAATTTTGATATCACACATTATTGGCTGAAAGGGCTGAGCTGTGAAATGCATTACTGTAATCGTAGTAGGTGTTAAATATTGAATAAATGCTGGCACTCAAATCATCATTGGATCTCAAGTTATAGTAAATATGTTTAATAAAAAAAAAAAGGTGTTGTTATTGAAGACATGGTCATGTTGTTACTGCTGCTGCCATTTGAAAGCTTAAAGATGGGTTCTACAAATTCTAAAAAATAACTCGTAATAAAAAAACCCCAGAAAAGGGAAGGGAGGCTTTTAATGTGAAACAGATGGAGGAAGTGTTGAGTTTACATTTAAAAGCAAATTACTGTAACAGGCAACGGCGAGGTCTTTTAGTCAAATATAATAACAAAACACAGAATTAGAAATCATGCCTGTCTCTAATAATAACCTCTTAAATTAAGGCAACTTGAGTTGAGGTGAATGCATTTGGAGATTTCACTGTATGCAAAGTTAAACCTGAATATGTGTTGGATCCGACCACTCACTGCCCCCCTTCATATCTCCATCCTGCAGACAGTGGACATTCATAAAGAGAAGGTGGCGCGTCGGGAGATCGGCATCCTGACCACAAACAAAAACACCTCTCGCACCCACAAGATCATCGCACCGGGCAACATGGAGCGGCCGGTGCGCTACATTCGAAAGCCCATCGATTACACACTGCTGGATGATGTGGGACACGGCGTCAAGGTAAGATTCCTTAGGTCGTTATTTGAAAATAAAAGCCCTCAGTTTGTTGTAATGTGTAAAAAAACAGACTTAAAGGTCAATAAATGTTGATGTATATATTTTTTTTTTACCTACGTTGCAGGAGCAGTCTTGTTTCTGTTCACTCTTTGGCTGTTGGTTTTTAAAAAAGCACTTTGACACTATTCAAGCTCTAACACAAACCAGACTGTTGCAGCTAAATCTCAGTCATTACTTTGATGCATTATCTTGATTTGCAGTGTCAGTTTTGCAAGACAGGAAGACACATACTTAGTCGAGTTCACACCTGGCACTTTCATGTGAACAAGCTAAGTGTCTGCTTTCATGATCCACTTACACACATCCACTCACACTGCAGGCCGATCAATACACTGGCCTTTTAGTTAATTAAGTCCAGAAACGCCTAGAAATGTAAGAAACACTTGTCCAAGAACAAGAGGCTGAGTCTGGTAGCTGACTGTGGCTAAAAAGCTTTGCCTGTCCAAGATCTTGCTCATGCCTAGTAACAGCTTCCTAAGCTGGAAGTTATTAGGAGTGTGGGTGTTTGTGTGTGCAGCTCAGAGTGGGAGCAAGAAAGAGACATCTCGGCCAAGTGTTACTCATGCCATCACATCCCCTATTGAATCGTGGGAAAATATTCTCTCAACCCTTTTCCGGCTCATTCTTCAATTTTTTATTCTCTCTCCCCATGATCCATCCGCTGTCTCCTCTCCGCTCCTCTTCTTTTCCTCTTTCATGTAGCACTCTGTGTGTTTGTGCTTGTGTTTCAGTGTGTACACACAGTTATGTGCGTTGATTGTTGGTCATAAATTTCCGCAGTGGGTTTGGGTCGGCCTCTTCATCCCTCTCCTCTTGTCTGTCTCTGTTGAGATAGTGGCTGTCTGCTGATTTTCAAACATCCACTGATTCAAATTCAAAAGCTGGTGTTTCCTCCTCGGAGAGCTGGCTCACACTGAGAAACGTTTGGCATGGCTCACTATGCAAATAAAGCATCATTCATGGATGCTTTAAATGACGAATCTCTGCAGAAATCAGTGCAGATCAGTGTAGATGCTAGAAAATGTGCAACCTTTTTTCCTTTTTAATTATACTTACATGGGAAACATGAGTCAGACATTTGTAAAATGACTAAATCTGGGATTACTACATTTGTAGAGCACCTTTAATTTAATCAGGTTTAGTGTTTTTAATCAGGTTTGGATCATTACTTTACGAGAGAGAAAAACTTCTGGGGCCTGAAGACTCCCTGGCTATAGGTTCATTTTAAATTCTCTCTGATTTCTCTGCCTGGCTTTGTGTGTGTGTGTGTTTGTTTGTTTGTGTTTGTATGTGTGAGGCCGTATTTGTGCTCGTGGATGTGCATTTGTCTGGCTTAGTGCAGACAGAAATGCATATCATATTCCATATTTTTCCCCCTAGAACACTCTCTCTCTCTCTCTCTCTCTCTCTCACACACATACACACGTCTGTGAATAATTTAGAGTATGAAGGATTGATATCATTTCATACTCACTACTGCACCAGCCACTAGACACACATATAGAGAATTGTAGTAGAAGAGTAGTAGACTGATGTTTGCATGTGGGTCTGTTTGTGTATCTGTGTTCATACATATACATGTTCATTTTGCGATCATGCTGTGAAATGTGAGAAATATCAGCTTATTAGCGCTCCCATCCTTTCAGCCTGTTTCCTCCTGACTGTGGTGGATTCCCTCGAGCGTTTGAGGCGTGATCACCACCCCTCTGCCGTTCATCCACATAGCCAGGGGAACTCACCCGTGGGTAGATGGGAAGTCAGACTTGAGCATAGAAAGACCCATTCACACATTTACGGATGACTGTGCTCACCCCTCCACCATAATAGCCTTTATTGGCATTACTGGCAGTTACCAGGGTGACATAGTTTCAGCTGCTCCAACAGTCTGAACACCTCACTCCTGTTATTTATGACCTCACTGTGCTTTAGTTTTTTTTTTTTCTCTCTCTCAGAGCAACACTTAAAACGTCAGCACAGCTATGTAGTAGTAAAGCCAATTCTCATTATTCCTAGTTTAGTGATTCTCATTCTGATTATAGTCTGTAACACACGTCTAGACACTGATGCACACAGAATAGGCTCATAAACACACATAGACACACACACACAGGGTTGAGGAAGTAGGTTCACTTTACTGTAAAGGGATAATTGTGATAAACGTTTCATAAATTGTGACTGAAGATGAGTTCAGAATGTGATTAGTGCTGAAACGAGTTAATCATTCAATTTGTTGAAAATTAATTATTAGCAATTAATCGTTAAAAGTTTAAGAAAATGTGGCAGCTACTAAAATTTGATAATTTGTTCTCTGTTTTATATAATTTTAGATTGACACACTCTTTGTTTCAGACAAATCAATCAATTTAAATATGTCACCTTGGGCTCAAGGAACCTGTGATGAGCATTTTTTTTTTTTTTTTGCTATTTTCTGACATTTTGTACATCGAAAAGACTGATAATGAAAATCATTGTCAGCTTAAGCCCTGTCATTGGAAAAAAAAGAAAAGAAAAGCCCATTGCGATAAGACTGGCAGCTAGTGGAGCTAGGTTTTCACACACACACACACACACACACACACACACACACACACACACACACACACACACACACACACACACACACACACACACTCGTCTGACATTAGAAGGGAATGGACCTTATATTCCAGTGCTGTACTTCCTTATATATACTGTATATATGTTAGTCTCCTTGATGTCCTCTACCTGTCTCTACTCCCTTACTTTTTTCTTTCCACTATATCTACTGTATGTCAAAATTAATAATGAAGAGTACTTCATGCAAAATGCATAAATGTCACGCTTGCTGTCACTATAAAAATAATATTACTCACTTTTTTAACCATTAACCAATGAGCATGTCTTGTTTTCTGTCTTCTCTTTTTGCCTGCTTGCACTCAGTGGCTTAAGGCCAAGGTAAGACATGGTTGTCTTTCTCCTCTTTTTGTCATGTATTCATAGAACTCAAAGCTACAGTGCCGAGGTATCCATGTGCCTATAACAGCTGCCTTTCATTTGTAATGCAAGTGCAGGAATTACAATTTTTGATGCAATGGAATTAGTTTTCATGGATTAAATCTGATTCTGGTTTATTACAGTATGACAAAGCAGAATCATTACACATATATATTTAATCTCTTGATGCCTGTTAACTGTATTCAACTGGTCACAAGGTCACCAGTTGTCACTAATGCACCTTGATACACAGGAGATATTAGACATTATATTTCATATAAACAATATTTTCTCTAATGCTCTATATCTACTCTAATATTTACTTACTCCTGTATCTCTTCATCCAAATACCCAGCAGTGAGTGGCATCCCATTACATGTGCACAGTTTCTCAATATAAGACACCAGTCACGTATTCAGCGCTACTTTCTGTCCTTTTCCTCCCCTCATATCTTTCCTTGTCTACTATTCCATGTCTTGATATTTGTCTGTGGACGAAAAAACCTTGTGCCAGTGTTTCTCCAGAAACGTATCCTCGGCTAAAACCAAAGAGGAGATGCTCTTAATCCATATTTTGCTTATTCAGACTCCTCAGCCTTAATATTTAGTAGCAGGGGAAACACTGGTGTCAGCTAATCAGATTACACAAAAGCAGTGTTTTAACTCATCTTTGCTCCTCCAGCAACATGGGAATAATGCAGCAGGGCGAGGAGGGACGCTCTCCAGGACCAACCCCCCGACACAGAAACCTCCGAGCCCCCCCATGGCTGGTCGTGGTACCCTGGGGTAAGAACTTAGAGCAGTAGCGGTATTTAATTCAGACAGTAAAATGAGATCTTAGTAGACACTAGTTCTACACCATCATACTGTTATTTTGAGACGGTTAAACATTGCACAGTGGTTAACACCATGAACACCTGATGTGGTTCCATAAGATGAGTCTGTAAAGATCCAAAAAACAATTCTGTACTTTCTCTCACTTCATGAAAACATGAATTAATTGTGCTCTCTCTCCTTCTGTATTTGTCCAGGCGTAACACTCCCTACAAGACACTGGAGCCAGTGAAGCCTCCGGTGGTGCCTAATGACTACATGACGAGCCCGGCCCGACTGGGCAGCCAGCACAGCCCTGCACGCACAGCCTCGCTCAACCAGAGGCCCAGGACACACAGGTAGTTATTGCTGAAACTGAGATATAATCTATGTCTGGAAACCTTTATGCTCCACTAGAACTCAACTGCATGAGTGTAGATGCTCACATTAACCACATCTGCACTCTGCAGCTAAATTGGTCACACTCTGCAAACCACAGTGTACCTACCACATTCAACCAAACACAAGTGTGAAGAAGTGTGAAGATCAAACCAGGAACTTTACAAACTAAAGCATACAGGTGGCAAACTGCTCTCGTTAGTATAGTGATGTGCAATAAATGAAAACTTATTGGCCTCCACAGCCTCTGTGTTTTCACTTACTGCCTGATTAGACCTTCTCTCAGGACTGTGCGGGAGTCACCAGGCTGCATTTGATTGACATCTCTATCTTATTCTCTCTCATCGCCTAGTTTTGTTTTTCCCTCTTAGGGCAGGACAACTGTTCTCTATACTTTTTGGTACAGTGTTGTGTGTTGAGTGCGGTGACCTCAGGAAACTAAACTTAAACCTGTAATCAGACAGAATAAGTGAAAACACCTGTGTAGGTGTGGCTGGCCTCTCCATGGGCCTTTTTTCTCAGTGTGTATTTTGACATGTAGCAAAAGCACAGGTGTAAATAATAAAGTTAACGATGACATCTCGCTGCTCCACTGTCAAGGTCCTGGTATTATTCAACAGAGCTATCATTAGTGTTGTTATAACGCCTGTGCTTCTCCTACTGCGACGTGTGAAGTGAGTAAAAATGTGGTGTATGATGCTGTGTACTTATCATAACATCAACTCCTTAACTACTAACAGCTGTAATAACTTCATTACTGTATATTCTTATCGTGTATTACCTTTAGTATCTACCAGGTAAATTAGGATAACTGTAAGGAATCTTCCCCTAAAATCAGGGGCATCAACTTACTAAATACAAATGTAAGGTGTTATGGCTGTTGCCTTGTTTATAAGTGGTAAATGACCTCATTCACACACACACTCGGACACTGATGGCAGCGGGCTACCATGCAAGTTGCTGTGCCGGACCATTGGGAACTGTTTGGAGTTCAGTAAATTGCTTAAGCTTGATCAGAACGCACAGAGGGTAAAGACAGGACTACTGCTCACTCAATATGAAAATAAATTTGTTCAAATTAAAGCCAGAAGTCAGACCATTAACCCCAGTTTTTCACTTTAGATTCACTTTGCTGCATTACAGAGCCAGCACAACAAAAATATGTCGCTGTGCTAATGTGTTAGTGCTGGTGTTTCTGAAAATTGAGGCAGTATCTACCATTAAAATACTCTTGCTAATGGCAGCATCACATTTCTGCATTATTGTTTTAATTATTTCTTTTGTGCTATTGTTTGGTTATGATAACTACACTTAAGTTTCCAATGTAATGGAATAATAATTTCATTTAACATAATATTTTTTTAATAATAAGTCACCGTGTTCAGATTTTACACTCAGCACCTTTAGGCAAAGTCTAATTACTCCCTCAATCACAGCCTTGGTTCTCATATTGTTTTTCTTACACTGTGTAACTGCTAATGTGAGTGTGTGCTCCCATACTGTTGCCCAATATTCATGTGCTTGTTTTTCCTGACAGCGCACACAGCACGATCACAGAATCTGTTGCCACAGTGACGCTTCTGTATTGTTATGACAGAATGACGTATGAGAGAGTAATGACAGGATGTCAACCGCTGTCATGTAATTAAGTTTGTCTCACACATCCTCTAATGATCACCTCAAAGTCTTCTCTATCTTCTCATCTCTCTCTCTCTCTCTCTCTCTCTCTCTCTCTCTCTCTCTGCAGTGGCAGCAGCGGGGGTAGTGGCGGCAGGGAGAACAGTGGAAGCAGTGTAGTTGGTGTCCCTCTAGCAGTTCCCACCCCCTCCCCTCCCAGTCTGGGGCAAGGTGAGCTTCAGCAGCTGTACTTACCTCTCTGCTCATCACAGTGTGCACTAACTGCTGTTTACACTCATGGATTCAGTATCTGTATCTCTGTGTGTGTCATTTATTCACTCTGGCTCTCATTGGTCCATTCTTGTCTTCAACATTTTCTCTCACTCAAACATTATCATGTTCACTCAGGCTGACATGTACTAGGTCAAACAGAAGAACTCATTTATTCATTTTAGTGCCTGAGAAGCGATAAATATAATAAATAATAAGTGGATAAGACTAAGGTGTGTTGTTTTTTTTTGTGGACTTGTACTATTGAATAAAGTAAATTGAATTTGCTGTGTACTTTGTCTCTGCTTCCCCTCTCCTGCAGTGGCCACGTCCTCAGCCTCAGTGCCCCAGGGCCCCGGCTTGGGCCCCATCCCCATGTCCCAGTTCGGCACCATCTCCCGCCAGATCTCCCGTCACAACTCCTCCACCACCTCCTCGGCCTCCATGGTGTCGGCCACCGGCACCTACCGCCGTGCACCCTCCGTCTCCTCTCAGCAGCCTCACATCAACGGGGGCCCTGCCTACCCACAGAACTCCGGTAACTCAGATTTCATGCAGTTATCTGTCAATAATGTAAGTCTGTTATATACACTGTAGCATGTTAGACAGTTGGTGTGTAGAAATTGTGTAAAATTAGGTTTTTGGGATATTTCAAATAGGGGAATATTACTGTTAACTGTATTTAGTGTTGATTTTCAGTATCTTATAAGTGAATATGATGTAAAATTTCTGACATTTTAAATCTCCACAGAAACTTTATCTAATTATAATGAAATTTTAAATATAAAATTTGGCCTCCTCTAGCTGCTGCTCCACTGCTAAAGACTGTCCTCTGAGTCTAAGAGATATGAATGGACTTGCACTTCCAGAAGCAAATGAAAATGAATGATGAACCGAGATTACTGAAGTCAGGGTTGTTGAAACCGTCCCACCTCAGCACCGCTGTGCAGAGCGTTTCATTACCGCCTATAATTGAGTTATGACATTATCACTTTAGTCAGCTGGAGGGGGTTTCTTGTTCAGGACAGACAGGCTGGAGGCATTTCAGGGCAGAAAACACATAAACAGCTGCTAGACAAGGGGAAACGCAGGACATATGCATATTTTCTGTCAGAAGAGCGGAATTTATTTTGGCAGGCATCACTCTGAGCCATTCTCCTCTAATGGTTCCTCTCTCAGAGGACAAGCATCTTCCTTGGCACAAAACACAGGAGGAGGAAGTTGCCTGTCTTGTCTGGGAGGAGAGAGACAATGATGCAGAGCTGCATCAAGCAGGGATTTAAACTGGGACATCATATCGTCTCTGTCATTGAAATTTAATTAAAGTAAAAGATACGCTTGGATTTCAGGCGGCTGTGATAGAAGTTTTACAGCACAAAAAGCCAGTTCCGCTACATGAGGGAGCTCATTGATCTCACAGGGTGTAACTGTGGATGGATGTGGCTCTGCGGTGAGAGCTGGGTGGAATAATAAGACATTACTGCCCAGTGAGATTACAGACGCCCCTCCATTACATGTGATTTATGAGTCAGACCTGGCCTGCGTGTGCGTGACATCATGTCTTTCAGTGAGGACAGCTGTGTTTCTCTTTGTTCGTTCATCCATTTATCTCCTTTTTAAAGACAGCGTAGCCAAACCCTCTTTATAGGGGCTAAAGACAGATTATACAGACACAAGTTCATTCAGTGGATGTTGCTCTTTATCTTCACACACCACCCTAATGACAATTCAATTAAATCCTGAGTCAGATCAGATCTAGATGCTGCTGCTTTAACTGTAAATGCTTTTTTGAGAACAAGTAGCTCTGCCTCTGCGCTGTCACCGTGCCACTGTTATGTTTTGGGGTCTGTGTGGTGCTTTGTGCCACTTTCACTGGAAGCAAAAATCTCTGGCTGCTTACAGCCTTTGCTTTTGACATAAAACAGATGCTGATAAGGTAGATTCTCAGATTGAGATGAAATGAATGCGTCTTTAGCCCAGCTTGAAAAAACGCAGCACAAAAGAACACTGATTGGAAATGTGTAAATGAGTTGCTCAGCAATGCTTCCTGCACTGTTTCGCCCGCTCACAAGCTTTTTGTCTTATTCTATTTTTTTCATCTTTCTCTATTCTACTTTTGGACCTTTTTCTCCTCTGTGATGTCTTTTGTTCTTTTCTTGCTCTGTCATCCTCTCTCTGTTCACCACCTCCATCACTGTCTCTCTCCCTGCTGCTCCTTCTGCTTCTCTGGGTGTTGCTGCTCCAGTGTCTGTGGCTCCTCCGCCTCCTCCTCCCATGGTGCAGCTGACCCCACAGATCCCTCTGACCGGCTTTGTGGCCAGAATGCAGGAGAGCAGTAAGTACCCAACACATATATAGACAGGCACGCATCTATGAAGATAGATGAAGATTTAAGTGCAGTTAAGACGAAGCTCATATACACATGCATGTACTATGATTTTCCAAAAATCACTTTGTGCTCACATTAAGAAATCATGTACCTACAGAGATTACACTACAAAACTCGTCACAGTCACACCCACGTACTCACAGACACATTTTCACATACAGCACATATAGACAGTAGCAGGGCTGGACAAAAAACAATGTACTGAATTACCTACAATACAAATCTCTAAATGTCCATAAAGCGACAGCAGCAAATACATGAAATATAAGCAGATGTTCAACCAACCGATCAACCAGCACCCCAGTAGTTTTAATTGCTCCTACTGTAATGATGTAAGAAAAAGGGAGTGAGTTTTAGAAAGGAAATACTTGCACGGATGTATGAAAAAGGTGATTTGTACATGTGTTGTCATCAAGCTAAATCCTTTATTTCATCTTTATGCAGATTTAGGTCACATACTGTACATAGATACATACATGGAGATACCTTCATCACATCTCTTTAGACCTCTGAAATGGTCTCGGCATCCACACATTGCCTCACAGTTCCACTCTGCTCTGTGGCTTGCTGCACTCAGCACACCCTCTCCTGCACTGTATGTGGAGTTGACGGCGAGCACTCGCCCCTCGGATGTCTGTCTGTTGCCATGGTGATGGATGGATCACTGAAAGCTATGCGTCCTGTGCTCTCTATCCGCTGAGGAGAGAAAATGTGACCTGATGCCGTGTCCTGATTCACCACCCGCCCGTCTGCAAAGATGCAGCTGTGTGGAGATGCGGGACTGTCTGTACCTGTCTGGTGTAACGTAATACAGTCTGCCATCACACTGAAGTGAAGAACACTGCTGGATATGAGTCATGCAGTCAGATAAAGAATAGATTATGCTAATATAGGTGTGTCTTGCTATAACGTTTAGTGGCTGCTGCCTTTCAACAGGCCTGAAATAAACAATTGGTAAATTCTTATATAAAAACATGTAATCCTGTATCAGTTTTTGTGAAAAGTTTTTACACTTGCTCTTCTAGACAGTACATGTCTGGAAAGACTTTACTGTAGAAGTCCTCTGGCTCACAGGAAGTGATACATTTTACATTTCCAGCAGCAGAAACAGGGATTAGTATGTAAATAGAACTGGCTAGTTAGTATGAGCAACAATACCCAACCTGACTGAACAGACAGAGAGTGGCACAATCTGAAGCAAGTCACAGCACTGATGTCTCATACAGAAACAAATCACCAAATACTGATTGTATATATTACCACCTCAACAGTGGAAAAATCATAGTCTCCACACAAGTGCTTTTTAAAGAGATTGTTTTGCTGTTTCTGTCTTCCTGAATTATAATTTACTGTCATTACACAGGGAATTCAGTCAGATATAGACCTTACCAAATACATACTAGCACTGGGACTAAATGTAATGCATGCTGTGTTTACACAGACCTGAAAAGGGGAAATGGATCATATCATACTATTAAAATCCAAGACAACTATTGCTATACAGTTTAGTGAAGCGTTTTCAGCCCCTAATTTTTAAACAGATTTTAATTCAGTGGAAAAACAGGCATGTAAACAGATTAGAATTGAAACGATGCATTAAATTAAATCTTCTGGTGCCTTATCACCAGTTCTTCATTGCAAAAGCAGGCTTATGAATTAGTGAGATAAAATGTGCAGTTTTTCTTAGTGAACTTGAGGATACGAGGATGCAGGGAGACTTGCTCCAAGAGGCACAAATGTAGTTCAAAGACTAAAACTGTAGGACCAATGGAAGCGGCTCAGGGCAAGGTCAAGCTTTTAAAACCACACTTTCTGTACAACACTGATCCACCTCTTTTACCACTTCGCATTTGTGTGTGAGCATGCAGGCAGACACTCATTAGAATTACATTCCTGGTGTTACTGAAACAGCATTTAGACCTTCATGTTGGGAAATGAAATTTACAGAAACTATAATTAAACTTAATAAATGAAATGAGTGTTGGGTGATTCGGACTGATGACCTTAATATGTGTAACAGGGCTCTGGAAATTGAACACTACCAGCAGCAGTTGCAGGTGCTGTAGGATGCCTGACTAAATAGTAAGCTGCCCTCTAGTGCACAGTTAAGTTACTACACATTTAATGGCATTTGATGTAAAACCGAAGCGTCTGCAGGTTCTTCTTAGTAACAATGTTGATAATAATTCCTGTTTTAAATGATGATAATCTATAGTTAAAAAATAAGATGACTGTATGTACAGTGTAGAATGTTGTTCCCTCGGTTCCTCCACACTAACATTTGTTGCCAAAATAGTTATAGAATTAAATATTGTTACAGACAATTTTGCCATGTTTGACCTTGACCTTGTCTTGCCAAAAACTGATGGAAGAAGTATTGAATTCTCAAATGGAAAAAAGGTTCAAACGCTGCAGCAACAGATCAGATCAGAGCAGCTTCATCTCTCCTGTGCTTTTCTCATTTGATTTTCTTTTAACCTCCTCTCTGCGATTCTTTTTCTCCTCCACTCTTTCCTCCTCCAGTAACAGACAGCCCTGCCCCGCCTCCTCCGCCTCCGCCAGAGGACATGGGTGTGTTTGAGGAACACTCTCCCCCTCCTCCTCCCCCACCTGTGGACTATGAGGAAGAGGAGGCAGCAGTGGTTCACTACAGTGATCCTTACGCTGACGGAGACCCCCACTGGGCCCCCAAGGCTTATTTAGAGAAAGGTTAGTGCCAGGGAAAGCAAGCGACACAATTTTGCTTTTCTTGTTCCTCACCCATGGGAAAACAGATTTATTTCCACTGGTACAATTCTTTTTTTTTTGCCTCTTCCCAGTTGTGGCCATCTACGACTACAGCAAGGACAAGGAGGATGAGCTGTCTTTCATGGAGGGAGCCATCATCTACATAATCAAGAAGAACGATGACGGCTGGTTCGAAGGCGTCTGTAACGGCGTCACTGGCCTCTTCCCAGGAAACTATGTAGAGTCCATCATGCACTATGCTGACTAAAAAAAAAAAAAGAAAAAGAAACAAAAACCCACCCCAACACGGCACTGCAGTTTTGAACAGAGGTAAAACCATGAAGATGTACAGAAGTATGCAGTGTGGCAATAGCAGTTCATACAGATCCTGTTTTGAATGAATGAAGTGCCATGGTGAAGTCTTTGGAATATACAAAATGGTTTTCTTTTGGGGGGGAGGGGCTTGTGCTTGCACGATTTTATTCTGCTCCGAAAAATAAATAAAATAAAAAAAATAAAAAGTAGCACAATGTAGGAGGGTGCTGAAGCTTTGGATGACCGGGGTCTGTTAGTTTACACTGTGGACGAAAAGGAGAGGACTCTACCGCACATCTGTGGTGGTCGGCAGCACTTTTCAAACTGGGTCAGCGATGTATTGCCTCACAATAAATGACATACAATAAAAAAAAAGTTTGAAATAATACCAAACAAATCTAGAGGTAGTGTTAATTTGTGTGTGTGCAACCAACATTTCCAGTATTTCCAGTACAGACAGTGAAGTATTACCAGGATTTCATTGAATGGAGGCAGTGTAGCATCCTTATGTCAAAATGCTGCACAGATGCTCCTCCCCCTTCATTTGCACTGTAGACCAGCAGACCAACTCCTCCCTCCTTCCCCAAACATCCATCTTACCTTATCAAAAAACAAAAAAAACCCAACAAGGACAAACAAACATCAACAAGTGCATTAGGACACGACTGAATGTTTCATGTCGTCGATGTCCAAATCACAAGATGTTTAAGACGGGTGGGGGGGGGGGGGGGCAACCTGGAGTGGTGTATTTACTATGCTCTGTGTCGGTGGGGATGCTGTTACAAAGGGTGGAGTGAGTGTATAAAATACATTACAAAAAAAGAAAAAAAGAAAACCGTTTCTTCTTTCTGGTGGAGTTTCTTTCTGTTCTCTAACGTGTATATAAACTGTAATGTGAGAAGCTGCCAGTACAGTACATTTGTCAGATAGTGTGTTTCACCTGTGAGTTTCCATCAGCGTCAGTGGAGGTGGTGCCAAGATTGTTTTTTTTTTGTTTTGTTTTTTTTATTTTGTGTTTATTTTTACTTGAATATTGATTTTATTCATCACTCACAGTGCCATTTCAACTCTATCTGGGCAAAAGTGGCCGTGTATAAACATGTATTTTTTCTGTTAAGTCACAGCTGTATCACTTTGATCACTGTCACTATACTTGGTGATGCTGTCCAGCTACTGTAGCAGAGCTCCGAGATGTTTCTTGCTTCAAAATGTGAAGCAGAGGAAGGACTGACTTGTGTGTTTTCATGTTGTTTTCCATTGTGTTGGAATAGCTGCACTGATTAGTTATCAACGACTGTGATGACTTTATGATTTTCCTTCATGGCTCTGATTGCAACGCAGGATCAGATCAAGTATCAGCTAACCTTTACGTTTGTTGTCATTTCTTTCAGCGGTTGATGGTGTGGTGCTTCACACTGGTGCTCAATAACCATAGTCACCAACCCAGACAACCTCAAAACAAGACTGCTCTACATAGAAATATAACAAAGGATGTAAGCCTCCTTATTTTGTTCCAGGAAGTGAACATTGGTCGTTTTGATCTTCAACCACTTCTGCATTGTAGTGAATGTAGGTGACTCAGCAGTAATGTACTACAGCTAGAATCAGTCTGCTACTTACATTTTTTTTCTCTAGAGTCTGTGCTACACATGAACGACATGCGCTATCTGCAGTGAGGGAATGAAATGCAATCCTGAGGGCTTATACGAAGACTTTTCTTTTTTTCTCGATTTCTACTACTTTTGCAAAATAAGATGCCTGCTCTTACAAAGTGATTGTTGGTGCAAGTAAAGCTCACTGTCAAATATCATTGAAGCTAATGCTTATCTCAGAATATATGTTTCTAACAAGTCACATAAACAAACATAATCACATGTACTATAGAGATAATGGGCATTGGACATGAACTTTTATTCTGAAATGGATCTAGAGGTAACATTTTCAGGTTTCTACACGGACTAGAAAAGACAAAGACTCAGTCAGATCAACAGTATTCATTGAGCCTCTGTGCATGAAAGTATCTAACCGTCATTACAGCGAATGATTTGCCACTACATCCCATTCTTGATTGTATTTTTTCCATCATGAGGTAATTTTTTGTGAGAAAACAACTTTTTCTACCTAATGTATTTTTAGCTTTGCATTCAACTTGTTCTTATGTCTGAGACTGCTGAGGAAGGTTCGTTGGCAGTTTGTATGTAAAGGATTTATTTATACTTTTTTCATAGAGAAATCATGAGACAACCACTGACGTGCAGAACTTTGTAATGTTTACCACTTAACGTTGAGCATTTCAGGGCATCACAGGTCAAGGCGCCTTTCTTTGATGTGTGTTTTCTTATGATCAAACGTGGAAAAAAAAAATAACGATCAGTAACTTAAATGTTCATGGGAACAGAATCTGATATTTGTCTTCTCCTCTCAGTTTGTACATAGGATGTGTTGATTGAAATTTATGTACAGTCTTTTTGTAATAAACAGCTCATTGAAACAATGAACAGAACTGTTCGTTTGGTTTCGTAAAGCTGACGCAAAACGTAGTAATTTACAACATACTGTTATGTATGTTAATATATTTGTGCAAAACGAAACACAAATATCATTATAGATTTGAGAATAAATAACTTAAAGAATATGCTACTTTGCATCATAGGCATGTAACGCTACTACTACAATGACTACATGTTTGTCCATGACTGAAGCCTCATTATCAGACATTTGTATGACCAGATGTAAAAGTTTGGGTGGGAAGTTAACCATGGTACACAGAGGGAGGTGAAGATGTGTCTCAAATGTGTGTGTGGCCCGGAGGAGGAGGGATGAAGTCAGGTGGTGACTCCTGTGAATAGTCTTCAACAGCTGTGATTTTGGGTGGAGATGGATCCAGATGTGGGCTGATCCCAGTGGCGTGGCTCTTGGATCCGTCTGTAAAGACGATCAAATGAGAATTAAGTGTAGAGAGCGAATATACTTTTTTTTTTCTTTAGTGCAGAACTTTGACCTGGGCCAGCCTGTGTAAAGCTGCTCAAAGTAAAGTTTTCAAAATAAAATAAAATTACAGGAAGTGATCTAATTTAGCTTTTAAACATGCAATAAATATGAATACAAACATTTTACTTTCATGCTCAGACATTGCTAAATGTTACTTATACAAAGTTTCCAAGTCCTACTTTTCACAGAGACCTCAAAACGTTTAGGACCATTTGTAAGACTGGCCCTGTTAAAGTGTGTAGACCGACCTTTGTGTGCAGCAGACTGGAGTGTTTGCAGAGTGGACGCTGTCTTCACTGCAGCCTGGTAGTTCTTATACAGAACAGTCCCGTACTGAACACACACACACAGGACACCCATCTGTTCAACTCTTAGTAATGAAATATAGGGGCAATTTTTGTCTGTAGCTTTGTCAAATATAGAACTGTAGCTGAATTGCGGTTAAATAACTCGACCGCTCACAGCACAGAGAGGTGTGTTACTGCCAGTGCTGAATCTGACCTTGGCTATTCTGATGGAGTTCACCCACAGCAACAGTGTGTGTTCGTTGTCACAGCAAAGGAACTTGATGTAGTGAGACTCTTTCTGGATGCAGGGATGCTGGGAAAACAGTACAGACGACAGTGATTTAGTAATGCTCTTGAAGCTGAAACACTCAGAATGGTCAAAACTGATGCAGCAGATGTCGAAATATTCTGACTTTCCCACCTTTTAGAATGGGCCAAGCTCCGAAAACACTGCATCCTACACTTCCCATAATGCAATTTAACAGTGTCTTTTGGTAGTCACTGTCACCACAGTAAACACGCATGTCTTTCAAACTCCACAGCCTCAGTTTGTTACACAGGCTTTCTGTTATAAACGTGTATTCTCTAAAGGTCAAGCTGAGGTAACCCAGATGACATCACTATGACATCATCGGGGTTATAGTTACAGACTGACAACGCTCTTTGCCACAGAGGACATTACACAAATGCTTTCACAGACTGGGTAGTACTAAAGTTGATGGGATGTCCCTTTAAACACAAACGCTGGCTCTCTGCTGTTTGTGTATTTGTTACACACAGAATAGCCAGCAGAGGGCAGCATATACCAGGCTGCCGCTGCACTGTGGATCATAAAGCAGGAATAACACCGGTATTACTGCTCAAACATCAGTTATTGAACATATGCTGCATTTATTAGTTGTTTTGTCCAGGTTCACAGTTGAGAAATACTGACAGCCTGTCAAAAAAAACAAAAACATCCCACATCCAAAATCTTCACTCATTTAACTTCCCCACAACATGACTTGGTACAGGTCCACGTTTGAGAGCACCGTGGATACCTGCTACATATAAGAGTCATCTCTGCCGTACCCAATGACCCTGCACACTCACACACTCACACACTCACACACTACCACCAGCCTACACTTTCCTCCCCTCTATGTTCAGACCTGCCTCTTGCCTAAATTAACACATCTGTTAAATGATAAACAACCACCACAAGGCTTTACAACCTCTGCATGGACCGTCGTGATACTAAACTCAGCCTCACCTCTGTTTCACTGACTTTTAATCTTCTTTTTGTTCACTTTTCTCCCCCATCCCCCGACAGCAGAGGCATCTTTAATCTAAGCTGAATGGCATGTGAAGTATGTGCAGTGTCATTATGCTGCAGTGGTGTTCCTTATTATAGTGCCTTATTTAAATATGCTGTTCACATGAAATGAGTGTGGTGGAAAGACTTTGACTATAATTGTTGAGCTCACCTTCAGCATGAAGCCGAAGTTGGTGGGGGCTCTGTATTTCTGTTTGTAGTTGTTGGTGGTGTAGATGTTGACCTTTTCAAAACGGACAAAACAGGCGAGATCACTGGAGGACTGGAGCAGAGAAAAACAGCATGTTATCATACTTATTGAGACTTACTGTGATGTTGAAGTATCTGATACTGTAATAAGTCTCAGGGTTTACTGCATGTGTTGTGCACAGCGGAGCTCTTCTTGGATGATTGACGGGAGCAGTGGAAAAACCCACGTATTGGCATCACAGTAAAATCAACACACATGTTTGTCCATATATGTAATTTATACACAAGTCATGGCAATCAATTTTCAAGCATATTTTAAAATTTAATAAACTGCTGCCAGTCCAGAGCAGTTTTGCAGCGTTGTTTAAGAGGCGGTATAAATTAGAGCAGGCGAAATTCATTTCAGCTTTGGCAATTTTTTTTTAGCATGTTGTGCAGAGAAGTAAATTTTCTCAGACCTATTGTATGGAAGATATTAAAAATGAAGACACTTCAAAGAAAACAAAGTCAATGCAAGGCCATTTGTCTTCATTTACTTTTCAAAGACAGTCCACAATCAGGCTCCATAGCAGGGAAAAGACATTGTTTTTCACTCTAAAGCGATTCGACATTCCTTCCATTTTTGACTTTAAGCAGAAGCGTATCATATTCACACATCAAACCGCACTGACAATGATCTTGTTCACTACAGAGCTACAGAGTGTATGTTCCTGAAAGCAGAAGTGACCCTCAGGGGACGACTGTTGATCTCACTTCTTTCTTTCTTTTTTTTTTTTTTTTTGCTCTTTGAGGTTTCGTCCACTTTTCTCCCATCGCTAACCTTTCCTCCACCCCTCACTGCTTGATGATCACAGCTGCATTATTTTAATGTCTTCATATATGACACTATCTGTAACGTCTCTGCTGGTCTTGTTGCACTGTGGTTACATGTGAGTGCAGTTCAGTCTGCAGGACGACCTCGGTTAATATATTTATTCTGTCTGATTCTGGACATTTCTCTTTTCCCTGCCTAATGAGCTATCCTTTCCAGATCCTCCTCTGCTTCATCGATGTGTTCTTGGCCTCAGATGATTCCTGCAGCTCTCTTATGTTTGCAATTTGCACATCTGCCTCGCACTATTTCCCCTCCATCTATTTCTCCCTCTTCGAAGATTTCTTTTGGAGTTAGACTGTGTTTTTCTGCTCCGTCTCTGTGACAGAATGACATGTTTCTCTTTAGCAAAGGCGAGGCCTCAATTCTCACTGTCCATATTCATTTCTCCGGCCCTTCCTCTTGCCTTTCTGCTTCAGCTGCAGCGGAGTGCTCAGATGTAAGCCATCACAGAGTTTGCACAGGGAAATAAATCTTGTCTCTTTGTTTAAGGACTGCTGGAATACTTGTCTTAACTATTTTATTTTCTTTCAATTGTGTCTCCAACTATATTCTGTGTGAAAAACCTGACAACATTTGTCAGCACTACATTTCAAAAATATGTTTATTTTATTTTAGAGTTAAATAAGAAAATCAATATAACTTAGATGTCTGTCTGTTCAGCTGGAGTCAGCAGCTAGCTAGCTTAACTCAGCATAAAGATTTGAAACAATGGAAAATAACAAGCCTGTCTCAGTCCAAATGTAAAGAAAACTAGCATCTATAAACCTCACAAATTAAAATGTCATATATTGTGTGTAAAGTGCAAAATTGACAGGTTGTGTTTTTTGGCAGGGGGTTATTTGCAAATATATTTCTTGGTTAGCCTAGCTTAGCCTAAAGACTCAGAGCAGCTAGCCTGGTGTAAAAAAACAACTTTTGATTGTTGAACAGAATACATTAACAAATATAACATGTTGATTAATTAACTTTAGAGGTCGTAGCAGGTGAATTTATCTCTACTTTTGCACAGCTGCTCCTCCCTGTTTCCAGTCTTTAAACTAAGCTAAGCTAACTGTAGCTTCATAACCTACGGTCATGTACCACTGCTTTCAGCAAAAAGCCTGATTATATGTACAATGGTTGAACTGTAGTTTGTGTAAATGAAACTGTGACACATCATGTTATCATCTTCTGATAATTATAATTCCCCTTGTAACTACTGATAGCTAATAAGTAAAAGTAAGACAATGAAAGTAAAGTTGTTTATGTTGCTATTTTTTGTGCAAGATGCCAAAAATCACCTCATGAAACATGAAACCAGAACTAATATTTACCATTTTCACCTTCATGACAGCAGCCCACCAGAATTTTATTTTTTATCCTTTATACTGTACGTGTGTACTTGTATCTGCCATACCTTTGTCTTTCCCTTGGGTACGTAGTAGATGCCCGAGGCCCTGAGCAAGAAGTAGCGAGGTTTCCAAACCTTCTTCCCATCTTCCTTCAGGTGCAGCATGCCCTCAAGATTAGGAACAATCACCGTAGAGCCCCCAAAATGCTCCTGCAGAGTCAGAGGAGGAAGATGAGGTGCACAACAGAAATGAACACAGGGTGAGTAAACCCATGTTTTCCATTTATAAAATAGTGTGCATTTTTATAAGTTGTAACTATTTTCAATTTGAAAATGACACTCAGAACTAAATGACAGTCAGGAGTGGACTCGGTAACTTACCTTGATTAAGAGTTTTTTGGCATGTTCATTAATCCCACTCAAAACCGACTTCTTCTTCTTCCACATGTAAAATAACTTGAGGGTGAGAAAATCATGGTTCAGTTTACCAACTGAGTGTTAAACCATGTTGCCACACGTTGGTGTGAAGAAAACACACACACACACACACACACACACACACACACACACACACACACACACACACACGGTTTATCGCTCTTACTTACCTGTGGGTCTTTGAACATCACATACTTCTGAGGTCTTGACACAAAATAGATTTTGTTTTCACTGTGGCGAGTCCACGAGGACAGCAGCTCCACTAAACTTTCATGGTCCTCAAAGCCTCTCTCTGAAGAGATGAGAGAGCAGGCGAGCAATGACCACAAACTCCCTGTGCTTGTGTGCATCAATCTACAGTCCTGAAACATGTGTGCAACAGTGTCTCCTGCCTCTGTGGAAATGCATGTGCTATACGTGCACACACTGATGATTGTCTGCATATGATCTGAGTGCATGTACAGCATTTGTGTGTGTGTGTGTGTGTGTGTTACAGTAATCTCACCAATCAGCAGCTCAGGATTGGTCTCGCACAGACTCCAGTCGATGCTGCAGTCACAGTAAGTCTTCTCAAACAGCTTGTCTAAAACGTCCCTCACCGTTTGTCTTTCATCCACCATCAGAGTCTTGGAGCTGCCGTCACCCATCATCACCTTTACTATCAACTAGGAGGGACAGAAGATTTGGTGACTTTAGCTGCATAACTTCATGTTGAAGAAAGACACTCAAACTTTCCGACTTTACCTTCCTCACTTTGGCTTCTTTCAGCTTCTCCAGAGCCAGTTTAATTTTGTCTGCCTTTGTCTGTGGTTCATTCTGTAAGCATAACACGAGAAAGTATCAATTATGTTTTCCATGTTCATGAAATTGCAAATTTATTCCTATGATCAGTGCCAAATTTTGAGTTACCCTCTGCAGCTCTCCAGAAAATTCAGCAGTGTTCGGTGGTAGAGGAAGGGCAGCTGTTGCCTCATATCCCTGAGTCATGGCAGATGGTGCAGTTTGATTATCTGTAGCGCTGCTGGTCTGTTGTTCAGTGGCAAGATCTTGTGTGGTTGATTTTGATCCCAGGTCAGCCACCAGGGCGTCCAGGTCATGGTCCTCCAGCTCATTAAGAGACTCTGTAAGGAATCAAGGGCAGTGTAGGCCAAGGTCATAGAAACAGATCAGACTGTAGCTGTGCTGGAAAACTGAGATAAAAAAGAAGAAGTCGTGTGAGTAATAAAAGGTTTAGTTTCAAATGTTTCACTAACATGATGCATTCATAAAATTTAAGAGTTTTTCATTCAGCAAGAAAAAGGTCAAAGCATGCAGGTATTTGTTTGCACTGTTGCAATGGGAAAGTGCTCTTTATTCTAAATTACATAACTAAAATCTTCACATTGTAGCCACTATTTTTGATTTCCGATCAAATTAATCAGATTCTTCAGGTTGGAAAAAGAAGACTTCCTGGGAAACTTTAACCCAAATACAATGCATGCTGGGTATCTGCCAATCAACATGAAGGATTAGCTGGACATTTAGTCAAATCATCATTTCAAGTCAGGGGACTGAACTCATGACTCACCATTAGGGTAGTGTAGGTTGAGACTATAAACTGGAGGAAACAGCAGCTGTAAAGCTCACTAACTAACATGTAATGACGACAGGACCCTCTGAGCGAGGTCTGCAGTTCCCCCTCAAATATGAGAGAGTATTCTGATTCACTTTGTATTGAATCATAACCACTCCTGTGCCTCCTGGTTTCTGGCACGAGTAAAAACAGTCATTCCCCAGCTTCAAACACAAATCTTATTTCTCATGTCATATCTCCTGCTACATCGCTCTCACTTTCAGGGCAGCTTGACTCTAGGTTGTGTAACACTGCTGATTGTACTCTTCTTGCTTTCTTTGGAGGAGAGCAGCATCATCTGAATGAACACTCACCATTCAGGTCCGTGAAGCCGATGGAGAAGGTGCTGTGTCTGTGTGAAGCAGGATCCTCTTCTGGTGCCTCTGCTGCAGACGACAAACTCTGCGGGGAAATGATGTGATGGCTCATTAACAACACCTCACACACACACACAGGGCTCCGCTGTCTGCCCTCGCCGATAAAAACACACAGTCGTATATTGTGAAAAATCAAAAGTAATTTCATTTAATTATGTAAAGTACATTTAATACAGAAGTCATCCTGTTGATAGAAGCTACAGTTTGTAGTTTTGATTACACGTGTAATCAAAGAGCAGCCCGGAGATCAAAGTGAGCCACATGTGTCCTTGAACTGCTCTGAACTGTTGTTCAGTTATGTTACATGAGCCTGTTTTTTATAAGTGACTTTGTTTCCATGCACTTTATCATGCTCTGGTTGCAAGCTGCACAAATACTAGAGAAAAAGCATTGCCTTGGGCATGTGACCAGACAATAAAATATAAATAAGCTCATGAAGAAAAAGGGATTTGTCAAAACTGTAATGTTGCACTGAACCTACAAACCAATGAAATGACACTAATTCCTCTACGGGTTAAACCATCCCTCGTAAACCCGTGTCCCCATGAGGGAAAAAGGCTAATATCTAAACTGCATTATTGTAATCATCAACACAAGTCTCCACAGGCTCAAGCCGGGATTGCCATCCTGTACACAAAATGAGTTTGAAAACATATGTCGTCATGCTGGGGCTGCTTCTTAAATGACACCTCCAAGCTGCTTAAGTCAGGGATAAAAAATGCCCCTCTTAGTCTTCTGGCTCGGAGGCAGTAAAGCAAAGAGAGGAGACCCAATCAAGGCAATAAGAGGAATTACTTTAAATCCTTTTCTTTCCCAGACTCTGAGAGGCTCACTGCTTTAATCAAAATGCTTTTTCTTGCAAACTCTGGTGATAGTCTGCGGAGCGGTGTTTGTCATTGCGATGCCTTTAAAGGAGGACGCGTGCCAAAGTGACATATAGAGACTTTTTCTGGTATGTCTGATGTAATGTTGGAGATTGATCCCATTCTTAGGGCTGCGCTCGTTCAGCTTGCATGGAGAGATTTGAAATTGACAATAATGAATAACCTCGGGCTGAGGTTGCATCATTTAGAAGTGCGTAATGTTTTTCTTGGCGAGCCGCAGTTATATGATGAGCAGCTTATGTGTGCTTAAGGGGATCTGCAGCATCGCCCACGGTCCAATCCAGATGCGATGACTTCACATCTAATCGTCGCCTCACATTTTTCTGTGCGATGCTCAGTTTCAACACAAAGACTGCCATGTAATCAGATAATGTCCAGATCAGTGAGGTAAACATCAAGTGATTGGTCTGATTCACTTCCTGTAACTTGTTCCTGCTTCAAACGCACTAATGGGAACTCAGCGGAGAGGGTGAGAGTCTCAGCTCATCTGGTCATGTTTTGAGAAAGAATGTGACCCAAAGATGTTTGATATCACACTGTTGTTGTGTTTCTCACAATTCCAGATGAAAATTACCAATGCATTATGGGATAGTTGTCCGATGTATTTTTAACCACGTTGGCAGTGTGGCTGTAGCGACTGCAGTGCTGCGCAGTTGGTCCATCAAGCATTCATGCAGCCTATTGGCAGACGTGATAATTTACCAAGGTCAATATCAGTGTCACTTTACAGTGTCTTTGTGGGAGGTTTGTAGTTGTCATTGCAAAATGTTCCAATATGAGGGGCCATCGTGGGTGCCTTTTCCCTTGGGGGCCTCAAGCATTCGCCTTGTCTCCTGTCAATCCACCTCTGGATGGACTGCCATGAAATTTGGTACAGATGTTTATGATCTCCAGACAAGGAATCCTAATGACTTTGGTGATCCCCTGACTTTTCTTGTGGCACCACAAGGAGCTCAGCAGATTTGTTTTTTAGTAAAATAGAAAAAAGGAAACATGAAAAGTTGTAAACTCTGGTCTCAGGATAATTGTAACTTTGCTGTTCCTCTGACTTTTCATAGCAGCGTCATCAAGTCGAAATTTGAATTTTGATCTGATGTGCAACTAATAACATTCCCATCAGCCTTAGCTGTTCTCAGCTGTACTGTGTTTAGTGCTAATTAGCATGCTAACAGGCTAAGCTATCACGGTGAATCAGGTAAGTGTTACGCCTGCTACCTTTGTCATTGTGGGTGTGTTAGCATGTTGACATTAGCATTTAGCTCACAGAACCGTTAGCATGGCTGTAGACTCTTGTTTTTAAAGTCGTACAACTCACCTGAGAGAGATGATCAATCTCTCCGAGCAGGTGACTGAACATGGCGTCTATGTCGTTCATCTGAAAAGAGTAAAACAAGAAATTACAGGGAATAAAGAAACGTTTTTCGTGGGAGAAACGCAGCAGTATCATCAGGAACTGAAAAAAAACTGGCAAGTCTTAGTTCTGTTTAAATTCAGTTTCTACAGATCAGTCAAACTCCATTTCTTGAACAGTTTTACACGCAGCACGTGGAAAAGTTGGGAAATAAACTGTATTGAAAGCTCCACATAACAGTCAACATTCTTGTGGTATGGAGACGAAAACACTCTTGGACACATGCAGACACAGTTTGGACATGTCTGTCATGACTGTAAAAACAGATAAACAATAAGCTGCGTTCATGCTTAATCACACCAGCCAAAGAACCAGAAATGTGATCTCTGTTTTCAAATACGTTCAAAGGCACAAGCGCCGGAATGCATTGTCATTACCGCGATCTTACAAGTGTGGAAGGAGAAAATGGCTTCCATGTTGCTCTGGTTACGAAGTCACACAAGTTGTTTTGATCACCATGCAGAAAAACCTCATCTTTTAATAAACTGTGTGATTAAAGTGGTGGAGACCTGCACCTCACTGGAGAGCATTTAGGATCTGCTCTGTGTGTTTTTTTTGTTTTGTTTTGTTTTTCATACGGCTCGTTGTACCATGCAGAAATAATTTCACTTAAGCTGCAACTTTAAAAAGCGATTTACTCGTAATTGCTCGTAATTTACTGACAGACACCGTGTGAGAAGGATGGAGAGCAGTGCGAAGGCTCTGCTGGAAATATCATAGTAACTCACTGAATACGCTCATTAACATTAAGTTCCTAACATTCTTTGAATTAGTAATCAGTAATTCATAAAACAGACGCTTCAGTCATCTTGCAAAATTTTGCATCTGGGTTTTTCCATATGGAGGCGGCATGTTTCCAGCTTTAGGATCAAAAATACGTCTTACATGTGGAGCAGGTTAAGAGGCAAACTGAAAAATGAGTTCTCTGTTTCTCGCCAAGTCTTTGAGTCAGTTGCTGTGTGGTAATCGGTAACAATAGATATCTATTTGCAGTATTCATAGAAACTAGAAACACGAGTGCACCTAAAGAGAAACAAACAAGAAATGTGGCGGTGGTGATGTTGGTGGCAAGATTTGAACATTACGGTTGTTTTCAGTGACTTCTTCCTTGTTTGTTGTCGGCATGTTCATTTATCACTTCACATTTTAGGTCTCATCTTTATACATTAATCTACACAAATTTACAGATGTAATACACTTCCTGTTTGTGCTGTATCACCAGGCATAACTTGACCGTTATGTTAATATGAATATGACACGTGTCAGTCTGTTTCTACATGTACCAACAACCTCTCACCTCTGTGCTGATTATATCTCATGAAATCGCATTTTGTGTTGTACTTGCTTTATTTTCAGTCTTTTCTGTGTGTTGCAAAGCTTAGTGTTTGGTTTGGAGCTGGTGGTAAACAGTCAGTTTATCTGAGTGTTTTCATACAGTCAAAATAATGGGATGAGACCAGTGAGTGTGAACCAAAATAGTGAAGTGTAGAGTTACATTATAATTATGTGTGTTTGTCGCTTCAAGCATCACTTTTTACTTACACATCCAAGATAGCAAAATAAAACTTCAGGCCCAACATATGTCTGGGTCCTTGGCCTGAGTCTGGCCCATATACTTCCACATCTGGGCTGATTTTCTGTGTGTGAGCCAGAATTGGTCCAGATGTGAAAGTAGCATCTGACAATTATGCTGTACATGGGCCAGTTTTGGGCCGTGGAACCAGGCGTGTACCGGGCAAGGAGAAAAACAAGCATGTGGCCTAAGTATGGGCTGGATTTATTTTGCCATCTGACATGAAAAAAAAGGTTATAGCAGCTTTAAACATACAATGACATATTTTTTTGCCACTCTGGGGCAGCAGAACCAAGCTATAAAAACAGCACTGATCTATATATTATTCCAAAGGTCATATAGCCAGCTTGTTACCAAAAGTGCTTATTTATACATCCAGTAGACACAGAGCAACATCAGCAATCCTTTCGAGTTGTGTTTCTGGCCACAGGGGGAATGTTAGTCCAATATTTAATATTCTTTTACGTCTGTTTTTGGTCTCTACCAACTCCTGAAGGAAAAAACTCATTAGCCGCTAACGTGTTATTATGTCTCTTTCAGGGAAAATAGCTGCATGCTGTGGCTGAGGGAGCAGAGAGAGAGAGAGAGAGAACAAAGCAGTAAAGCTACAGGCCAGAAAACCAAACGTGTGGAGAAAGATAAAGAATCCGCTGATAATTCTCTACAGGTTAGTGAGTTTTGAGCAAACCCTTTCACATATAAGCAGTCATGTAATTTATTATAATCTAAAAATATCAACTTTTGTTGCTTTAATAATCATATTTATATATATTTTTGTTTTTCCCATTACTTGCTTAGACAGTTTCAACCCACTTAAGACTGCTATCATCTTTACTTCATGGACCTCTTACAGCCGGAGTTCAGCCAGCATGGTATAAAGTCTGAGTGAATAAGCATCTTAGAAGTGAGACGCAGTGTGAGTCTAAATATCTGCAGAGTGCAGCAAACATCTGTTTGCCTGTGTTTAACTTTAGACTGAAATATTTTATACATTAAAGCTGCAGCTGGAGGTTTATATAGTGCATGTTCTGACCTGTAAACATAACTCGTGTGTGGTGTTTGAGACGCTCATAAATGCTGTGTCTCCGTCCCGCTCTTTATTGCTCCGTACCACCTCCTCTCCATAAACATGCTCTTATATATGTACACACACATGAAGCCTAATGCGCAGTATGCAGTATACAGTCCTGCCCGTGCTGTTCAGTCTCATTCTGTGTTTATGCTGAACAGTAAACAGACCGTCCATTAAACTGTAATGAGGTAAAAGGGGAACAGTGGAGAGGATGGTAATAAACTAAGTATTGTTTCCATATGAAAGTGAAATTTGTGGATCAAGAAAGTGAACTTTACCTTTGCGGCCTCTGGGACTTCTGCCTCCCACATGTGAGCGTCAGTCCTAACTTCTGGTTCCATAACTCATTTCTCATGTAAAAAAAAAAAACACACACATACACGGGTGTATCTATTTTCTAATATTAATTAATGGTACTTGTCAGTGATGCTGTATTTGCAGCGTCGGGCATGTGCTCATCAAAGCATGCATCACAAAACCGCATTTGTGTACGAGTTCCATGCTCTCATCAGGCATGTCAGATTGTTGCTGCCGTCTCTGACTGTGGTCTCACACATCAACACAACAAGGAACCGATAGGAGACGGACAGGCAGGCGAGCGGGCGGACAAGCCAAAGCCCGGGCACAAAAAGCGATTTATTGAGACTTATATGCATGAGAGGAATCACAAAGCTCTGCCTGCTGACAGTAAACCAACATGTTTTCTCTTTTCTTGTGGTCGAGAGCTTCTTACTGTTTTCTAATTAGTTGCACAACCATCTACTGGCTGCTACGAGAGGACATGTGTTTTTCCTAAACAAAGCTGATGTGGCCGTTCAAGTATTTAACTCTTAAAGGGATTAACAGAAGAAGAAATTTATTTATTGTTTTGTCCATTTGCTTTTCAGTCACTCATAAATCCCTGTGAAGAAAAATTCAGTATCGTTAAATCTTTCAGTCTTCTTACCTTTTCTGTCTCTGTCACACATGGGAGCATCATGAAGTGAGAATAAATGCTAAAACACTCATGGATCAATCTATAAGTAACTGCCGTCACATGTGACCCTGTCTGCTCTGCCTCCGCAGATATTAGCTGAACTTCCTGTGATATCAGGAAGTAGATTTAACTGTTTCTGTGGTGAAGCAGCGGAAGCTTTATTTTTCTAATTATGTTACATACATTTTGTTCTCTGCCGCAGCTACTGACCATAACGTGCTCTCCTTGTCTCCTCGTTTCCCACAGTCCTGCACGTTATGGTGGAGTCACACAGGTGTTTCCATTTACTCCGTCTGATCAGACGTCTCCATGGCAACTTGTGTGCATGTACAGGACATAACTGATTTACATTACTTTCTTACTGTTCTGAGATAATGAGACGTATGACAAATCAAATGCTATTTTCAAATTAAATGTATAGATGTTTATTCATATTTCTCTTCTCTATTTTTAAAAAAAAATCAGTTTAAATCTGTTTAAATGTTTAATTTTAGTGGATTTTTATCTACTATTTTTCATTGGCAGATGCTCATGTCCAAGGCTATGGACAAATGAAGCACAATCCAAACCACAGTTGATCGATGAGGAAAAGTTGGCTCATCACTCAGTTCCACAAGCGCCAGAAGCCTCGCAGGTGCATGAAATAACATTTATATCTTATATTGTATATGTATGTTGTTGAAAGGTGCTATACAAACAAACCATGCTTGCACTATATCTCTAAATGCAGAAGCAATGAAGCAAGGAGCAAATCTCCTTCCAACATAATCATGCTGGACAATGTGAATTGTGGTCACATTGTGGTAAAGTCAAATCCAATCAACAAGAAAGAGCTGCTGCAAAGGAGAGTGAATTCACTGTATGTGCTGAGTGTTTACATCTATTTATGTCATTTATGTTATGTCTGTTGTGCTTACAATATTTTGCTGCATATTGAATGCCAATATTATAATATGCTTAAATCTAAATACAGGTCAGTAGTTCAGTCAAGTGTAGAAAAAAACAGGAATCTTTGATAACAGCATGTCAGTAACAGCTGTCAAGATTAAAATGTACATTTCTCAGAAGAGACTGGTGTGAAGTTAATGTGGGAGCAGATACTGATATAGTGGCCTCACTGTGAGCAGCGCAGACACCGTTAAGTGTGTGGGTGACGAGTTGTGGGCTTGACAGATATAAATAGACAGTCACAGCTTCATGAAACCATTAATGAAGGTCTGACTGTCTCACGGTGACTCTGCCCTGTCAGCTTGTTCAGTGTCTTCTCAGGCTCAGAGGTTGTGATGGGCAGCTACACTCAGTGTGGCCTCAAGTAGCCAATAAGTAAGTAAATTAGTTACTATGACAACAGCCCTGCTATCACCTGCTGTTTAAGTGCATGTGTGTGCAGACACTGCTGCCTCAGCCATTTGACAGTATTTCAAGAAAAACCATAATGCCATAAGTGTGTGTGTGTGTGTGTGTGTGTGTGTGTGTGTGTGCATGCGTTCCATTTTGCCATGATAATGAGAAGAGGGGGAAACATCCAAGTGTTTCTAATGTGGGGTGAAGCTTTAATCAGAGCCACGTGGGGTCAGAGGAGGGAAATGAGAGTGGTGATAAACTGTAATAAAGTTTACATTTCACAGGAGAAGTGGTTTTGGCTCAAGTATTTCCAATATTACAGAGTCGTGTTTTAAAAGTGCCACCACTGCACTCTAATCCAGTGCTACAGTGGAGATCACAGCTTTGATGCCATATAAAGTTGAGAGTTTAATTCTGACAGGGCTTGTTAAAATCCCACTCTGCTGATCCTGTCATCAACATGGATGGAAAAAGAAAAGAAAGTTAGGAAGAAAACGCTGTTTGCCCTTTGAATGTTAATAGGAGAAAAAACAATATAAACTGAAATTCCACTGCACGATGTGGAACATGCCATGAGCTGCTAATGACTGACCTCTTGGAGTGTGAGAATAAAAACAACAGTGGAATAATCCAAATATATATCACATGTACAGCTTCAATGGGACTGGAGTGACTCCGCGGAGTGGTATGTCCGGGAAAGCTACGGGTTAATTTAAGACTAGGAGCAAAACCTGTTGCCAATTAGGAGCAGTGAGCGCCACATGTGGGCTAGACGTAGCTATCTCCAGAAGGGGCAAAGGGGGCAGAAACCGCGGTGCGCGCAATGGAGACAAGCTGAATGTCTGTGCAATCACTTGTTCAAGTTCAAGTGGCAGTTACGTGTAAGGACAGTTACTAATCTGAGGAGGGTTTTTTCTCTTAAAGAGATGATCAAAAAAAATCTACAGGACTGAAGGACTGATGCGCCAAAGGGCCACATTTCACACGTGGCCTGTTTCCAGTTTTACCTTTCAGCATTGCAACATGGCACGTGTGTCTACCATATTTTTATTCTTTGTCACATCCATACTCGGCACAGGGAGCGTGTCTGAGATCTGCCGAGGCGCGCACTGTTTCTCTGGCCAGGACTGGAGCAGACCGTGCGTAGGAGCGCACTGCCCGGGGCGCACGGAGGCAGCAGCGTCCAGACGGCAGTTTCATCACCCCGCACAATCCAGACAAGGACAAGTCCACCAGAGTTACCAGCAGGACGCTCATTTCAGCCATCACCAAGCTCAGAGCGCGCCGTTATCACCGTACATCATCCACCCTCAGCAGACAGGCTTTACGCAACAAACGGGTACGGATGGCGCCAGGAGGACGAACCCGAGGACCATCACGGCGGAGGTGTTTCATCCTGGCTGCGCCGGTGGGACTTGTCCGACCACTGTCTCTCATCGCCAAACGAATGAAGACGGCGGTGCAACACGGGAGTGCAAAGGGATCGGATGTAAACTGCCCCTCCGGATGCGCCAGAAGCCCAAGCCTTGCGTCGGAGACGGCTGTGGATCGCACGGAGGAGACGAAGGCAGAGGGAACTCATCTCCGGTTCACGTGACAGACAGAGCAGCGCAATTTCTGGATGAGCTTCCAGACTTCGGCTCGGAACGTGGAGCCTGGATACAGCTGACATGCGACATGAAACCAGGTCAGTATCAGCCTGTGAGTGATTATACAAAGCGAGATAAACTCATGTGATTTAAACTTCAGCCTTGTGCAGTGAGAAAACCATAATCACTTAAACGGTTGTGTGACAGTTTTCTTTCTCTGCCGCAGGAAACAACGAGGTTCCCTCAGAGGACGCTCTCGTGCTGCAGCTGCAGCTGTCGAAGAGCCAGGAGAAGCTGGTTGAGGCCCTCAGGGGCCAGCAGGACGAGGTCAAGGAGCTGCAGAGGCTCCTGACCGAGCAGCAGGGGACGCTGGTCAACCAGCAGAGAGAAATACTGGATCAACAGAGGAGGATGTACGAACAGATGGAGCAAGTAAGACTGTTGTGACTGATGATGAGGGAGATGTTCACAGTCGTGCTCGTGGTTTTGTTATTCTGACTTTGTAATAAGTTGGATGAAACTGACCACAGGCCTCCCTGTGGAGCATCACACTCCAGAGCTGCTTAAACAGTCACACATTTCATAGTTTGTATATTCATAGGTCATTGTGATTGTTACCATGATCACATTAAAAAAAAACATTGTTTTCTACATTCAGGTAAAATCCCAGTACAACATGATGATGGACAGCATCAAACAAACGTCTTTCCAGAACCTCCAGGGGGACCTCGACAGTCACATGGAGACCCTGAGCGGCCAGGTTCGAACCCACCAAGCACAGCAGGCTCTGGCTTTGCACAAGGTGGACATGGAGGCCAGTGTGATGGAGGTGAGCTCCAGGTTGAATCAGGAATCAAGAAATCAATATGATACCATTTGTTTCCATCCTCAGAGACCGAACTCATTTGTGAGAGAAGGCATGGGGATGGAAGTTTTGGATGTCTGAATCTCAAGTGATTAATTCCCAGAGCTCTAACATTCACACCTAAATGAATTTCACAAAGTAGTTCCTGAGCTGATGTTACTGGTTTGATCAAATTTTCTACTAGCGGAGATTATATGGGTTGGATAAGTAAATCAATATCTGCAACATGTGACATCGGGTTAATTACTCTACAGGAGGTTTTATATGATGTACGGATGTGACTGTGATGCTCAGTTCAGCTCTGATCCTCACATGGACGTGTTTGCTGCCCTCAGGTGGGTCGCTCTGTGCTGGCCTGTGGCAGCTGTGGCCCCGAGGAGTACTGTGCCTTCAGCAGCGGCCGTCCTCGCTGCGAGAGGTGCACCATCTGTCCCGCCGGCTTCTTCCTGGTCGCCCAGTGTTCGGTCCACGCAGACAGAATCTGCCAGGTTAGCACTGCTGTGTTTTTACAGTATGAAAGAGCCAGAAAACCAAAATGTATTAATTATAGCTGCTTTAAAATTGATTGAAAGTGTTGATGTATTTGTCGTCGCAGGACAGAGATGAGTGCCTTGAAATATCTGATCTGTGTGGAGATCAACAGAAGTGTCTCAACACTCCAGGTGAAAAGAAAACTCAGAACTTTTGCATTTGATTTCAACTCTAATTTGTCTACAACTGTAAAATACATTCCCTTATTTTTCCTTTACTCCACTTGCTGAACAACCAAGTGATTACATATATGTAGAGACGAAGCTTCCAGACAGTGATGACATGTATATTTTCTCTGCTGTTGTGTCACCAGGTGGATTCAGGTGTCAGGGCATGACAGAGCGAGACGCCAACTCGGGAATGTGTGGCCACGGCTACTTCTACAACTCGGACATGGATGAGTGTCAGGCCTGTAACGAGTGTGACGGAGAACCTGTAGCTTCACCCTGTACCTTCACCACAGACACCATCTGCTCTGGCCCTGCTGCGGGGGACAGCGCCCTCTCTCTGTCCTGGGCCGGAGACGTGAGTCTGTCGGGGACGAAAGGCCACGTCCTGGCTCACGCCTTCCCCAGCGTGCAGCTTCACGTCCAGGGAAGAGGTGATGCGGGTCTGGTGTCTGTTGAGGACGGGCGTCTGGTGCTCAGGCAGCACGGCCTGGTCTGGCTGGATGAGAATCT